GGTATTTCGCAAAAACTTGGTAGTTTTACGTGTGTGTTGTATTTTTCGATGTTTGCAAATGTTGTATATTCCCTTTAACTACTCGAACTGTTAAAGTTAACCCCTCATGGCTCAATGCCTTCAACGTGGCCACCACCTCTTTACACGCAAAGCTCTGCACAACGTCGCATATCGCCAACCGCCCGTCTAACCTTTGCAGAACAAACCAGCCAGCAACCAGTTACTTTTGCGCAAACTTGGCCCAGTGCAGGTTTTGACCCTGGACAGAATAACAATGAATGCTCAGTCATCCGTGGCCACAGACACACAATCAAGGTATCATTGGAAAGAGGACACATTGGCGTTTCAAATAGTCTTTAACTTATTTGGAAATATTTATTAGATTTTTTATAATTAACATTTACATATGGGTTTCCTTTGTTTTTGATACACCCTGTACCGTACATGTAATGTACATGTACCAGTAGTGCCAAGACGAACAGAGTCAACCCCCCCCCCCCTTCAAACACCCCCCCCCAAAAAAAAAACCCCAATTATCTCAGTCAGCACTTGCAGCATCATTTGGCAAACGAACCACCAAATCAAAGTCACAGAACATCACCGCCGGGCATTGCTAGTGGGCGAGTATGACACACCCTCAAACCCCTCCCCCCCCCAAAAAAAAATTATGCCTGTCAGCAAATATGCCATGACAAATAAGTTCCTCCACACGTGTTCATTAATGATAGTGTCAAAAAAGATTGTCCACTTTGAACAGCGACCCTATAAGTCAGATGGTGTTTAGCCATCCTCCCCCCCCCCTCAATATTTTAGCACAGATGGCCTTTCAGCAACTTGTTCTTAAATTCCCCACCCCCTTCAAATTGGTCTGGCAACGCCCCTGACACATCAGACACTGCTCAATGCCTAAATCACACTAGAATCCGGACATACAATGTAAACAGTCATGATAATACATGTACACAAACACCGGAAAATTAAAGGGAAAATTCAACATTTGCAAACATCGAAAAATAAAACTACTAAGTTTTTACGAAATACCTGACTAGGATGTTGGTAAATGACAGTCTAAAGCATCCAGTAAAATTATGGCACCTGGTGTGAAGTCATTTTCAAGAAAATGATATTTTTGTACACATTTCCAACGGTGGTCGGCCGACCACCGTTGGAAAAACCTAACTATTTTCAACTACTGCTCCAAATTACCATTTTTTTTCAGTCCAAATTTTGTTTGCTATTGGTTACATGTTCATGAACGGGTGCAGGCCAGCTAGACTGGTTCCCTTACCTTACAATTTCCCGGCATCAATACATTGATCCATTTCATCTTTAGTGGAGTCAGGGAACCAGACTACTTGAACAGTTTTGTTTTTCTTGATTTTCCAGCATTTTCAAACACAAAACTTCAAACATGTCAGTGTAACAATATTTGAACTATTATATTAACCCCTCAAATAGTTCATTTCTGAAAATTACAGCAAAAGCCAATGATGTACATTCCCTTTAATAGAAGAAAGACAACATAATAACCACATAGAACTGAAAAACTCAGTTGATTTTATGCAGGTACAGTGTTGCAGAGTTCACTGGTTCAAATCCCACTTCAAAGCTAATTCAAATACAAAGGTAAAGCAAATTTGACAAACCTGAAATATTAAAGTCAATAGGAGTTTAAATGTGTTCATATTGGACAAATTCACCGTTGAAATGGCCGGTACCGGTATTACAAACTTGAAAATTCCCAATTGTGCAAAAAATATGAACCAACATTCAGTTAATTTCTTTGTTCAACTGAAAATTATGTAGTGATGATATTACATAAAAATTTTATGTTCTCCATCATTAATGTACCAGTAGAACAGGTGAAATGCTTATTTAGGAATTCACAAACATCCATGAATGCCAATGTACTTGTACCGCGTACATGTACATGTATGTGCTGTCCATGTACTATGTACAATAGACTAACAATTGTTCATAAATTAACATGTAACATACATTTTGTAGCCTTTACAAAATGTACTAGTAAAGTTGCCTACAGTGAAATCTCGATTTGTCAAACTCTGATAACTCAAAACAACTGTTAAGTCAAACAAAAAATCCATTCCCTTCAGAAGTATAGCAATGACACAACCCTGCTTAACTCAAAACTCTGCTTAAGTCAAAGTTTGAACCTCTTCCCTTGAGTTTGACTTATATCAAGATTTCACTGTATTCATGGTATTTGCACACAGGTGACTCATGTACATACATACCTGTACATGCCTTGTGCCCGCAAAATTCCAGTCAATAAATAAAAATCTGAACCAGTCTTTCAGGTACTATACAAACAAAATATTCAATGCAGCAGTCTTAAGGCCTACAGCAAAATAGCTTTAAAATTATTGTTGCACTTCAAAAATTCTGTACATACCGGTACCTGTGCATGTGTGCAAGTAAATGCAATGATCTCTTCAAAAAGACATTACGACAATGGGTCATCAGAATGCTAGGATGATTCAGGCAGGCTGAGTGATGAATGTACGAACATGCAAGACCTGCACAGACATGCACATACAGCATTGTTTCTGTGTCACTAGAAACAGCATGCTAAGTACATGAAGTATTGAACATGTCCCCGTACCATGTCATAATCCTTGGATGTTCTCATTCTGCGTAGGTACCGGTATCAACCTCCCCCAATCAATAAGCAGAGATGATTACTCATCCTGACTGCATTCTGAGTGTTCTCCACTTGTCTCAATACACACAAAATGTACACTGTATGCATCACGGTATAGTCTGGTTCAACCTTCTTGACCCTAACTCCTCAGGCATTTTGGGCTGAATCCTCCAAAATCCTCTGCTGTGCAGGAACCTAACGGCATATTCTTTCTGGTTGTCTTTTTCTACATTAAAATGGCTACAACTAGTGGCTAGGCTGTGTGCATGTGTACCTTTGTCAATCCTGCAAAATCTTCCTGAACCTACAGGATTTTGATAGGATTAGGGTTAACCTACTGGTATTAGAATTACTGTGATATTCATTTGAAAAAAACATGGCTGGCTTGGATCCTGGGCATCATCCTACAAAGGTTGAGTGTTTGGATTCTAAATTAAAATTTTCCAACCACCCCAACCCTTCAAATTCCAACTGGCAACTGCATGTTTTTTTAAAATCTGTTGGAGTGAGTACTGCACTAGTAATTAACTAAGTGCTTTACATAGGGTCAGGCATACCACCATAATCAGAGTCCAACAGTTTGGGTGTGGAGTTTACCAGGTGTTGGAATTTGCAAGAGTCAGGAAGGATCCTTGCAAATCACGAAAGGGGTTGGGGTTAAAATGCGCTTTGAGTCAAGCTACTGTTCCACGGGAAAAAAATACAATTATTACCAAAATTTAGTATGCCCCTCTTGGCGTGCTACCCACTGGATTAATCACGGCACGGTACAAAAAATTGTTGTGAACACCTTTTCTTCAATGGATTTTAAACCAATAATATGACATGTACAGTGTACATTGTACATGTGCAGGTACATGTACATGTACATGTCAATGTACACGCACATGACCTTTACAGGCCTCACACTCATGCAAGGTATGCCTGATAAGGTTTGATGTAAAAATTCATCTCATAAATAGAAGTGCAATTATATTTCTTTACAAATCGGATTCAGCTTATAATCTGTGTCGGTATCTCCAGATACCGGTATATCTTTTCCTCTAGGCCTATCAGCATCAATACTCCCACTAACTTCAGTGCATTGCTCCCAGGACTGATCAGTGATAAGGCAAATAAGCTTGGCACACCAGGTGGAGCTGACTTTTGACCTTTGACCTTGCAAGCTGTAAAAAGCGCTGGAATATATACCTAGCCCCTGCTTGTCTATTAGGGTTTACTTTACTTAGAGATTAACTGTTTTAAGGATGTGACATTTACAACACGTTTAGACGTTCAACCTAAAAACAAAATCTAAATCAGTTTATAAATTGTCCAAAACGTTTAAAGGGAATATATCATTGGCTTTTGCTGTATTTTTCAGAAATGAACTATTTGAGGGGTTTGTATAATAGATCAAATTTTGTTACACTGACATGTTTGAAGTTTTGTGTTCGAAAATGCTCGAAAAGCCAAGAAAAACAAAACTGTTCAAGTAGTCTGGTTCCCTGACTCCACTAAATGTAAAATGGATCAATTTACAGATGCCGGAAAATTGTAAGGTAAGGGTACCAGTCTAGCTGGCCTGCACCCGTTCATGAACATGTAACCAATAGCAAACAAAATTTGGACTAAAGTAATGGTAAATTTGGAGCAGCAGTTGAAAAATAGTTAGGTTTTTCCAACGGTGGTCGGCCGACCACCGCTGGAAATTTTTACAAAAATACCATTTTCTTGAAAATGACTTCACACCAAGTGCCATAATTTTACAGGATGCTTTAGACTGTCATTTACCAACATCCTATTAAGGTATTTCGTAAAAACTTGGTAGTTTTATTTTTCGATGTTTGCAAATGTTGTATATTCCCTTTAAACAAAACCTGAATTAAAAGAAAGGAACCTATGTTTTTCCTTCCAGTTAAACATACACTGACTGGCATGCAAATGATATATGCACCAGTTGTACTATTTTTAAAATTAAAAATATCATGGATGGTCAATACATTTCCAAACCCGTGTCTTGTGTCATTATTTTGGTCAGTAATATTCAAGTTTTCAACACTAAACATCCTTTCCTTCATTGAAAAAAAAAACATGCTGCTTCTCGAAACCACTTCGCGACGTTAAACCGCCATCTTCAATTCCATATTCATGAGCTCATGAATATCGTTATTGTAACCAAGTAGAAAAGATGCCATTTTATTTTCTTTATCATATTTTTGTAAGTTAAGAGAATGTACTCTCCTCAAGTACATGTAGGTATTTAATTATTAAATCTTGTCAAAATTTGGGAACAATGGTTTTATTTAGGACCTCTGACTGACAATTGTTTTTATTAGAAATCAGTGTTTTTACTCACCAACATCCGATTTTCAACCCACAGGCAATGGGATTGTGGCGTTCAGGAACCTGTTCCTGTGAGAGAACGAAAAATCCACTTTTAACTTTTTGGACCCCTCTTAGATGGCAATGACACCATGTTGAATATCTGCAGGATTAATTTTGTGGAAAGAGGGCAGGGTTTTGATTTTTGAGGGACATTATGGGGTAAAAATGACGACAGCGACTATGCAGCAACAAACACACACACTGAAAACAAACGTTACGACAGCACGGTTGCTACTGGAATATCAGGTAAGAAAGATTGAGGTACTTCATTGTATTAACTAAGGTAACTTACGATCTGGATGAAAGTGAAATTTACCCTTTAATTCCAAAGTCTCCCAAGCCTATGTTGTCGTTGCTGAGATAACGTTCAAAAGCAAAGATCGTTGATGTAATGTACATCATGCATGACGCACGCGGGTGTGTGTGTGTATCCGTTCCCGAATCGCGGTACCCGACTCGACCTTGTCATGTCATGAGCGCGCGCGTCGACATAAGACAGAGACAAGGTTGAGTCTACGACGACTCGGGGACATGTATACATACATGTACATGTACATGTACGTGTACACAAACCCGCATGCGCCATGCATGATGTTTGTTACATCAAAGATACAATCTTTAATTTTGAACGTTGTCACGACGACAACATGATGGGCTAGGGAGAGCACAGAATTCAATGGTAAATTGTACTTTCATCCAGATCGTAAGTACCATGATCTTAGTCCCGACTCCACCTTGGCGTCATGTCATGAGCGTGCGCGTCAACATAAGACAGAGACAAGGTCGAGTCTACCATGACACGAGAACATGTATACATACGTATACACACCCCCGCATGCACCATGCATGACGTATGTTACATCGAAGATATATACAATCTTCAATTTCGAACGTTATCACGACGACAACATGATGGGCTAGGGAGAGCACAGAATTCAATGGTAAATTTCACTTTTCATCCAGGTCGTAAGTACCTCGATCTTAGTCATTGATCTCTACTTGTGTCTCAGGTGGCGTATTTAGTAATTCTATGGCCATTTTGAGGGTCAAATCTGATGTGTTTGTTGGCAAATGGTTGGGTCGTTTTTTTTTATTTAAAACGCCATGTCTGCCAATCCCATTCACTCAGACCCTACTAATAATATTGCCAGACCAGACCATGTCCGAATGTTAAAAAGTTTGGTCCAAGTTACTCCGATTAGGAAAGAATGTAGTATTCTTACGCCACTTCAGCAGTTGTGTACAAAGTCTATGGAGAGTCCAAATTTTTTTTAAGTATTTCCTAACAAAATTGGAAATGTTTCTCAGTCCCAGATTCATGTCTTATCATCATTTTTGCAATGACTGACCTTTGCTGAGATGATATATGAAGATAAAAGTGGCGTCAGGTTGCAACATTCTTTTCTAATCTTTCCCTGCAGTGACCTACTGGTACATATGTGTTAATCACCAGCCATCAGAAAGCGATAACTTGTCCTAAAATGTCAGGAAAGATTCCCATATCTGGCCATCGCTTGTCACCCTGTGCCCAAACCCTATAATTATAAAGGCTAATCGCAAATAGCAATATACACTGCTGCGCAAAGCATTATGGGCAGGATAAGGGGGCAAAGAACCACGCACGAACGCCAAGTTTGAACGCGCACACCGTCGCCGTTGTGATGCTCTCGGATTTTGCTATTTGCGATCACTCCGCCGCCGGATAAGGCTTATGAGACTGGCCTGAAAATTTGTTTTCTCACTAAATACTTCAATATTTTCCCTGTTAATTTTGACTTTTTAGGACATTATTATCACTTTCTGATGGCTGATAGCTCACTGAAGGGAAAAATTAGTGATGGCCAGATAGACCATGGGAATCTTTCCAAAAGTCAAATTTAGCAGGGAAAATATTGAAGCATTTATTTCAAATTTAATTAGGCCTAATTTTTTTAACCGAGAAAACATTTGGAATTTTTCAGACAAGTCTCATAGGGTTTGTGCACAGGGTGTCAAGTGATGTCCAGCAGGTATGAAACTCTTTCCGGTCCAAAACCATAATTTTACCCCTGAGAAAGAGGTTGTCCGGAAATTGGACAACTGATATGAATGACATGAGCCAATCAATGGCACGCATTGTATGCAAAGCCAAGGCAAAGCAAAGCCAAAGCTGACAAAAAAACATTAAAAAATGGGTGCAGCATTCGATCAGTATTCAGTTTTTCACCAAGTCACAAAATAGGTTAAGAGTGACATGCAAGCATAACCTACCTAACGATGAGAATATCTTGCTGACTTTGAAAATCTTGAACTGCGTTAACTGGATAAAATTCAGGATGCGACGACACACACCAACTTCATTTTATCGGCAGCAAGAGACGGCCATGTTGAAGGATGACGTCACCCCACTGGGATTTCGTCACAGACGTAGACCGAGTGGCGATCTGCGCGGCGGTGCTGCACTACAGCAAATTTTTGACAATTTTTCACCCTTTCTTTATTTATCGTCAACTTTCTGTAAAGAAATTGCCCCAACTGAAAGCACTTACTCACTAGTTATGAGTTTGCTGATTCACAATAATCTCAAAGTTTTACTTTCTCGGACTACATGTATGTAGGACTAGTACTGAAATTGTCATTTTAAATTAAATTGTCCAGATATCGCGCCTAAAATATTCACCATAAGGTACCAAATAAACATTTACACCGAGTTTCTTTTTCGAAGTTTGAAGAACATCTGATTTTACTATGCATTAAAAACGTAAAGTTAAGTTCATACTTTATTGTTCTTTCGCCAAGGTCACAACCATGATGCATATAGGCTAGGCCTAGTCAGCTAGCTAGTTCTTGATTTAAGTTTGGGAATCCACTCAGGCCTTTTTGTTGACGCAACCTTGCACAATTTCCACTCGCATATTGCTGCGAAGTCAGGGACTAGACAAAATACTAACCCAACTGATATTCAAGTCTTTTTTTAGATACTGCAAATATTTACGTTGGCTTCCATTTATATTTTCAATGATTTTTTTTTCTTTCCTGGAAAGCTACTAATAAGGTTAATCTTTAGAGGTCCTTCCCGTGACATGCATGCAGGAGAAGACAAACCAAATCATAAAAACATCACACCTTAATTATACCAAATGAAAAGGCGCAAACCGTACCTCGACTTTATACATCTTCAAACTTTTATGACAATCATTTTCCACTAAAGTTCCAGAAATAGGTTCAACTGTTCCGCTCCAAAGAAAAGAGGAAAATATTCGCAAAAATTGTGCTTGACGTAAATCAGATTTGATGTCCCCTTCAAACGAGTGTTTTTGGGTTGTTTTTTTTTAATTAATAACCCTAAAAGGACCGGGGCGGATCCGCCCCTCCCCCTCCAACTTTTTCCGCGATACCCTTGCAACAAAAACAAATTTTCCCGACCCGAGCTTTCCTGACATTTTAGTCTCGAGTCTTACCAAAAACATAAATTTCCGAGCATGGGTTGCCTCGCAGCGAAAAATGCGCGCCCCGAAAACTGAATTTCCCCGGTACTACTGTACACAAAGCAGAATTACCATTGGTGCCGTAATGAATAATTAATTAGCCAATAATTCCAAACCCTTTAACCCATAGTAATGAAATTTCTTGGGTATGTTCATATTAAGTTTTCTATGCATGCACCACCAAGTTTCATCAATTTTGTCACTCAGTGGCCGAGATCTGAAGGGCCCGGCAGGGGCGGATCCGCCCCCCCCCCCACTCTGGCAAGAGATGGTCAAAATAACCCGGCTCCTTTTATAGGGTTAAACTAGAAGAGAAATGAAGACGCCCATGGGCGTCGCCAGGATTATTTTCTAGAGCGGGGAAAAGCACACACCCCCCCCCCCCGAAATCCCTGTATTTTTCTATAGCATATTCTCGATTTATCATTTTTCGAGGGTGGTCCGGACATTTGCCCCCCCCCCCCCAACCCATTAAATTAACAGCAATATGACCTTGCGTCTCTTTTTCTTTCTTTTGTCCCCTTTTTGTTCTCTTATTGTTCTCTCTTTTTTTTCTTCTTTTCTTTTGCTTTTCCAGGAGGGGGGGAAGCCGCCCCCTTGCCCCCCCCCCCCTCACGACGCCCATAAAGACGCCTATTTTAAAACCGATGTTACTCACAGCTTTGCAGGTCAGTGTGAAGCATGAATAAAAAGATATAATTGTTTCTAAAAAGTGGCACATTTTTCGTTCGTAAAAAATTGTTCAAATATAAGCAGACGAGGGCCTATAGGGTGTCGATTATGTCAGTTTTGAATTGCTACCGGTTACATTTTCGTTTGAAAAAACTATGATCGTGGCAGAATGTCGCCGGGGCGAGGGGAGGGACTTTTTTGCCGCCATAATGCAGTTCTCCTCCCCTCTGGGCAGGCGCGGTTCTACGGGGGGGGGGGGGGGGGGGGGGGGGGGGGGGGGGGGGGGGGGGGGGCTAGGGGGGGGGCTGTAGCCCCCCCCCCCCAAAAAAAAAAATTCCGTAAAAAAAAATTGCATTAGCAAAAAGAAGGATTGTGATGTACATGCGAACGGTCTCCCCCTAAAGAAGAAATAGCCGTGACAAGGGTGCATTAGTTAATATAGTGTGAATGATTTTAGGATTTTATTGGCGCTCCCCATTGAAAATATGGCATGAGCCCCCCACCTATTGATTTTCGGAGGCCTAAGTGTCTGGAAAAAATAGCCGGTCAACATTTCAGCACGTCTCCCTGAAAAAAATTCTGGATCCACCGTGCTAGCCCCCCCCCCCCCCCAAAAAAATATTGGTTCTACCGCGCCTGCCTCAAATATGTTTATGAAAATATCCAGACAAATTATCATAATACGCTCACTGGTAACTTACTTATAGTTTATTTAAGTTTTGTCTTGCAAATGCAAGCAATCGCAAAACAATTAAGGACATTGGCGGTGCGGTCACGGTGGACGATCAAATTCTCGTTCTGTACATTTCCGAGCAACGTTTCAAATGCAAAGTTGACCTTCGACATGCAGGCTTCCCTCGTGTCCCCCCCCCCCCCCCCCCCCACCCACCCACCTCCACCCCTCCCCCACCCACGTACTCCCCACATCCCCACCCGATGTATGCAGCGAATGAGCTGATGATTCGCCCAGTGTATAGTCTACAACTGGCCGAATTTTTGGTTTGGAAAAAAAGGCATTATGACAAAAAAGGTCTTGAGAGTGCATTTCAATAGCGCCCTCTCATGGCAAGAGAATGTCCTGTCATTTTTGTCAATCTTAATTTTGGCCGACTGTACTGTGCATGCGCATCTGAGGGTGATCCATCGCATAGCACAATTTCGTAACATTTAATTGTTAAAACAATAGAAACGATTAGGACCCCTTGAAAATCGAAACTTGGGAAGTTCCCTGATTCTAAAAATAGCATATGACGTCCACCACAAATCAATATTTAATTTGCGTTCAGTGCATGCTGCATGCAGTGCCAGTGTTGCACTTTCGATTTGCCGTTCCTGGTGAAAAAACAACATGGACTCGGGACAATTCCCCGTTTGGTTATTTCGCCAGTTCAACCTCAAATCTTGCGGTTTGTAAGCTTCGCCTGTGGAGTTTCCCTCCAAACAGACGAATGCTAGACAGGCTGGGGAGTACTTGCGGTTAAATTCTGACAAGGTAGGTACGTACGCCACGCTGTTGAAAATTTGTGCATATGTCATGGAGTAGGCATTACGTGTACGTTGCTTTGTGTGCAATTAATCATGGATGCATCAGTGCGTTTGGATCCTTGGCTGTGTGTAAACCAACAAAGACAGCCGCTAGGGTTTGAAGGTGCTAATTTAGTAAACAGGATTAGTGTAGTAAGTCCAGGTCAACATGCACATATGGGCTAACTGTTTCCAGTTATAATAATATGACCAACAATGAATTGTGGTAAACGTGATTGAGCTATTATTAGTATACTAATACTATAGTATTACAGACATGTCAAATGAGTTGAAGTCACTGCTTTGTAAATTACTTCACCAGTTTGGTATGGGAAGTTTTGAGAAAAATATACTCAAAGGCTATTAAAAAAATAGTATGAGAAAACTATAACAAATCGGGAATAAAGATTTGTTCCAATTGTCTAGTTCAGTTTTATTCTCATAGAGGAATACATTTTCCTCCATGGTTAACTCAAGGCAGAATAGCGGTAATTAATCTTCTGCTGAGTTTTGTGTCAGATTAAGTGTCACATTTAGACACAAATATACTTTCCACCACAGCATTGCAACTTTACTTCCCTGTTGATTGTACATGTAAGTCAATACTAGCAAGTTGTCCTGCATGGAAGATCGAGACGATTGGCGGATCTGTTGTAAAGCCCCGGCTGTAGTGACTGTGCATGGCTGACTGAGAAGTAGTACACACTGTAGGTAGTGTAGTGGTACACAACACAAAATATCCCCAAATTCTGCCAAAACTGAAGCTTCACAGTTCGCAAAAAACAGAATCATTTGCATTGTTTACTCTGCAGGTTAAGAGTAAATTCTAGTTGCCAACCATCAAGGGCGTCAATCGCTTCTGAAAAGTGTGGGGGAGCATACCTTGATCAGAACTAATGCAAGCACGAAGCCCTAAAGCATGGGGTTCAGGGTCCTTAAGGATTCTAGATGCTCTGGGGTGCGATCTGAGGCAGTTTCTGATTACTTTTAATAACCTTTTTGGGTTTTTTGGCAAAGATTATCATTAAATTAAACAGCATTTTCGAGTTTGGAGTCGTTGAATTAGCTATTCTGTGCTATAGAATCAAATGTAGGCTATATTTTTTCGAGGTCGATTCCCATGCCAACCATGCAAAGGGTCGGCATCGTTTCAAAGTCCCAAATAACATACATACGGTACTACATTGTTTGTGCTTTTGAATTGCTTTTTAATGCAGGATCTGAAGATACCTGGTGAGGATGGTCATGTTTGGCAATTACGGTGTGTCACAGTCGTATCTACATAGAGTGACACCGCAAGTCAGCGCGATGGCAGATCCCGCCAACTCTCAGATAGACGGAAGCTGTGCTGCTCATGCAAAGGCAGACAGTGCCGAGACCTCTACGCCTCCAGCGCATTGTGAAACACAGCAGTCTGAAAGAGCAGAGGCTGCAACCAGGTCAACCTTTGCCCACCCACTATCTACTGAAGAGGAATTGATGGCACTGGATGTTGGCGTGGATGGTCAGTCGGTACCAGAAGGCATAAGTGATCTCTCTGAGCCATCCAAAGAGAGTGAGACATCAGTGAATGTCGGGGCATCCCTCTCTTGTTCTTCTGGGACAGAGACGCTGAAATCTGCTGATCGGACTCCCAAGAGCCATCGGAAAGCATTGCGGGACAACGCTCTAGATTCTGAAGCAGAGGAGGTGCAGCTTTCTCAAAGTCAGGGTTCTTCTAGTTTGTCGGAAGCCGTTGCAGCACACAGTACAGCAGGGTCTGATATGGATGAGACACTAACTAAAAGTGCAGAATCTGCTTCTAGTCTCCATTCAAGCAGTCTTGCAAAATACGATTTTGTGATGTGGTACCATCCAGACGATGACTTGGCAGCCGAAAGGATCTATAAATTCTTGGAAGGAGACCTGGGTCTGAAAGGATACAGATATTGCCGGGATAGATCGCTGGGGAAGTACAAGTTGAGTGAAATGGCTGAGGCCATAAGGGATTGCAGCAAGGTGCTCTTGTTTATCACGCCTCGATCCAATGACTGTGGAATGTTTGAATCACAAGTGCACAACAGTTTGAATCACTCCATAGAATCCAATCGTAAAAAATGTCATACCAATTTATTGGGAGCTAAATCCGCATCAGGGTCCTAATGTTGTAAGGGGGATTCAAAGTATCGTTTATCAAGACTGTAGTGAGAAATTCAAGAAACAAATTGCAAGGATTTTTAAATTATCTTACCCTGAGTCATTTACTGCATCAGTGCGTAGCAACTCTTACTCACCCCAGTCTGTTAAATCATCAGTTTTACCAACTTTCACACAGTCATTGAGTGCACCTTGTGCTCCAACACAGAAGAGTTTTTGGTCCCGCTGGTTTTCTTCTAAAAAGTAATAACTGAAATTAATTTATAAAGGGTGTATCAAAATAAAGGTAATCCAAAAGTAATGGGTTAATAGTTAATACATAAAAGTCATGAAGTTGAAGGGTAGTTCATTAGCTTTTCATTGATATATTGTCATGTCAGTGCAACAAGGTTGTATCTCCTAAAATGGGCCGTACATGAAACGTTAGTTTCAGAATGTCAAAAGGTCGTATCTCAATTAAAATAACCCGGATGTACACACAAAGTCAATAGACGTCGAGATACAACCGTGTTGCACGGAATGTTTCGCGCGAGATACAACTTTGTTGCAGAATGCAGCATTGACAGAGCAGCATAATAAACCCATGTTTTCAAGTTTTTGCTGTACACGTGGTGAGTTAAGCTATCGGATGAATGTGCTGATGCTGTGGACAGTACGTTATAGGAGGGTACGTTTTAGAGATGTTGGTGCTTAAATTGGGACATCATAATGTTGTCCATAAATAAATAATCATGCCAAAGATTTTGTTTTTCATCACAAATTACTATACCTCATGATTAGTCATCAGGCAGCCACGGCATTTCATTGGTCCATTCCAGCAACTCAACCGTGTGAAAGTTTTTACTATTTCCCCGCGTCTCCGCACGCGCGCGCGTGACGCGTAAAAAACAGGGAGGTAGTCTAATTCAAAATGATCCCACAGCACCGTAGGGCTGTCTAGTCCATTACGGTATACATTGTACATCAAAATTGCAACCGGCATGACCGGTATGTTCACTTTGCAAGTTTTACCGAGGAAGAACTGGGTGAAATTTTGGACAATAATAATAAATCCAGTGTTTTGTGTCAATATTAAAGTTATTAAAATAATGACACAACAGTAACTTTCTATTCTATTTGTCTCCTTAAATTAAACTTAACGTTTCAGTTTATCCAAATAAGCCTTTTCGGAGTTCCAACTGCGCATTCATAACCTGTGACAACGCGCATTGTTTGTCTCAAATGGCCTTTGACATCATCGCACCACTGACTTTACAAAAAGGCTGTTTGTGCATTGTGGGTACTGTCAAAGGGCATTTGAGACAAACAATGTGCGTTGTCACAGGTTACAAATGCGCGCAGTTGGAACTCCGAAAAGGCTTATACTGCACAATGAAAAACATGGTGAAATGGACGCAGCTGCCTGATGAATATTTATGAGGTATAGTAAAACAAATACATGGTGTTTTTTGCAGAAATAGTGAAAACAAATGATCCCTCTGTGTTGGATGATTGGGACTATGTCCCTCAGCATACCATTCATCCAACTCCTCAGGGTCACTATTTCCCCACAAACCATGTTGTATTTGTATACTAGCAATCCCAATCCTAAAGTCTTTTTAACAGCTTGCAATGGGCACGGCCAAAGCGATGGCAAAGTTGGGCCGACGCCCAAGCTATGTTTTGAGTACATTTTGTGTGTGCAATAGGTAGTTGTTATTTTAATGACTAAACATAATACATGTATCCTTCAAATGATTTTTGTTGTGCGATAGGTAGTTGTTATTTAATGAGTTAACATAAGGCCAAAAAAAAAAATATTCGGTCTCTGGTCAGGCCAAAGTTCCGGAATTGATGCGGCGACGCTGCTTTTTTTTTTTTTTTTCTTCTTCTTTTTTTTTTTTTTCAAGCTTGGATTGTACAGACACGGTGGGGTACTATTTTGCTTTTTTTTGTGTCCTCATGTACATTGGTGCCCTCGATCATTTGCCTTGGTGCAATTTTCCATTCCTTGGTGCTCTGTGGTAAAATAAAATTGAGGAGGTGCGGCAATAGAGGGCGCTGTTGGAGCTATCGCGGAACATTTTGGGAATAAAAAAGGTTGACGAGCATGATTAAAATTAACGCGCGCGCTGACCAGAGACCACATTTTTTTTTTTTGACCTAATACACGTAAAGTTCAAATGATTTTTTGTGTGCAATAGGTAGTTGTTATTTTAATGCGTAAACATAACATCTTTGAAATGATTGATTTAGCCTAATAATGAAACTTATTCTATTTATACTCGAAACATTTTCAGCATGTCTTTCTCCCTCCCCATTCCACAAGTAATCTACTACGACTGTGAACTTTTTTGGACAGCTCACTTCACAGCTGAGCACAGCTTATATTAACTCACCACTTATTCAGCAAACTTGGAACATGGGTTTAGTAGCCTCTTTTTTTTAAATCAATGGTGCTCGGTCATCCGTGACTAAAGAGATGCATATGAGATATCAATGGAAATCTAGTAATAACCTACCCTGCAAGATGGACCCACTTAAACAGTGTTCAAATTTGCACCTTTTATTATTAACCCATTACTTTTGGATAACTTTATTTTGATACACCCTGTATTGAAATTAAGTATATTTTACTATGAATTTGTTTTCTGAAATGTGTGCTTCAGGTTATGCTGCATGGACTTTCGACCTGTAAGCATGGCAAAGACAGATACTTCCATGTTTTGCCAAGATGTGAAACACCTGATAAACAAAAATATTTGCTGGCGATAGTTTTGAGTAATGCAGATACTGACAGAATGTGTGCAGTTGAAGCAAACATTGAGCAGATGTTGCGTTCAAAGTCTAGTACTGAAACCAATAATCAATGTCGACAATCAATGGCACGCAGGCATCAGCCTTTGTGTGTAGTTGTGTATAGTTATGCATCATTGAATGACAAATAAACAGTCTGTGGTCTGAAATCAAATATCGAAATTGTGTTTGTATGAAGAACGGCACTCACAGGCTTATATATGTTTTCATTTCTAGAACAATTATGGGTATCAATGGGGGAGGGGTGTTGTGTTAGACTAGGTGGACATGTCTCCTCCCCCCCCCCCCCCCCCCCCCCCCCCCCCCCCCCCACACCCCCACCTCAATAATTTTGGGGAGAGGGACGCCAATTTTAATGCCTCGATAAGTTATTCCCTCGATAATTTATCCCCTCGATAATTTATCGCCTTGATAATTTATCGCCTCAATAATTTACCTTAATCAACAAAATATGCTTTTCCTCATAACTGACATGCATCACTAAATCGCAACAAGAAATTGCTGCTCTGGAAAACTACAATGTAGTTGGAAAACTATTCTACCGGCCAAGTTCCACTTATGTCATCTAATATTTTTTTTTTTAAATGATGCACAGTTGCGGGGAAAAGTTTATTTGGTTAATTCAGATGCACCTAAACTGGTCTTGTTTTGAAAATTGATGAAGTGCTCCCAGTTCTACCCATGGCCCAAATAAACCTGTTTTAATAAGCCTTTAATAGGCACCACTACTTTGGCTAAATTTTTTTCCATTGTATTTGTAATGTAAATGGAATCTCACCTCGTGTGGTTGATTTTATCAAAGAGAGTGCTCTTAAGTCTTATAACTCTGATGACCAGAAATACTTCTCAAAGAAATTCATTATAGTTGTTAAAGGGAATATACATCATTTGCTTTTGCTGTAATTTTCAGAAATGGATGGAATTGGGGGGTTGGAAATATATAGCAAATATAGTTACACTGACTTTTTTGAGGTTTTGGGTTCGAAAATGCTATAAAAACCAAGAAAAACAATCATTTTCCTGTAGTCTGGTTCCCTGACTCCATATAAGAAGAAACAGAGCAGTTTACATACATTGGGGAATTGTAAGGTCAGGTAACCAGTCTAGCTGGCTTGTACCCGTTCATAGGTTTGTTATCGATTGCAAACAAGTGCGATGGTCAATTGGGGCCAGTATTTGGAAAAAAAAACAGTTTTTTCCAACGCTGATCGGCCGATCAGCGTTGGAAATTGATACAAAAATACCACTTTTCTTGAAAATGACAGTATACCAGGTGCCATGATTTTACAGGATGCTTTACACTGTCATTCACTAACAGTCCAGCAAGGTATTTCAAAATGATTTGGTAGTTTTATTTTTTGATGTTTGCAAATGTTGTATTTTCCCTTTAAGAGTTTCAGTCTTTAAATTGCTTTCTTGAAACTTTCAATCACTAGAAATATACATCCATAAAGAAATGTGCCCCTTATAATGAAATTAATGGTGCCGTTGTTTTTATCTGACCTCAAAAGTAGTAGTATGTTTTTCTTTCAGTTCTGTATACGCAACTTCCTCATCTTGGCCAATTATGCAATTGTGTGGGGGTGGGTATTCCTTTGTGTACATTTCTTGCTTTACCGATGGGATCACTGTTCTACTGTTTTGCTGAAACTTTGTGCATCAGAAAGATTCTGTGCCAAGGTGTACTTCCTGTCAAAACATTTTCAGGAGAAATTACTTTAATAATGGCCTTTAGGTCTGTGGCAATACATGTTTAACAGAGCTCCTTCATATGTTGGATCTTGGTTAGGACCTACAAATGCTGAAGAAAACAAGATTAGGACTGGAGCTGGACCCCAAAATCTCAGTTGAGGACACTTTACACTCGGTCAGAACTCAGTTAGTCAGTGACTCGGGGAGTCAGCCAGTCAGTGACTCGGCGAATCAGTTGGGGAGTCAGTCAGTGACTCTGCCGGGGAGTCAGTCAGTCAGTGACTCGGGGAGTCGGCCAGTCAGTGACTCGGCGAATCAGTTGGGGAGTCAGTCAGTGACTCTGCCGTGGAGTTAGTCAGTCAGTCAGTGACTTAGGGAGTCTGTCAGTTGGGGCCAGTCAGTCAGTCAGTCAGTGACCCCATCGGGGAGTCAGTTGGTTGGGGAGTCGGGGAGTCAGCCAATCAGTGACTCAGTCGGTCGGGGAGTCAGCCAGTCAGTGACTCTGTCGGTCGGGAGTCAGCCAGTCAATGACTCTATCGGTCGGTGAGTCAGCCAGTCAGTGACTCTGTCGGTCGGGGAGTCAGTCAGTCAGTGACTTGGTCAGTCTGTCAGACACACAGTCAGTCAGTTGAAGGACAAACGAGTCGGAGGAATATAGGCTGGCCTTTTGGGTACAGCAAAAAAAAAAACACCCACAAAACTCCAGAGTGGGAAAATGAATCAAATCTTCACTGCTTACATTTTTGTTTAAATCCCCAAAAGCAGGTCCTCCCAAAAGAATTAGCCCCCAAATTTGTCAGACTATAATAAGGGGAGAGGAAACTGACAATAGATAACAATTCATTACATAACTGGATACAAATCTGTTGATTTCAGCTGTATTTTGGTAACTACCCTGACAAATGAGGGCACAGACGCCCTGGCTCTTTATTGGAACAAAACACATTTTTCCCAGAAGGTGGGAGCAAACACTCAGCAATGTAAGTCTACTTTATAGTTGCTGTTCCAACACTGACGATCCATAAAACAATTATGTCTTAACACAAGCTCACTTCTACATACACGCATTACAGATAAACTCAGATAATACAAAAACAAATATTGGCTCAGGAAGTTCATTGATTGCTCTATGCTTCAATCAAGCAAATGTTTTGTAGAATTGCAACTATACATCACCATTTTACCCAACAACGTAGAGAATTTCACTAGCCATTTGGAAGGAAAACTGTTTTTCAAACTTAAATAAAAAAGAATAAAAAAGAATGTAAGGCCAAAAAAAAAAAATAGTCGGTCTCTGGTCAGACCAAAGTTCCGGAATTGATGCGGCGATGGGGTTTTTTTTTTTTTCTTCAAGCTTGGATTGTACAGACAAGGTGGGTACTATTTTGCTTTTTTGGTGTCCTCATGTACATTGGTGTCCTCCATAATTTGCCTTGGTGCTTTCGATCATTTGCCTTGGTGCAATTTCCCATTCCTTGGTGCTCTGTGGTAAAAAAAATTGAGGAGGTGCGGAAATAGAGGGCGCTGTTGGAGCTACCGCGGAACATTTTGGAAAAAAAAAAGATCGACGCGCATGGTTAAAATCGACGCGCGCGCTGACCAGAAACCGACTTTTTTTTGGCCTTATTTTTTTTTTTGAGATGCAGTAAAAAAGAATAGAGTAAAAAATAAATGAATGAATTGGCCAAGATATATAATATTTAACAGTTAACAAACACCTGGTTCTTCAAAGTATTAACATACTTATTAACATAAATTCAGAAACCTATTCCCCCAGTACTGAAGTTTCAGCTTGATTACAATAAAAAAAAAAACTAGAAAAACGTACCACTAAAATCACAATTCTTTGAATACATCCATTATGACTGACTACCGGTATATAAAATGAAAATTGGTAAATACCTATTTCTGTATTTAATACACATACACAATGTTTCACACTGTTTTAAACTTGGAAAATTGCCAACATGGGCAGGGTAAATATAATTTAATTTTTTTTATGGAATTCAAAAATAAAGGGTTTTAAGACTCTGCACAGAACTCTTGTTCGATGTTCATACATTGCCTAATTATCAAAACTATTTCAGATATTTCAACTATTACTGTATTTCAGTCAACAAAGCCTCACAGAATCATTTGCAAATAATTGTACCCCAAAAATAAATGAACATGCATTTGGTATTTGATTTTGTTTTTTTTTAAAGGTATTCAATAACATTAGTAATGACCCACTAATGAAACTACCTAATAAATGAGAAAAATCCTGCTCAAAGTAGGACTGGTATCAAATACCCTGTAAAATTAAAAGGGTATCGTTCATTAATAATAATTAAATATTATTATTATTATTTATTCAGCCAAAGAAAAAGAATACAAATATACAATAGACTTAAACTACAATACATACATTAATGCCCAAGAGAAAACAAAGACAGTAAAAAAGCTAATCACCAAGATGAGATCTATTTATAACAATTGATAATTACCCGAGCCGAAGGCGAGGGTAATTATCAGCATCCAGACTCCAACTGGTCTTAAACATAGTGTTTAACACCGACCAAGCACATATTCATTCCCATTCTTAAATACCTTTTCGGTAAAACTTTTCGGTCCACAAGAGTTAAAATAAGTCAAAATTTTTCAATTTCCAATGATTTCGTTCAACCAAACACCCCTCTAGTTATACAATGGTAAGGCCCTCTGGTACATGTATTAGATCTCCTTATACATGTATGGAGATTGAATAAAAATCATGTCCGAATGCTGATTTAGGGAGTGAACACACAATAATAATAATAATAATATAATAATTTGGGAGGCTAATCATCCTTACTCGCAGCTGGTATGCTGAATTGCGAAGGACGCGGCTACAAAGTGGTCGGGCCGCTGGCACGTAAAGGTGCATATGGCTGCCGGCCACATCGACCCATATATGACCACAGAGCACAGCCTGAGATCAAAAGTGTTTGATTTTTTTCGGAGGGTGGAAAACCGGAGGGCCCAGAGAAAAACCCTCTTGGCACAGGAGAGAACCAACGCACAACTCTACTCACATGCGATCCGCGGCCAGGATTCGAACCGTGGTCACCTTGGTGAGAAGCGAGCGCTTTACGCACAAGCCACTCATGCCACCCATGAAGGGTGCAACTCAAAATACCAAACGGCAACTTGGAAACGTAAACTGCGAAATCCACCGATGAGACCAAAAAGTTTTCTCTGTTTCCCCAATATAATAATAATAATAACAAGCAGAAACTTAAAGGCAATACACCACATTTGCTTTTGCTGTAATTTTCAGGAATGGATGGACTTGGGGTTGAGCATTTGATAGAAAACATTGTTACACTGACCTGTTTAAAGGTTTGTGTTCACAGATGCTGGAAAAAACCAAGGGAGAAAGGCTGTTCTTGTAGTCTGGTTCCCTGAATCTACTTCAGACGAAACTGAGCAATTTATAGACATCGGGGAATTGCCAGGTCAGGGGACCAGACTAGCTATCTTGCACCTGTTCACGGATGTGTTACCCGATTGCAAACAAAATGCGGACCAACTAAATTTGGTAAATTGGGGGCAGTATATGAAAACAATTCAGTTTTTTCAAATGGTGATTGGCCAACCATTGTTTGAAAATTGATACAAAAATTCAACTTTTCTTGAAAATGACAGCACACCAGGCGCCAAGGATATTACATGTATTCACTTACAGTCAAGTAAGGTATTTCACAATAATTTGGTAGTTTTATTTTTTGATGTTTGCAAATGTTGTATGTCACCTTTAAATGTTCTGAGTCTGAAACTATTACTTTCAGAAAAGCAACTTAAATTTGGTGAAGCAGTTACGATTTAGCACGAGTATCATCTTTGGTTGGATAAACGGCTGGATTTGATTTTCATGGATGCATGTTTAAATTTACTTTTCAAAAGATGAAAGTACAAAATGAAAATTCACGGTTTCTTGCACATCAAATGCATGGATTCTGTGGCTATTTCAGTAATGGAAATCACTTCAAAGTTGGCGGTTTCTAGCATCTTTTTACCCACCTCCCTCCCCATGAATGCTCCTAGCCCCGCCCCATCTTTATCTACCAGAGATGTGGGGAGACAGTTGAAGAGACTGTAGGTGAAATCCACGCAGATCCTGTCCTGATCCTCGAATGCCAGGTTGTCTTGGAGTTTGGAGTGGCTGTTGACCTCGATGATGGATAGGGTGCCTCCGGACTTGAGCACCCTGTGCATCTCACGGAGTGCCTTGTCAGGGTAGGTCAAGTCGTGGAGGACGAAACTTATGAATACGTAGTCAAACTTGGCGGTCCAGTCGCTTGGCAGTTGGGTTATGTCGCTTGCAAGGAATTCCACGTTGCTGAGGCCCTTCTTGGTCGCCATTTCCCTCGCCTCGAGAATCCCAGGCTTGGAGAGGTCAATGCCAGAAAACCGACTCTTGGGAAAGTGACCGGCTATGATTCGCGTGGAAAGCCCTGTACCGCAGCCAGCATCCAGAACTTCGATTCCATCGTCTGGAAAATAGAAAGATCAAGTTAAGATGTTAACCAGTTCACGTGTATAAACACAAAGGCTTTGCGGTATTCGGAACGGATGACGCTGGTAAGTTCAGGTACCGAAAAGTGGACACAGTTGCCCAAGCCAGATATTCAGGGGTTTTCGGGTCGGGTCGGTTCGGTTTCGTGTTAGTTCGGGTCGGTTTTTCTTGAATATTTGTTGGGTCAGGTCGGGTTGGTTCGGTTTGCAGGGGTGTGATTGGACAAAAATGAAAAATCCACGAACTTCGGTTGACATGTAATATACATGTACATGTACATGTATTATTGTACATGTACTTGTATAGATGTACATGTATACATATGCATGCACGTATGTCCATATATAGGCCTAGGGCATGTACATTTTATGTACTGTAATTTCTGTAATGTTAGTAAATTTTGTCGCTTCAGTAAAGAAAACAAATGGGGGAAAAATTAAGAAAAAACGTCTGGTCATTAAATAATATAATCCATATGTGATTGATTCATAAAGGCTTTTTCTGTGTGTGATGTTATTACTTTTGCATGTTGCAGAGAGAAACGATTCACACAAAACAATATGAACGGTGCTGAAAAAAGTTTAATCTTACTTTAAACTCCAGTCCCAGCCCCAGGCTTCCAAAACATTTTTGAAATTTTGTGTTGGTGGTGGCTATTTTTCAAAGCACTACTGCAGCTCAAACTGATTTCCATCCACAGTGACACTTTATTACCAGTTCTTCCAACCATACTCTTGAATTCCTTGACAAAATCGCGGCAACACCAATGTGTTTGCGAATTGCTAGCACACGATCGTCACTGCACACTACATGCACAATACACACACACATCCACACGCGAAAAGAAACACGAGGTGCTGCAAACCCATTGAAAATTATTTTTAGTCTGGTCCTCAAGTACTCCACTGCGCATACTGCAATAATGTCTATTAGGTTCTTGACCGCACTGCATTAGACTTGTCACCAGTCCATCCATTATCGTAAATTAGAGCCTATATTTCGCCAGAAGTTTTTAGGCGATATTATTACGGAAACAGAAAACGTTAAAAATCCGGAATCCTCAAAACAATTCCGCAGACGTTAGATAAAAATCCGGAAATCCGGAAAAATCCGGAAAAATCACACCCCTGGGTTTGGGTCAGTTTTTCCTGCATGTTTTGTTGGGTCAGGTCAGGTCGATTCGGGTCGGTTCGGGTCGGTTTTTCTTGAATTTTTGTTGGGCGGGTCAGTTTTAGGGATTCAGATCAGTGTCGGTTCGGTTTCGTGTTAGTGCGGGTCGGTTATTCTTGAATATTTGTTGGGTCAGGTTGGGTTGGTTCGGTTTGGGGTTGGTTTGGTTCGGTTTTCCTTGCATCTTTTGTTGGGTCAGGTCAGGTCAGGTCGATTCAGTTTCGAGTCGGTTCGGGTCGGTTTTCCTTGAATTTTTCTTGGGTCGGGTCAGTTTTAGGGATTCAGATCAGTTTCTGTTCGAATTTGGTTTATACATGAATCTATTATGTTTCGGGTCGGTTTGGCCTGGTCAGCCCGACCCGATGCACAACACTAGTGTACATGTACTTACTGAGTTGTTTCTGTATCTGAGGCATAGAGGGAATGAACTCCTGAAGGAACTTGTTGTGGAACCATGGCCCTTGAGTCAACTCCATCAACTCATCAAATTTGGGATATTGACTGTTTGAAACTCCTATAAAAAAAAATAACAATGGTGAATATTATCACATTAGCCACTGTACTACATTGTTTGGCAATGTGTTTATTCACAGATAAATCTATCAAAGTATTGAGTGCTCAGTCAGTTTGGGGCACTACAGTGACAGTTTAATAAATGATCCTTTCTATTAGGCCATCAGCCTCGGTCCAAAATTTTTGCCACCGGTATCAAATGAGGGGAATAATCGTTATCGCGATTTTTGGCAAGGTATACACCTCCAGAGTTGGAAAATATGTGATAGCATTGCAGCGGTGGCAGCTTTTTGGGTGCCATCACCCTTTTTTTCAAAATGTCTTTCAAAATGCTTGTTACCACTCTAGGGGCGGTATACCTTGCGCTAGTCCGAAAATGTGGGACTCTCAATACTGTGTATGAGAGTCCCAAAACTTAAGGTATTGAAAACATGCAAAAACAAGAAAATAGACTGGCACCTAAAACAACCAGTCCAACACAATCAACCATGCCAAAAGAATTTAAGAAACATGTGGCATGAAGCGGGAACTAGTCTCAATTTACTACACATTTCTCCATAGTCAAGCCACCAGACTATTGACACTGAATGAAGAGGTCAGTCTTTTCAAATAGTTGGACCATGGTTGGACTTGTACCAGTCTAGTATTTAGCCCCACTTTGAAATCACTTGACTTCCCTCTCATGTGCAAAATATTGAAGAAAAGTCTCAAATTGAATTGAGTCTGCAAACTTGGTTGGTGAAATATGGAGGACATTTTCTTTGCCCCAGTGGAATTTTGGAGAAATTTGCTGGCTAAACTGTGAGTAAAGTGGGCCTGATTTAGTTTTGCACGTTTCAGAGCACTCCAGAGCCCTGTCTGACCTTGCGCATGCGCACTATAATCATTTATGCCCTGATTTGATACTGACCAAACCCCAGGCTGATGGCCTGTATGGCAGACATCTTAGAGGTTCACTGTTTTTCTTCCACATGCGTCATTCTAAAAATTGAGGGTGCAAAGGTTGACGTTTTCACGTCCCTGTTACTTGGTGCTTTGTAATTTGCCATTCAATTATTATAAGCCAGTTGGGTATTTCAATGACTCGAGGTCATTCGGGATAACATCACCGACATGATGTTACGCGATGTTACGCCCATTCTGCTGGTAATTTACACGCAAGCGTTGTGCCCCCACATTTATGTGCCTTCTAAACGTTCCGTTATCCCAAATGACTCGTGATCCATATCATCGTGCACATGCGCAGTTGAAATACATTCAAAAATCATGAATGATTTCAAATGATTTTGTATTTGTTGGGTATACTATAAGTAGTCTGCTTTCTCATAACCATTCTTGGAGCGCAATTGCATTAAGGAGTGCATCAGAGTCATAACATCCTAGATGTGAGATGTAATCAGGGGCTGCAGAAAAAAAGCGGACCCCAAATTTAGCCTATAGAATGATCCACAGCATGACTAACAACAGTGTATTCATTTCCTTTTATTTACAAATCTCCAAAAACAGCTGCTGTGTGCAAAGCTGAATGTTTGATATGGCAATCAGTAATTACAAAATATGATTTACAGCTGATGCACCCACAAAAAGTTATACACAGTAGTTGGAGATCAAAATGTTTGATTTTTTCGGATACCTGGGGGGCCATTTCTTTTGAAACATTCTGCCACCTGAAGGAAGCCCCCACAAAGAATAGGTGCGCTCATAGCAAGGCCCTTCAGCTCCGTGATGTTTGATCGATGTGCAGGCAGCCAGTACTTCTCCTCCTTGGGGTCAAAGTTGACGACTCGGGCAGAGGTCATGCATCCTAACCACTCCCTGACATATCTGCATGCGGGAAAAGACTAGGTTAGGGCTAATAATAGACCCTTTAAAGGGAATATACATCATTTGCTTTTGCTGTAATTTTCAGAAATGTATGGAATTGGGGGGTTGGAAATACATGTATACATATATATAGCAAATATAGTTACACTGACTTTTTTGAGGTTTTGGGTTCGAAAATGCTATAAAAACCAAGAAAAACAATCATTTTCCTGTAGTCTGGTTCCCTGACTCCATATAAGAAGAAACAGAGCAGTTTACATACATTGGGGAATTGTAAGGACAGGGAACCAGTCTAGCTGGCTCGTACCCGTTCATAGGTTTGTAATCGATTGCAAACAAGTGCGATGGTCAATTGGGGCCAGTATTTGAAAAAAAGCCAGTTTTTTCCAACGCTGATCGGCCAATCAGCGTTGGAAATTGATACAAAAATACCACTTTTCTTGAAAATGACAGTATACCAGGTGCCATGATTTTACAGGATGCTTTACACTGTCATTCACTAACAGTCCAGCAAGGTATTTCAAAATGATTTGGTAGTTTTATTTTTTGATGTTTGCAAATGTTGTATTTTCCCTTTAATGGATAGCCACAGACCGGGATTGTGCAGTGAAGGTATATGTTATGCTGCATGCTGGAACAGTTAGTACTGCATAAAATTCACGTTCGTCGCGCAAACTATATCCCAAGATGCAACGCGCAGCATACCTTCACTGCACACTTCCGATCTGTCTATAAAAAGGTCCATGGTGCTTTCTCAACTTTAAAACCAAGTAAAAATAACAAAAACAAGTTTCTTGTCCCCGCCTGCTTCCTATATCATACATTTGCAATATATTTGGTCTTTGTAATTTTTTCGAGCAAAATTGTAACTCTTGCCTTTGTATTTACAGCTTGCAAGTTCAAAATCTGGTAGAAAAGGGTATCAGCTCCTTTGGTAACATAACAAAAAAGTCAAGAAAATCCATCCACCATCTTGGAAATTTTGCAATCTTGGGATGGAAAAGGACGCCTCCTAAGTCTTTTTTTTCTCTTTTGCTTGGCCTTAAAATTGTACACTTTGCAACCTCAACTTACATTGTGGTTTTTATGCAATAAAATAGGCCTACCCAGTACCGGGCATGCACTAGAACACAACAAATTTCAGCATTCTCCAAAAGGTTGACGATTATTTTATAGCCACAGTAATCAGTATTAAAACAAAATCAGCTGCTATTGTGCCAATCATCTGCTCATTCATTAATTCAAATCCATTGTTTCTTTACCTTTCTTTGAAGTTGCCAGCATCTGCAATCTCCTGGCTGGTCTTAGGTTCTCCTCCCAGCGAGATCATGACATCAAAGAGCCCTGTCTCCATCCCCATGGCAACCCCAAGGCCTACCATTCCACCCACAAGATTCTTCTCCATGCTTGCCAAAAACTCCTCGGCAGTTTCGCTGGATAGCTGCTCACAGTTAGCCATTTCAAGGAACAGGGCTGCTTGGCCTAAACTAAATCTAGTTGTGCAAAGTCAGACTCAGACTTAGTCAGAGCAACTGATGAAACTTCGGCCAATCTTTCGACCCCAATTTTCCTTCCTAAAAATGGGCTTTAAGTACCTCTAGATATACATATAGGCAACAATTGCTACATCCCAATTTTCCTAGGCTTGGTGCTGGGGCTGCCCGCTGGGAGAAGCTGAAACGAAGCTGAAATTTCTCACGTTCGCGGTCCATCTGTCATGTCATGCATGTCTAACATGTCTAGTCTAACGTTTCGTTAGTCTAGTCCGCTTCGGTTAAAAAGAGGGCGCTCAGCGCAGCAGAGAGCATGTTTGCTCGTACCACTGATCTAATACACCATCCACACAGTAGACTTTGCATATTGACCAATTCGCCCCCGGTCTCACGAAGATGGCCAGCGCGCGTTGTATCAGCAGTTGACGCGCATTTTGGTCACGTACACATATTATGATGTTCTAAAAAGGACACATTTCCGTAGTGATTATTATTTCCAAAATGCAGAAAAAGTGAACTGCGGCATTACAAAAGTAAACCACGACGTTAGAAATATTGTAAACCTCGGTCAGTTGTGGTGATCAAAATATAAGTTAAGTGAACCGCGATGTAACAAAAGAAATCATGCCGTCTATAAAGACGGTATACAACGCCACGTTCACGGGTCTATAAAGACGGCAGCTTGTCCTTTGTAGATCACCAGCCGGTCTCACCGGTCTCACCAATATGGCGTCAAATTCATTCATTGTGCGGCTCTTTATCGCTATCCAGTCTTTATAATAGAGATCAGTGGCTCGTGTCCCCCCCCCCCCCCTGCAAATTTGCAGGGCGCAAACAGAGGACGCTGGGAGGGGCTGACGAATTAACGCTCTGATTGGATAGATTTTGCGTGACCTGTGACCTGCAAGTCATCTCGACCACGACCCTGCCAAGGTTTCAAACGGCCGTACGGTATGGTTGAGTCATTCATCACTCTTTTATTCCCATTAATAAATGATGTGGCACCCTTTTTGGTTGAAAAGCACAATAATGTAGGAAAATCTGTTGTGTAAATTGTCAACTCCCGACAGTTGCTCAGGCTCCGTTTCGAATTCACGAAGGGTCGAAATGCATATCATTCGACGCTCAAAATTTGTCCACATGGTCCGCAATGAAAAAGAAATCACATCCGGTATGGTGTGTATGCAGTTCTATAGCAAACTTTTCGGATAGTATTTGCGCGCATTGGCTAACCGCGGTCTACAGCTGCAGCCAGATGCTTTATACATAGGTCATGATATATGACCCAGAATGCCGTCCCTACTTCCTTCACAAGATTATGTGAAGCTCATCTGCCCTTCCCAGCGCCCTGTTTGCAGGGCGGGGGGGGGGGGGGGGGGTACGAGCGAAGCCTGCAGCTAGCTGGTCGGTCAGGCGCGACGGCCGTACCGTACCGCGGTGGGCACCAAAGAAAAAGCGCCGCATATAATAGCGGCGCTATAGGATCTTTGGTCGGCACTCGGATCGGTCGGTCGGTCTGTCGGTATTTTTTTAGGTCTCACGACATCATCGTAAATAGAATGTCTGGTTGATTCGGCCCGTTTTAGTAATTATTAGCAAAGTTCTGGTTTCTTGAACTTAACACATTAAACATGTCTGGATCCTATACTCTTTATTTTTCGCTTATTTGCTAGCTTAGGCCTAGGCCAAGTAAAACTTATAGTTATACACCCGAGTTGATCGTCCGGGATTTTTCATCACTATATAATAGCATTTACCTTTCTTTGAAATTGCCAGCATCTGCAATCTCCCGATTGGTCTTGGGTTCTCCTCCCAGCGAGATCATGACGTCATGACGTTGATGCCGCCTCAAAAAAGGGAAGCGGGCGGGGACAATCAACTGGTTTTTTTTTACTTGGCCTTATAGGTTTGTAGCACTGTGCCGGGAAATCTGTTGTTCGTCCGTCACCCTCATATCTTTTCAAGATCTGAGAAGCACACGAAACACGCTCTTCACCAGAAACTCAAGACATCTTTTTATACAAGCCTGATCCCATCAACAGCTCAAACTTTAATATAGGCCACTGTTTAAAGATCTCTCCAACTATCATAACTATATATTATTTCGTAAGAAACGCATTTTAGAACCCAAGATTTTTTTAAAGGTTTGTGGCATAGGTAAAGTTCAACAAGATTTCCCAATTATTTCTTTTTTGCACAGTGAAACAAAAATAGTGCCAAAAAATAAGAAGAAAAAAGAAAAAACACGAATATGGCTATAAACCTCGAGCCCCCAAAAGGGACCTATAGGATACACAAGAAAAAGCAATGTGACCTGCAGTGATAGCAGCAAGAAGCCCCAGATATTATTTGGAACAGAAACCCATTTAGGTCATATCATCTAGTGAAGTCACGTACCCATGACATTTTCGACAGGACAGTAAGTTCGACGGTGGTCATTGGTGTAATAAACAAGAATCTTCTCAGGACGCAGAGTGTGAAGCAGTGTGGATTAAGATATCCTCTTCAGTGGAAACATCGTTTTATAGACGGACTAATGATGATCCTTCATTCCTCATAAAACTGGACGAAACCTTGAACAAGTGTGAGTGCAATAAGCTCTGGCCGTGTTGCAAGAAGTCTTGCATGAAATGATTGCATAAAAACGATCAAAATGATCCCTGCCAGAGCTGAAAATTGCGACGCCGGATGGCACATAATGGACACCATACTCATTTTGGTGAATTTTTGGGACAGACAGTATACAGACCGACCGACCACCAATAATTAAGTGTCACGGTATATATAGAAGCTCCTGCTAGAGCTTAAAAAAACTGGCTGGAAAGGCATCGTTGCTAAAATGTCATCTTAGCAGGTGAGTTTAATGTACCACATAATATTGGGACCGGAGTTAGGAGAGTGTGGCCTATATAGGGTTCGTGACTCATGATCAGAGGGTCATCGGGGGTTCGAATCCAGCTGCTGGTTATGTTCTTTGGGCAAGCCAGTTCACCCCACTTGCCTCTCTCCATCACCCAGGAGTATAAATGGGTACCAACATTAGCCGGGGAGTAACCTGTGATGGACTAGCATCCCATGGGGAGTAGAAATATTCTCAGACTGAAACCAGAGATAAACGTAACGCCGGCCTGATGGGCCACACACATGCATGGGCGTCGGGGGGGGGGGGGGGGCACTTGTAATCACTTGAAAATAGTAATCCGCCCGGGCGAAATAGAGGGCCGGAAATTCTTTTTTGGTCATGTCCTAAATACACTTCCGTAACTTTGGGCAACACCACCATATTGTACATAGACATCACTGCAGTATGCCAGACGGCTGAAATGCAGCATACTCCCTCACGGGGTGAAAACATTATCTTCACAATCATACCAGTCAGTATCAGAAAGGTGGAGACACTCTTCAGATCACGATGCGGTTGCAGTGCAGCTAGATAACACTGTGAAGTACTCCGAAAGGAGATGGAGATGTATATAAAAGGACTAATTTGAGTAATTTCTTCAGTTTAATGATTAATCCCATGGGTCTGGAAACATTAGGAAAGCTTTTAACATTATTGTGTCCACCACTTACGCGCAGGGAAATTTGCCGCCCTTGCTCGGCCGGCCCCCCGCCCGCATAGAATAACAACATCGACTTTGATATGAAAAGGCAGATTTTTTCAAAAAGTATTTTGGAGTAAACCATGTGCAGTCACAATGATACGTAGGCTACCATTATCATATGGCGTAGTTGTTACCAGCATCTGCATGTACATCGACGCAGGTTCACTCATCAATGTCCACTTCGGGATGTTGACGCTGAGCTGTTCTTCTGGATGTTGCTTAAAGCTATCCGGTTCGTAAGTGACTTCGTCATACACGCGCACGCACCACTGATTACGAGCGCCCATTGGATAAACACTCAAGTTGCGTTAACTTCCGGTTCCATTGGTGCCATGCTACACCATGTACAGTAAGTTGAGATGACGTCACACTTACGAACCGGATAGTCCATCATTTGCAGCCATCCGAAAAAGTAACTGGCGTATTATTATTGAAAAACATACCTGGTTGAAAGATAGTAAGTGGACTAAACTCCCTGTGAAATTAATCTTTCTGGCAAGCTATCATTTTGAAGTAGTCAACGAAAGAAGGCCTTTCCAACGGTGCGTCTTAAGACGCACTGTAGGAAAATTTAAATTAGTAGTTAGGGTTTTGTTATTGGGCGAAGCGCGCGCAAAGATTGGCACGACGCACGGCGCTAGGCGCGCGCGGTTGCTATAATTCGTCGGATCAGTGCGCGACATCGCGTATCATCTTGCAATTCAAAACAATTCAAAACATGATTCAGCAACTTTTGATTTGAAATTGAGATCCTAGAATGCTGTTTTTCTCGGAATATACAGCTGAAGCTGAGCTGAATCTTCATCAGGTTAGTTGTTTAGTATCCTTCATGAGGTTTTGAACACTTTTGTTGCTTCAAACGAACAAAATGGACAAATTACCAATGATGGACTATATCTTTAAAGCAGCCCAGCCAGCCCTTTTTTTTCTGTGTGTACTGGTACATTGCGTGGATTACATGGTCCATCATAGGACTAGCACGGAGGAATAAGAATAAAATAATGTCCATGATGAAAGCAGTTAAAGTTACATGTCATGGACATGTGTGATCTCCACGTGGCCGAGCTCAGATCCGCCCCGCCCCCTTTAATTAAGCGCGGTCGCCGTTGTATGAAATGTCGCCCTCTATTGACTCATTTTTGTCCTCTTTTTTTTTTTTTAATATGAAACCCAGACGTCCTTATAGGCGAAAGTACAGTGACTGTGTACAGACTGGTGCAGTTTATTTTGGTTTAACTTCAGTTTTGAGTTACGTGTATTTAATTACGCGAAGTTTACTTCCCGAAAGTCCTGCTAAATTAATGTAAGTGCAGTGGAATAAAAAGTGTAGATTAGCATGAATTGTGTTATTTAATCTCGATAAAGAAGACAGCAGGCCTACAGTGCAGCTGTTTGCAAAGACTAAGAAGTAAGATGTTGCATAGAATTTAGAAACAAAATTTGGAAATGAACTGCACGTCACATGATTTTTAATTTTATTGATATGATACTGGATATTTTGCAGAACCATTCTCTTAGTTTGAACATTTGGCAATGACACCTCTTGAATATCAGTAGTCCGAGTAACTTGGACCCAACTTATTGCCTTTTTTAACATTTGGACACTATCGCCAGACCATGTCCAAATGTTAAAAAAGGCGATAAGTTGGGTCCAAGTTAGCCCCACTAGTGTGGCCGTCGGTATGCTGCGCTGAACCTTTGGCCACACACCGTGGTACCGCGCGCTACTGAGGACGAAGTTTTCATAAAAATTCAGGGCAGTTTCTTACATTCTCAGTTTCTTACTTTCTTATGGTTGTATTCTATGATGTCTCACCTGTCACTTCTGGGATGCTTAGGTCTAATGATGTTCCATTTTCCGAGATATTCTTCAATCTTTCTGGAGCCCATATGCACTCGTGAAACGTCTGGTGGTGGCAGCCATTTTGAATGGGACAAGAGATGACCTCAAGCTGTGACGTCGCGTTTATGCAAATTGCTTGTCGAGCGCGCGAGGGCGCGAGTTGCAAATGCGACGGCTGTTTTCTGTGCCGTAGATCCTGAATAGAGATCGGTGCACGTGGCCCCCTGACGATAAATGCATGGTACAGGAAACAGCCGTCGCATTTGCAACTCGTGCCCTCGCGCGCTCGACAAGCAATTTGCATACACGCGACGTCACAGCTTGAGGTCATCTCTTGTCCCATTCAAAATGGCTGCCATCACCAGACGTTTCACGAGTGCATATGGACTCCAGAAAGATTGAAGAATATCTCGGAAAATGGAACATCATTAGACCTAAGCATCCCAGAAGTGACAGGTGAGACATCATAGAATACAACCATAAGAAAGTAAGAAACTGAGAATGTAAGAAACTGCCCTGAATTTTTATGAAAACTTCGTCCTCAGTAGCGCGCGGTACCACGGTGTGTGGCCAAAGGTTCAGCGCAGCATACCGACGGCCACACTAGTGGGGCTAGGTCCAAGTTACTCGGACTAGAATATCAGCAGGTTTGATTTTGTAGAAAGAGGGCAGGGTTTTGATTTATGAGAGGTTAAAGACGACGATGACAAACAGAAAATAAATTTAAAAAGCAAGATGGCGAACTGCAAAAAAAGGTAGGAAAGTCACATTTTCGTTGAAACATGGAGAATTTCTCCATGGTTGAAAGTGCTTTCAAAATTATAACTAACATGAGTTTGTCTGAAGAAAAAAGACTTCTTCAGCCTGCAAAAGTCACTTTGGTACTGGACAGTCATCTGCAAAAGTCAGATTTGAACAGAACTCGTACAAAATTGAGGTGTCCTAAAAGTAAGGATTACCACTAAAGGTTTGCCGGCGGCAATCTCTATCAACAGAGGGCGCTGTACTCTCTAAGATAGGGCTGAATTAGATATATTAACATGATTGTGTTACAACTGTGGTCTAAATAATGAACGCAGTGGCTATTGTTACGGCAGCCGTAACGCATTTCCCATTTTCTATCGTTACGGTAGACTGCAACTTTTATAAAAATATGACAAGAAAATATAAAATTAGAAGGAAAAAAGTGAATTTGAACGTGATGAAATTCGGACTTTATTTCCCTTTAAAAAAAAAATCCTCCAAAGCCTCAATTTAGAAAAGGGAAAAAATTCGAGTGCCAAACCGAGATTCGAACCCGCAACTTCGCGGTGCAAAATCCTACCCTCTATCGACTGAGCTGTCGCACTGCTCGCTAAAATGTGGGGAAACAAATAATTATATACCTGCGTGTGTATCAAAAAAGTATCGTAGAGGGCGCTAAAGAACGACTGCCGTACCGATAGCCACTTCGAATAATGAAAGGTTTGCGGAAACATGTGCGAATAATTTCTCAACTAAAGAACCAGAGGTATACCTCTGGTTCTTTTCAGAACCATTCTCTTAGTTGAGAAATTATTCGCACATGGTGTTTCCGCAAACCTTTCTGCTTTCATTATTTAGTATCTCCTCCATGCAATTGCAAAGCCTCAAATCTTACTTAACTGTGGTCTAGTGGATAAGCAACGGATCTCATGAGCCGGAAGACCCGGGTAAGATCCAGATCCCCGCTGGCGACATTTCTAAGGTTTTTATCCCCCCATCCCCAAAAAATAAGAATATTCTTCTTTTATTATTTTAACATGTCTCATTGCAGAGTAGGCCCTATTAGTATTACATTTTTTTTTTCAGATTTGTGGCTCTGGAGGATTTTTTAAAAGGGAAATCCGAAATTGTAAAATGGTCTGATTCCCATCTTGTGAAAACGAATTTACATCGATAATGTTGGCTTGGAGCCAGACTAAACTTTGTCACCGGAAAATGTTTAAATAGAAAAAAGAAGTAACTGCGCATGTTCAGTGCATATCCGGCAAGCTAACGTTTACTAAAGGTTTGCCGTAAATACGGAGGTACATGTAGTCCAGTCGATTGGCCACATTTATGGGGCTACCCCCTGCCATGCCGTAGGCATTGCGCTTTGTATCTCCCCCCCCCCCCCCAAAAAAAAGGCCATCCAATGTTGGCACCGCTCGAAGCTACCAGTGTGGTTGTTGACAGTGCGCGTTTGCCCTGCTGAACGCTGCGCCCGTGTGCAACGGTACAGCACGCGGAAAGAATGTTGCAACCTGATGCAGCTTTTTTCTTCATATATCATCTCAATGAAGGTCAGTCATTGCAGAAATGATGAAAAGACATGAATCTGGGACTGAGAAACATTTCCAATTTTGTTAGGAAATACTTAGAAAATGTTCTTGACTCTCCATAGACTTTGTACACAACCACTGAAGTAGCGTCAGGTTGCAACATTTTTCTACCCAGCACGCTACGCTCTGTTGACTGGTTGACAACTGAGTTTCTACGCTCTTGATTGTGCGGGAACCAGTGAAATTGGTTAAAATGCCCGGATGGGGACAATATCAACAATAACATTGTTCTCATCCGGGTTCTTTTACCGACATAATATTGCAGTCATCCGGGTACTATTTACGAAAGCATAAAATATGCTGATTTATTTTTACCACTGCAAGCCTGATATAAAGAATAATGGTTAAGTCAATATTGTCAATTAATTTTTCCTATTTGTTTTTCTCCCTTCTATTTTTGTTCTGTTTTATGCAGTTGCTACAATGATCTATGTGTAGCTTGACTCTTTCAAGTGAATGACTACATATGATGATACACCATGACTTCCGTCATAGCTCGCTCACAGGAGTACCTGAGTTTCAGAAGTACTGTATCATTAAAAAAAGTAAGTGTGATTCTCCATTAACCCTAACCCCTTGAGCACTTTTACTAGAAAGTATCCTGAATCTGCCAAAATCCACCAATTTTGTCATGCAAAAAAAATGTTGGTGTCCTGAGTCCATCAGAATCCACCAGTGAGTCCATCAGAATCCACCAGTGAGTCCATCAGAATCCACCAGTGAGTCCATCAGAATCCACCAGTGAGTCCATCAGAATCCACCAGTGAGTCCATCAGAATCCACCAGTGTAGTACATGTACAAGTACCTCGTACACACCTACTGTTGTAGCATATAACCAAGGATTGAACTGTTGAGATCCTGAATCCATCAAAGTCCTCTAACTGAGATGGAGGTCCAGTGTTGTAGTTGAGTACTTTTTTCCGAGTACCAAGTACTGCAGAGAACTTAGGTTGCCGAGTAAGAGTACAAGTACTTGTACCACCGATACAAGAAAGGGTCTCCGAGTACGAGTACTTGTACTTCCGGACGTGCACAGAGGAAAATCAGGAAATCTCGATTTCTCCACAAGCCAATCAACCATTTCAAACTGAAAGTATCGATAAAATAAGGCCATGGTAAGTGAAGCTATAACATTTTCCCCCCGAGTACTGCTATTCGAGTACGAGTACTTTAATGATCGAGTACAATTTCGACATGTCGAGTACGAGTACTTTGCTGCCCGAGTACGAGTACCGTCATTTCGAGTACGAGTACTTTGACATTTGAGTCCGAGTACGAGTACTACAACACTGGGTATCTTGAATCCATCAAAATCCTGCAGTAGCGCTAGGCTTACTGTCCTGAATCCATCTAAATCCCCCAACTTTTTCAATATGGAGGTATCCTGAATCTGCCGAAAATCCTCCAAAAAACAGGGGTGTGGATTTTGATGGATTTAGGTACATTAGAGTTAAGGCCGAGTAAAAAAAAAAGACGTAGTTTCTCATCCAAGTTTTTTTTTTATAAAATGAAGGAGGTAGGTAGTTGTTTCTTTCCTTTTTCTTCCCAAGATGTTAGATTTCCGAAGATGTCAGATTTTCCAAGATGTCAGATTTCCCAAGATGTAAGATTCTCCAAGATGGCAAAGAGATTCTTCCTTTTTCTTGACTCTTTTGTTGGTGCAACATTGTGTCCAAAGAAGCTGTAAAAAATTTTTTTGTATGTAGCCACAATGTTGTTGGAAACAAATAAAAAGAGAATATATGGACTACATGTACATGCAAAATACATGGCAATTGTATGAATAAAAAAAAAAGCGCGAGTGCACAATAAGCTCTGGCCCGGTTCCGGAATGTCTCACTTCATATTCAAAATAGATGCGCATCGATTGAAACAAAGCTGGTCTTCCGAAACCTTTGGGCAAGAGTGCATTTATGTGACCGCGGCATTGGCATCTGGTAAATTTTTGGTCAATTTTCGGGGACAGACAGACAGACAGACCGACCGACCACCAAGTGACATGTAGAAGCTCCTGCCAGAGCTTAGGCCAAAAAAAAAAATAAGTCGGTCTCTGGTCAGCGCGCGCGTCGATTTTAATCATGCGCGTCAATCTTTTTTTTTTTTCCAAAATGTTCCGCGGTAGCTCCAACAGCGCCCTCTATTTCCGCACCTCAAATTTTTTTTACCAAAGAGCACCAAGGAATGGGAAATTGCACCAAGGCAAATGATCGAAAGCACCAAGGCAAATTATGGAGGACACCAATGTACATGAGGACACCAAAAAAGCAAAATAGTACCCCACCTTGTCTGTACAATCCAAGCTTGAAGAAAAAAAGCAAAAAAGCAACAAAAAAAAAAAATCCGCGTGGCCGCGTCAATTCTGGAACTTTGGTCTGACCAGAGACCGAATATTTTTTTTTTTTGGCCTTAGTAAGTGAATGCCTTTTTCCCCCCTCAATCAGGTGGCGGTGGATGATGATGACAGCAAGTACTGGACTGTCTACGATGTTGGACCTCGCTCAGTCAAATGCCCCATCATCTTCTTCCCTCCGGTCAGTGGTAAGGCTGATGTCTTCTTCAGACAGATGCTTGGTCTGTCAGCCAAGGGCTACCGAACTATTTCTGTAAGTGAAAACAAATAAGGAAAACAAAAAAAGAAGGTCATTTCCAAAGATGAGTTAAAAGTCGCGTTTTGTGGAAGTATCCGTAGGTAGTTGGTTTGTAATTGGGCGAATCTGTGAATGGGTGTGCGCAAGCATTGACATGACGCACATACGCGCGCGGTTGCTATTATTTGTCTATTGCTATAATTCATTGATTGAACCTACATGTAGATCACAAATGCTAATGAAGGGGAACTGTGACCTGACTTCAGTTGAGTTTCCCCGCAGTTGAGTTTCCCCGCTTTTTTTATGTTTGAGGTTCACTCTACTTATTCCTTTGTTGCCTGGTCTGATCTCTCGTGACAGCTTGAATACCCCATACATTGGACAATGGAAGATTTTTGCATCAGCTTCAGGAAGCTGTTAGACCACATGCAACTGGACATGGTAATTATATCCAAGTCACTTTAAAAGAAATTTGTGGTACGATTGTTTCTTCATGTTTCTTTTGGGAGAATTGGTTGCATGTTTGCATCACACAAGCCATTTTTACCGCTCAGCCGAGAGGCTCGAGGGGTATTGTCATCGCCTAGGGCGTCCGTCCGTCCGTAAGTGAGTATGCCCGTCCGCACTGACAGACGGACGTCCGTTCCAGCCAGACGGAATTGTGGGGTGATAGCATTGTGTTCCCATTATCCCTTTTTCTAAAGATTCTCTTCTGGGGTGATGTTTTTCTATTGTGAAAATAGTGGGGTGATGTGTCCTGAAAGGAACATCACCCCACAAGGGTGGTATGGTCAGAACGGGCAGCTTAGTTTCCGGATGATAACTTGAGTTAGAAATGTTGTTTGGGGTTGTAACTTCGGTAGGGGGTTGCCCTTAGGAGTAGGCAAGTTGGGATTGGTTTTGAGGTCAACGGTCAAGTTGTTCAAATGAACTGTTTTGTTTGTGATCGTGCTTGCAAGTTGAGTTGTGATGTACTTGTGGTCATACTTGTGATGAACTTATGATGGACCCTTCTCAAGATACACATACGAGTGTGCACCGAAACTTACCCGAGTACCCGACCGCTGATGTCAGGAACCGGTTCCAGATTATGGGATTGGGTACCCGTAACCAACTTTACTTTTTAGTAACTTCTCAGACAATGAAAAAGAAAGGTTTGGAATGCCATTTCTTGGGAATTTTCATAAAGAAAACCAGGCTACACGGAAAACCAAAACAGATGTCACATCTTTGTGCATTTTAACGTGTGACAGATGTGGCTCGTGAAAGTTGCAGTTCTCACCATAAAGCTAGCCATTAAAGCTCTTTAGAACAACTTCCGGGATTTCAATTTTGGGGTTGGGTTTCATTTACGGGTAATCGGGGTACCCGTGTTTTACTTCAGTAGGGTAAGCGGTTTCCATACTACCCGTAAATGTACACCACTAGTTTCACGTGACTCTTCCAAGTTTCACGTTACAGTCTGCCCTGCACCCGATTTCACGAAGCGCTGCGACGCGTCGCAACTCGAGTTACGACGTGTAACACATCGCAACTCGCGACGCGTCGTATCATCCATTTCACGAAAGTTGCAATGTGTTGAACGCGTCGTAAGTTCCTTGACAACGGCTTAAAACACGTCGCAAGTTACGATGTGTCTAGTGGTCATCGCAAAATAAGATGAGTCCCTTTCTTAGCCAGTTTAATGCCATAAACATTACATAAACGAGATTATAATACCGAGGCAATGTGTGTAAAGTTGTAAATAGAAAATTCATTGAATAATTATGAATTAGACTGGAATATTGCAGTTGAAATTTCAAAGTAGCTTTACAGTCCACTGAGAGCTTGTTTTCCTTCAAAATTGCATCGCACGACCGCCATTTTGTTTTACGTTTTAACAAATTTCGAGCTGAGATCCAGCGACTCTTTGTTGAATATCATACGACTATTTACTGTACGCTGACTAAAGACATAAAACAGTCACCGAGTTGTGCTATAAATACACCTACGACGCGTCGCACTTACGACGTGTTTAGTGAAATGGCTCGCAGGATGCGTCGCAGCTGCGACGCATCGTAGAGATACGACTGCGATGCATCGTAAGTGACGAAGAGTTTGATGAAATCGGGTGCTGCTCTGCTATTTCCCCAGGTCCACATATTCGGCTCTTCATTGGGTGGTTTCGTAGCCCAGAAGTTTGCTGAGTACACCTACCGGAGTCCCCGCATCGTCTCCCTCATCCTCTGCAACACGTTCATCGACACAGAAGTCTTCCAGCAAACAGGCGCCGCTCAAACGTGAGTGCTTGGGTTATGTTTATGGTGTCAATTGAGGACACACATGTGCAACATCATCGATGAATGGAGGACAGGAACCAAATTGAGGACCACCTCGATTAGAAAACGTGTACAAAACCAATGAGAGCTGTTGCAAAAAAGTTACAAGCAAAGAAAGAGGGAAGAGGAACAAAAGAAAATCCTCCATTTACATCATAAACAAACGTGTCTGGGTAGCCGTGTGTGGGGTTTCTAGTTTGTCTTAAAAATACTAGAATTTATTTGGTTTCGAAAAGAAGAACCGAAGAAAAGGTTAGTTCTTCCTTTTTGCCTTCCAAATGCTTAAAAAAGTCTTGAAAAATTCAGATCATCACAAAAAATGCCGTATATTTTGCCAACCCTCTTTTCCACATGTTGACCAGCTGGCAGCTTTCATATTATGTGATTAAATAGATGCTTTGACATTTGTTAACCCTCCTGCTGTTTAAAAGGTCTCAAATGGTCAAAATTTCCTTCCACTTCCCCTGGTACCCTTTGTGCAAACCTATGGGCCACTTGACCAATATTGACCCAAGTAATAGCATGGCTCAGAATGCATGTTTTCATACATGTAGGAGGGTCAGAGTCCTTGAAATCAACAATTGTGCATCTTGCGTCTAGCACAGTTCTTAGCCAAAATGCCCCCAAGTTACAGAAAACAGGATTAAAACTGACCCCAAATCTGGGAATGTTGCTTCTAGATTTTGCATATTAATAGTAGCCTTCCGAATTTCATAGTACATTGTACGGTATGTATGATAGCAACAGACAGTGTGGACTTTTTTTGGAGATCCTTTGAAGTTTGTACACATTTATAGTGGAAAATTTCTACAATTCAAACGCTCATTTTTTTCATAATTAAAAAAAATTAGATATAAGGCCAAAAAAAAAAAAAAAGTCGGTCTCTGGTCAGCGCGCGCGTTGATTTTAATCATGCGCGTCGATCTTTTTTTTTTCCAAAATGTTCCGCAGTAGCTCCAACAGCGCCCTCTATTTCCGCACCTCAATTTTTTTTTACCAAAGAGCACCAAGGAATGGGAAATTGCACCAAGGCAAATGATCGAAAGCACCAAGGCAAATTATGGAGGACACCAATGTACATGAGGACACCAAAAAAGCAAAATAGTACCTACCTTGTCTGTACAATCCAAGCTTGAAGAAAAAAAGCAAAAAAAAAAAAAAAAGCTGCGTGGCCGCGTCAATTCAGGAACTTTGGTCTGACCAGAGACCGAATTTTTTTTTTTTTGCCTAACTGCTCTACATTGTTTCAGTTATTTTTGAAAAAAAAAAATACTGAAACATTTCATGAAACATACCTGTCTGTTTGTTATCTCGTGAAGGTTTTGGATGGTTCCGGGATTCCTCCTGAAGAGGATGGTATTAAACAACTTCAGCCGAGAGCAACACGACGCCGACATAACCAACTCAATCGACTTCATTGTAGAAAGGGTGAGATGTTTGCATCAGCATGGAGCTGTTTCATCCTTTGTTACTTTTCGCAAGTGGCAATTGAGTTTGTTTCTTTCAAAGTGTATTGCTTTTTTGGTTTTGTACCAATTGAATTCTTGAGCTACACTGACTGCTTACTTAGAATATACTGACCACTAGGTTTGCTTTAAAGGGAATATACATTATTTGCTTTTGCTGTAATTTTCAGAAATGGATGGAATTGGGGGGGTTGGAAATATATAGCAAATATAGTTACACTGACTTTTTTGAGGTTTTGGGTTCAAAAATGCTATAAAAACCAAGAAAAACAATCATTTTCCTGTAGTCTGGTTCCCTGACTCCATTTAAGAAGAAACAGAGCAGTTTACATACATTGGGGAATTGTAAGGTCAGGGAACCAGTCTAGCTGGCTCGTACCCGTTCATAGGTGTGTAATCGATTGCAAACTTGTAAGTGCGATGGTCAACTGGGGCCAGTATTTGAAAAAAAGCCAGTTTTTTCCAACGCTGATCGGCCGATCAGCGTTGGAAATTGATACAAAAATACCACTTTTCTTGAAAATGACAGTATACCAGGTGCCATGATTTTACAGGATGCTTTACACTGTCATTCACTAACAGTCCAGCAAGGTATTTCAAAATGATTTGGTAGTTTTATTTTTTGATGTTTGCAAATGTTGTATTTTCCCTTTAATGCTCATAAATATGCTTGAAATGTTATGGATTAGTAGCTTTCGTGAAGTCTGATTGCTGTTTTGGGATTTTCATTTTCTTTTCTCTAACCTGTAGCTGGAGTCTTTGAGCCGGACCGATCTTGCCAGTAGACTTACCCTGAACTGCACCAGTGCCTACGTTGAGCCTCAGAAGCTGCACGCTCTAGACATCACCCTCATTGACGTGAGTTTGTGACAAAATGAGATTGTTGATATATCCCCGTACATGTACGTCACACCTGCACATGGTTCACAAGTTATGGCTAATATCATGCTGACAGTTAAAGCTATATCATTTGCAGTTATCCGAAAAGTAGCTGGCGTAATTATTGTTCAAAAACATACTTGGTTGAAAGATAGTAAGGGGACTAAACTCCCTGTGAAATTATTCTTTCTGGCAAGCTGTCATTTTGAAGTAATCAACGAAAGAAGGCCTTTCCAACGGTGCTTCTTAAGACGCACCGTAGGAAAATTTAAATTAGTTGTTCGTTTTGTTATTCGGCGAAGCGCGCGCAAGCATTGGCACGACGCACACGCACCCCCGGTTGCTATAGTTCGTCGGATCAGTGCGCGACATCACGTAGCTGCAATCGGCTCAGCGAGAACGTGTCTCGAACGCTGAATTCAGGCGCAATTCAAAACATGATTCAGCAACTTTTGATTTGAAATTGAGATCCTATAATGCTGTTTTTCTCAGAATATACAGCTGAAGCTGAGCTGAAACTTCATCAGGTTAGTTGTTCAGTACCCTTCTTTAGATTTTGAGCACTTTTGTTGCTTCAAACGAACAAAATGCACAAATTACAAATGATGGACTATATCTTTAATTCTGGTAGAATGGACCATTTGTCATTTGTGTATTTCTTGATTGAAGCCACAATTGTGCGCAATATCTAAAGACGGGTGCTTAACAACTAACCTGATGAAACTTTAGACTAACCCCATGAAGTTTTTGCTCTGTGAATGCTGTGTATTTGGAAAAACACAATATTGAGGATTGTTGACACGTTGATAATACAAACTGTAGACGGCCATAACTTGTCAACAGAATGTCCGATTGAAGTGCAACAAACAGTATTGTAAGGAAAATTGTATTCTCTTTCCTAACACCTGCAAACCTTCATTTCGACCTCTGCCCAATTCTTTCTCATTTTGCCAGAATGACGCAAAGCCTTTTAAAAGATAAGCTTTGTTTTTTTTTACAGAAAAAAAAATTCGACATCAATCCCTCAAATACAAAGAGAATAAAAAATCTCTGATTATTTGTCACTTTGTTCAGCGTTCGGCAATGTAAACAAACAGATGTCAACCTTTTCTGATGATGCATTGCTAAAGCAGCATTTGCACCTAAATGCTAGCTTTTTGTGCCTTTGTATATTTCATTCAATTGCTTAAAGCTACAGTCCATCATTTGCAGCTATCCAAAATGTAACTGACGTAATTATTGTTGAAAAGCATACTTGGTTTAAAGATAGTAATAGGACTGAACTCGCTGTGAAATTATTCTTTCTGGCAAGCTGTCATTTTGGAGAAATCAATGACAGAAGGCCTTTCCAACGTAGGAAATGTGCGCGACATCGCGTAGCTGCAATCGGCTAAGTGAGAACGTGTCTCGGAAGCTGAATTCAGGCCCAATGACTCGGCAACTTTTGATTTGAAATCGAGATCCTAGAATATTGTTTTCTCGGAATATACAGCATTCACTGAGCTGAGTCTTCGTCAGGTTAGCTGTTCAGCACCCTTCTTTAGATTTTGAACACTTTTGTTGCTTCAAACGAACATAATGCACAAATTACAAGTGATAGACGCTACTTTGAATTTCCCCCACCCCAGGTATTTGATGACTGTGCAATCTCTCAGTCAGTCCGAGAGGAGGTCTATAAGTGCTATCCTGATGCCAAGAGAGCCCATCTCAAGAGTGGAGGCAACTTCCCCTACCTCAGCCGTACTGATGAGGTCAATCTTCACATTCAGGTCAGGTCAAACCACCCCCCCCCCCTTCATAAAGTGGTGCTATAATTGCGTTGGACACTGTTATTGTACTGCTTGGCCTAACACTGTGGCCAGCAAATTCAACAAAGCCATCCCATCAGTCAAAATCAGTCGAGTAACTGTTTTTATCCCCCTGGCTTTCAAGCTAGACAGGGGGATATTGCGATCGCGTATTCCTTCTGTGTGTCCGTATGTACGTGTTCATCTTTTCAAACCCTGGACGAAAAATACCAGAGAACAAAAGGGAATAATATCGTCCACGATTCCCACCATACGTCTGCGATTGGGTTTGTGTACAAAACCTATGGAAGTCTTCCTAAAAAGTTAGAGTACAAACAAAAGAGGGACAATAGGACGTCCATGATCGACGGTGAACACACGTTTGGGTGTCAATGTGTGTGTGTTCCAGTTAACGGTAAGGTTCAGTCATCAATCTCAACCAAACTTGAAAGGTGGTCTGTGGGGAGAAGGCCGACATCAGAAAAAGCCTTTCCAATGTGGATATTTACGAGGTCTCTGGAGAGCTCAGCTCAGTATTACTAATGACTCTAACATGTGGGCCTTTCCATGCTAAGGGGTACAAAAGTGTGACATGGGATGGGAAATGAAGCAGGATAATAACATCAAGTTGCTTGTCCTATTTTCCACTTGTACATTCCCACCCCATTGTTGAGGATTGTGCTTTTAAAGAATTAAAGACTTTCTTGACAAGATATTTATGCTCAGGCTCACAGTGCTACGTGCGTAACATGGACAGAAAGTTTGCCAGGCAGATGGCGCAAGCTTTACTTGCAGTATTTTTAACAGTTGAGTGCTCCCTGTGGAGGCAGACCGTGTGTTGACATTGAACAAGGCCGCTGTGCACGACCTAGTATTGTTCTACAATTTACGCTCCGTGAGCACACCCCGGAGTGTTGGAAAATATGAGGTTTTGGCAAGATATATCGTACAAATACTGTTGAAATGACTCTTGCGAATCAGTATTTGTGGCGTTTGGCTGTATATCAGAAGTTGCTGCTATATTTTGCATTTTTCGAAAAATAGAAATTAATAAGCGGTTTAATGGATCGGTCCATTCTTGGATCGTGTACAAGGCCTTCTTTTTAAACTTTCTTTTAATTTTGTGATTTCCAGATTCATTTGAGAAAGTACGCACAGTCCCGTTACGACGCCCGGTCCCCGCAGGACGAGATTACTGTCCCCAGCATCACCAAGGCGATGGGAAACCATGGCGACAGTCGCCAGGAGACTGAGGACAATGGAGACAGTGCAGGGGAGGTAGGAGACCATGGAGATAGTACCGGGGAAGCCACCGACCCGTTAGGCCTAGTGCGAGAAGACTCATTCTCAGAAAAGCACTCGCATGATGACACGGAAGATGATCTCTAAACAGTACGTCTAGCCTTGTTCCCGCTGCAATTTGAAATATGAAACCCTGACTATTCCAGATTCTGAAAATCCAACGTTTTTTTTCTTCAGTTTCTTGCATAACTTTGAAGGATTCAGTTAAGTGGAACCAGACAACAGAGGTGCGTTCCAGTCACGGGAACGTGTTAGCGTTTATTAGCTAGGCACTACAAACATGCCAACCCCAAATGGAATGATACAGTGCAACGCCGCTATGAGGAACATCGCGGGATCCACAGAAATTGTTCGTAATAGCGATCATTCGGTGTGGCGCTTTTAAGGTGGCGATGCGTCGGTACTCACTTTTCAATAAATAGCGCCCTTCATAACTTCACCCTGCAAACCCTGGTAGTTACTGAAAGACGACTTTGAACACGTGCCGACTATTGCATTATGTATATTACACTTTTTTTTTAGCTTACTAACATCGCCATTGTTGGAACTCACCCCAAGACATGTAGTTTGCATGGGCACGGTGTGTCACTATTTTTTTTTTTTTTGAGAATATGGATTTGTGCCAATGGTTTTGGATTTTGACTGAATTTGCAAGACGAGAGTCCAGGTTAACTAACATTCCGTTACATAAATTCAGCTTGGATTTTGTCAAAATATTTTGTGACCAACGTAACAGTGGGTTGAGTGTTTTATAAGTTTATCATACTGCATAGAGGACTATGTACATTGTACCAGTATTATTTTGTTTAATATCTAAATATCGCCATTTCATTCAGCAATGTCATGTAAGCGGATCTTTTTTGAGTACACACCTCGTTGTGGTAGCTTATCAACTCTATTTAAGAATTAAAAGTAATGGACACCATTTGCTAAAAATGTGTTTTAGCTGATTCAAGGAACATCAATACAATCAATCTGAAGGAAGTTATAAAAAAAAAAACTAACCTGTCGAAATTTCAGCTCAGTAGATATACTTTTGACGAAACTGTAAAAAAAGTCTTCATTTTTTTCCGATGCAAAGCATAGGTTTCCAATGAAAGCGCGATGGTTTGGTCCTAACCAGTGCAAGGAAATGATGTTGATTACTATTTTCTTGAAAATGACAGCTATACTAGGCGCAATGATCTCATAGGATGCTTGATCCTATTATTTACTTACAATCAAGTAGGATATTTCATGATTTTCTGACAGTTTCATTTGTTAATGTTTACACATGGCGTCCATTGTCAAAATGGTTTATTTCAATGGTATTTTCGTTGTATCACAGTCGGGTGCCTGGCTCAAAGAGTGGGCTATTACAGTTGTTCGTAACTGGGAACTCTACGGGCTTAGAGCAGCGCGGCCACATTGTGTGGTCAATCGTTATCATCACGTCACGCTGTGTGTATGTATTACATGTATGTACGTACATGTGCGCTGCGGTTTGTACAGTGCATATACTGGGTCCGCTCGCCCGCGATGTGTGCACGCTTCTGTCCGCATGCTTCTGTCCACGAAGGGAATAGGATGTATATCCCAATGAGGGTGGTGTGTTTATGTCGCCCCCCCCCCCCACCCCCTCTCCTCCCCCACCCCTCTCCCCCACCCCCTTCCCTACCCCCTGATACTTCATAAAGCAATCATTTATGATTTGCAAACAAATGTTCCTCCTCTGTTGCTATGTTTGGTGTCGGTGTAGTGTAACGAATTACTGCATGTATAGTTTATGTATAAAGTGTAAATATGAAAATCATAAAATTTGGAAAACATGATTAAATTTTATATGACTCAGTCTGTAAACCTGTATTAATATGAAATATTGGGAAAATGTGTCCATCACATTCCCTCATGCAATTTTTGTAATATTGAAGAAAATATTTAATCCCATTTGTTTTTTTTTTCATTTCTAATTGTTCTGACTGATTCGTCTGCAGAGTACATTCAGATAGGAGTGATTTCTGACTGAAAGAGGGCTGGCTTTACAGTTTTAAGATTTCTTCGCATCTTTCTTTAATTTCGCCAGTTTATATTATGTACATTTAATTTATATGTTGCCAATTTATATTATATGTGTGTAATTAGTTTGAAGAAATTGTGACCATGGCATAGACGACTCAAATTATTTTAAGCATTTGCATGTGTGCGCCAAGTGCCATCGGCAATGCATTTGAATATGACTCCGCTTAAGTAACCGTTAAGGCTGTACTTACGCACAGAATTTTGGAAGTTGGAGTTGCAAATGTTACGCTTGCCAGCTAATTATAGCAGTCTGTTTATTTATGTCGCTTTCTCTGAAAAGATAAATGTAATGGTTGGGGTGAAGAGTATAGTGCTGTCACGATTTTCGCTGCACAAAATCTGTTCCCAGTATGATGAGAAAGTTGTATTGATTTTACAATTTATCAAAAGCTAATTAACGCTTTGCGTAGGTACACATTGGCTTGGACCTCCCTTGTACTCATGGTGTACGTAATGTTAACATGTCCTCCCCCCACACACACTTTGTACGAACATACTTTATGTACAGCCCTTTACACATTAAGACTTCCACCTGTAATTTTTAACCCCAACATATGTACCTGAACCCATCAAAATCCACACCCCTGTTTTGGGAGGATTTCAGCGGATTCAGGATACCTCCATATTGGAAAAAGTTGGGGGATTTTGATGGATTCAGGGCAGTAAGCATAGCAGTACTGTAGGATTTTGATGGATTCAGGATACCTCCATATTGAGCAGTTGGGAGACTTTGATAGATTCAGGATCTCAAGTTTAACTTCTTGGCTATGTTTGGTGTGTACGAGGTATATATACACTGGTGGATTCTGATGGGTTCAGGACGCCAACATTATTTTGCATGACAAAATTGGTGGATTTTGGCGGATTCAGGTTACTTTCTTGTAAAAGTGCTCAAGGGGTTAGGGTCAATGAACTATCGTTGGACCAATTCCACAGAACTTTAGAGCAACAAATATGTTCGAGACTTACCCTTGTTTTCTGTACACCAAATGTTGAGATTGATTAATACTTTAAAGGGAATATACATCATTTGCTTTTGCTGTAATTTTCAGATATGGATGGAATAGGGGGGTTGGAAATATAAAGCAAATATAGTTACACTGACTTTTTGGAGGTTTTGGGTTTGAAAATGCTACTAAAACCAAGAAAAACGATCATTTTCCTGTAGTCTGGTTCCCTGACTCCATATAAGAAGAAACAGAGCAGTTAACATACATTGGGGAATTGTAAGGTCAGGGAACCAGTCTAGCTGGCTCGTACCCGTTCATGGGTTTGTAATCGATTGCAAACAAGTGCAATGGTCAATTGGGGCCAGTATTTGAAAAAAAGCCAGTTGTTTCCAACGCTGATCGGCCGATCAGCGTTGGAAATTGATACAAAAATACCACTTTTCTTGAAAATGACAGTATACCAGGTGCCATAATTTTACAGGATGCTTTAGACTGTCATTTACCAACATCCTATTAAGGTATTTCGCAAAAACTTGGTAGTTTTATTTTTCGATGTTTGCAAATGTTGTATATTCCCTTTAATTAAACGTATAAGTATACCAATGTTTCACATACATGTAGAGGCTGCATATTGTATATCCAAAGCAATGTTAAACTTACAAGATTATTTAAGTTCCTCTTTTTTATATGGATATATAAACCATTTTCCCGATGGCCAAATTTAACAAATGTTCATCATTAAATTACTTACAACTGTTCAAATTGTACTCTTCCTTAACAGTGTTTCTCTTTTCTATTGGGAAAATGTTCTGTGATTGTAATAAAAACAAAACGGATTATTTTGATATATACATTCTTACGGTTTGGGTTGAATTTCTAGAGTATTACAACACAAGAAATTTAAATGAAGCATAGAGGTCGCCACCATGCTGTTCTTTTATTTAGGAGGGGGGAATTTAAAAGTTAAATCTGGAATACCGTAGTGGTGCTCTACCAACCGAGCTATCCAGCCCTATGTTGACAGTTTCCCAATCAGTCCATATCTTTGTCCAGGGCCCTAGTTGGAAGCCAAAAACCCATATTTACCATGGGAAATCGCCATCATACATCTGGAAGCTCAGTTGGTAGAGCACCGGAACGGCAATCCGGAGGTCGCAGGTTCAAACCCTGCTCCTGTCAATTTCTTTGATTATTATAATGCACTGAATGGGTTTCCCTTTGCGGTTTATTTAACCATTTACAATGTACAATTACCAAGCTGAGTAATTTCCAAAACCGATCACGTCCAATGGGAGTGTTGTAATATCAGCCTATGCCCTTCTCCTGTTAGGGGGGTCCTGGTCAAACCAAAGCCATGAACAATATCAGCGGACTTGGATGTTAACTTCGGCCTACAATGACAGCACCTCGGCACACACATTCAGATTGTTGGGTGAATGTGTAAGAAACACATATTCACTTTGGGCAACCCCCAAAAAGCTTTGGACAACCCTCAAACTGGTAGTATGTTTCACCCATAGAGCTATATTAAATTACTAGAGCGCTAACTTCGTGTACAAACTAATGCCTGCTGGGCGCATCCATGTTTGTGCACAAACCTATGGAGACCTAGACATTTTGTACGGCTTTTGTACGGCTATTTGCATACGTTTGTATTCCATACCAGTGCGTTATCGAAGCCAATACGCCCAAAACCGAAACTCACGATCAGCAAATGAGCATGTCATTTTGCTCTACACTAACAGCGCAACGTGTGCGCGTATTCGCTGCAGATGCTTTTTGCCGTCACGTTTTTTTTTAATGTCAATGACGCGCTTAAGTTATTTGCGTATGTTCTACTTGCGCGTTGCATGTAGAGTACACTTTCAAAATTAAATCCTTCTAATTTCATTATGTTCTACAAACGCACATGAATTCAAAATGTCTGCCCCCAGGACGGCTTCAAAACGTCTCCGCACGCAGAATGACGAGTTAGCGCTCTAGTAATTTAATAAAGCTCTATGGTTTCAGCCAAAAACGTCTATCTATCAGCACAGAGCAAGTTCCAGTGAGGACTATGGTGCACCACAATTTGACTAACGTCACTCGAACATAGAAATGGTTGGACTAGTTTCAGCCAAGTTCGCGCAAGGACTATAGTTGACCGATGGTTAACTAACATTTGCCCGAACTCTGTCTAGTCGACGATGGTTGACTACGCTAGTCGACTATTTGGAACCAGCCTACTGGGGTTGGTTGCTTCGCTGGTAACCAATAGCCGCGCGCATTCATAACGCTAGCAGAGAGCCAGGATCCAGAAGTTTTGCGATGACATTTTGACCAGCGTTTGACTAGAGACGTTCGCACATTGCTACCAGTGCGCAGGCGTAAGGTACATCACAAATCAACCACTATTCGACTAATGGTCCTTGCCAAACTTGGCCCTAGTTGACGATTTGGAACTGGAGCTCGGGCATGGTTCCGTCGCTAGTTACTGATAATAGTCGCGTATGTCACAAAGCACAGCTGGAAGTAAGGGCCAAGAAGTTTCATGGTGACGTTTTGACCAGCGTTTAGCCATAACGCACTTTGGTTTGACTAGAGGCGTTCAAACGTTGCTATCACGATGCAGGCATAAGTTACGTCACAAATCAACCACTAGTCGACTAACGGTCCTCGCCCAAAATTGCTGACAGATGAGCACTGGCATATTGATGTCTCTAGAGGGCACTGTTTACATGATTGATAGCACCCTCATCAGTGCGTCAGCAATCGTCTCCCTTTCAGAAGCCGTCGCCAGATCAGCTGGATTCCCGACTTGCTACTCATCCGTTGGTGGAAGCCGTGCTTGCGTTTGCGTTTGACGTTGCTGGGCTGGTAGGTGTTGCCGCGGGCCTTGAAGCAGCACGGCACCAGTGACGGCGTCGGGTGATGCTGTAACAGTTGCTGTCTGGGTGTCTGGTTACCGGCTGCCAGCCACCAGTGAGGTGCTGTAGTGTTGCAGGGTCCCGTGGTCAGTGTTCTGTGCGTTGTCAATGTAGGCAGCTTGGCGGTTCTCAGACACATGAAAGCGCTGTCCAAAACAAGAATTGTAAAGGTGTAAGTACAATGTAACAAATAAAAAACGTATACACTGGAATGACTGGATGTTGATCATTAGCTTTTTGTGCACTTTTTGTTTGTTTGAAGCAACAAAATTGTTCACAATCATAAGTCAGTTTTATAACAAATAACCTGTTGAAATATTAACTATATGTGTCGAGAAAACAGTGGAAACATGGTTTCCAAAACTGAAATAGCCTCAATCCTGCAAAATCCTCCATTATACAAAGCGGATTTTGGAGTATTTGGAAAGGTTATGGTTAATGATGTTACACATACCTATTAAACTTCCTAATACCATTGTCTATTCCACCAGCACCACCAGCAGTGGCTGGCCTAAACAGACGACCAATGGCTATCCTGGTTGCAGCTAGGAATGTAGCCGCCATGTTGAACTTCTTAGAGACTCTCTATGCTCACTGCATGTAAAGAGAGAATGAAAAAAATAATTAAAGGGAATACACATCATTGGCTTTTGCTGTATTTTTCAGAAATGAACTATTTGAGAGGTTAGTATAATAGATCAAATATTGTTACACTGACATTTTTTAAGTTTGGTGTTCGAAATAGTTGGAAGAACCAAGAAAAACAAAAATGTTCAAGCAGTCTGGTTCCCTGACTTCACAAAAGACAAAATGGATCAATTTATAGATGATGGAAAATTGTAAGGCAAGGGAACCAGTCTAGCTGGCCTGCACCCGTTCATGAACATGTAACCAATAGCAAACAAAATTTGGACTGAAAAAAATGGTAAAATTGGAGCAGTAGTTGAAAACTAGTTAGGTTTTTCCAACGCTGGTCTGCCGACCACTGTTGGAAATGTTTACAAAAATACCATTTTCTTGAAAATGACTTCACACCAGGTGCCATAATTTTAAAAGATGCTTGAGACTGTCATTTACCAACATCCTAGTAAGGTATTTCGTAAAAACTTTCGTTTTATTTTTCGATGTTTGCAAATGTTGTATATTCCCTTTAACATCTCATGAATTTTTTGTACATTTATGTCAACTTGACCACTGAGTTCACAGTCTTGAGTGGAACAAATTCCAGTGTCTTGGAAAACAGAATGGGGACAAGGAATAATCATTTGTGATACCTACAATGGACAATAGAGTTTATACCTCTGGTTCTTTTCAGAACCATTCTCTTAGTTGAGAAATTATTCGCATATGGTGTTTCCGCAAACCTTCCATTATTTACAATGGATTATATGGTAATCGTGCAGTTTAGGACCTGTTCCATATCAGAGAACCAAAAAAAAAACACTTTTAAGTTTTGGGACTTAACACCGAAACATTTGCCATGTTGCTATCCGGTTCGTTAGTAAAAACGTCATACACCATGTACACGCACGCTCACCACTGATTACTAGCGCCCATTGGCTACAAACGCTCGAGCTGCGTTAACTTCCAGTTCCAATCGTGCAGAAAGTCCTGGAGGTGACGTCACACTAACGAACCAGATAGAAGCAGGAAACGTCACTCTACGTGTTTGAAATCATCTAAATAGTCACAATCATACAGTAATTTTGGAGTGTGTCTTGGGGTCAACTTTTGGCAATCGTGTTCAGGTGGATGTCTTGACAAATTCTCCCAACTCTAAAATGTATTTAAATGAAAACTAAAGTGCCAATAAAATTATATGTGGTCGACAATGCTCCACTCCGTCCAATGGTACAATTTTTGCTAATTGGGTAATTTCGGTCGCGCCCTCGTACTAGTTGGCTGGCGTACGAGTTGCTGTACGAGTTGGCCCACGTATGAGTTGTCTCGCGTACAAGTTGTCTTGCGTACGAGTTGGTTCACGTATGAGGCTGAATCGATCTCACGTACAAGTTTACCAATCTGCGAACGAGTTGTCCTGTGTACGAGATGGTTCGCCCTACGAGTTGCCCTGTTTCCGTTCAAAATCGCATTGCCATTAGACTGCAGCTGCCGTCATGACCGTCAAACGTCAATAATAGCCACTACGAACATGACGAAAATGGAATGATTGAAAGATATTCTCCGCTCTAGCCTAGGCCTATTTTATTAAATGTAATCTTAAATTCCGTAATTGACCTAGGCCTATCACGTTTCACTCTATTAATTTTTATAACCTAAAACAAAGTTGAAAAAGCGCAGTGGCTATTGTTACGGCAGCCGTAACGCATTTCCCATTTTCTATCGTTACGGTAGACTGCAACCTGGCAACTTTTATAAAAAAACATGACAAGAAAATATAAAATTAGAAGGAAAAAAGTGAATTTGAACTTTATGAAATTCGGACTTTATTTCCCTTTTAAAAAAAATCCTCCAAAGCCTCAGGTTAGAAAAGGAAAAAAATTCGAGTGCAAAACTGAGATTTGAACCCGCAACCTCACGGTGCAAAATCCTACCCTCTATCGGCTGAGTTGACGCACTGCTCGACAAAACGTGTGGAAACAAATAATTATATACCTGCGTGCGTATCAAAAAAATATCGTAGAGGGCGCTAAACAACGAGTGCCGTAACGATAGCCACTTCGTTGAAAAAGACGACGAAAACGGATGAAAAATCCACCTGCCGATAACGAGGTCTTGTTCCCTTTTCACTGTGAATGCTATTTAAACAAGACCATGTGGTACCCAACTAAAACACTTCGAACAAGGTAGCCGCGGATTTGCCCGGATGTCTGGCTGCGTATTCAGCGAGTTATTCAGCCGCGGATTCAGCCGCGCATTCACCAAGTATAGTACATGCGGCAAAAGGTGACCATTTATTCAACGAATTTCCCATAAGGCCAAAAAAAAAAAATCTCCGGTTTTTGGTATGCGCGCGCGTCGCCGTAGCCATGCGCATCGGCAAAATGAAAAAGTTTTTTTTTCAATGAAAGATGATGTCTCAAAACCGCCAAACTCACTGGTTTGACTGGAATCCTGCTGCTGCACAATTTTAACGTGTTTTTAGATTGGGTTATGGTCGAGAATAAGCTTTATTTGGCCTCTCTGGACTCCCACATATTTGCACTAAGTTTAGTCGGGCACCACTTGCAGTCATCAGCCGACATTTGAAGCAAAAAAATCAGGTAAAAAAAAAAGCCGCACCGCACCACTTTTTGGGCAAGCTCCATACCAGAAACCGGAGACTTTTTTTTTGGCCTAATAAACGACAAAATAACAATATTTTTTTCACGCCATATAAAACAACCGGCGACATAAGCAACCGTTTCATCCACTTTTTCCGAAATTTTCGATGCAATAATTACTATTAAATGAGCTGCATAAAGGGAACAATCGGACATTTCGCGTTATTTTTCTACGCTTTTTGAGACGTTTGAAAGTAAGTGCATCATTAGCTGGAGTTACCCAGCCCTAAATTTTATCATTGGGGAAATGACAACCCAATGATAAAATTTAGGGCTGGGTAACTCCAGCTAGTACATCATTTGAAACAAAGTGTACCACACGCAATATTAAAAACTCACAATTTTATTTCATAATCTACGAGATAATGTTACTGGGTACACTTCATTTTTGGTGTTGGCTTCAGCTGAACACCAATTACTACATGTTGTCACAATCTTACAATTGTATTTCGTGATCTTCGAGATCATGTTACTGGACACACTTGATTTTGGTATTGGCTTCAGCCGATTGCAGGTCAACTCGCCCCCTGGCCGACTCGACCCCTACCGACTCGCTCCTTACCGACTCGCCCCCTGACCGACTCGCCCCCTAACTGACTCGCCCCTTACCGACTCCCCCCCCCCCCCCGGCCGACTCGCCCCCTAGCCGACTCGCCAACTCGCCTCCTAGCCGACTTGTCCCCTGACCGAAAGACAGTGTGGAGAACACAGAGGGTCCAGCAAATCAGCTTCGTTATCTGAGTTTTGGGATTGAACTATAATTGCTCAATTCAAAATTTGGTTGTGAAAGTTCCATTACTGAGCCTCTTTTATAACTTTTTCACAACCATTCGGTATGTTTGATAAGAACACCACTAAGGCCCCCCCCAAAAAAAATATTCGGTCTCTGGTCAGACCAAAGTTCCGGAATTGACGCGGCGATGCGGCTTTTTTTTTTTTTTTTTCTTTTTTTCTTCAAGCTTGGATTGTACAGACAAGGTAGGGTACTATTTTGCCCCCCCCCCAAATTTTGTCTAGCCCCCCCAAAATAAATTCCGTAAAAAGAAATTGCATTAGCAAAAAGAAGGATTGTGATGTACATGTACTTGCGAAAGGTTTCCCCCTAAAGAAATAGTCGTGAGAAGGGTGCATTTGTAGTTAATATAGTGTGAATGATTTTAGGATTTTATTGGCGCTCCCCATTGAAAATATGGCATGACCCCCCCCCTCCCCCTCCCCCTCCCCCCCCCCTCCCTCCCCCCCCCCCCCCCCCCACCTATTGATGTTCGGAGGACTAAGTGTCTGGAGAAAATATCCGGTCTACATTTCAGCACGCCTCCCTGAAAAAAAATCTGGATCCACCCTGCTAGCCCCCCCCCCCAAATATTGGTTCTAGAACCGCGCCTGAGTCACCGTGAACGCAACCTCGTCCCCAGTGCTCACTTTCGCGAGCATTCGTCCACGCCTTCTCGAAAATACTAATTTCCTTTCCAGATTGCTCATATCAATATGAAATGTGATACTGCATGTTGTCTTGATATTAGATCGTTACTGTTTAATTAAAAAAATCGTGTTTTCGTATCTTACGCCATGCTCGCGCTGCGACGAATTGACTGTTTTTTTTTACCCCAGACACCGCATACAAAAACAAACGCTAATGTAACGCATATCCAGGCACCAGACTGTTCCTCATTTGCATACGTGTTCAAAAATCTTGCACATGCAAATGATCCAATACCAGGGTGAGAGAGCAGGTAGTGATGGGCGCGTACTGTTCGACACCCTGGGGACGAGGTTGCCGTGAACGCTACGCGCACAGGCCCAAGGGCGGATCCAGAACACAATTTTTTTTTGGGGGGGGCCAAACAAATTTTTGGCCCCCCCCCCCCCAAAAAAAAAAGTGGGTCCAAAAATTACGGCGTGGGGTTCGGGGCCCGCTTAACGGCCCCGAAAAATTTTTGGATTCTAGATGCTCTATGGTGCGATCTGAGGCAATTTCTGACCACTTTAACCAATGTTTTTCGAGGAAAAGATTTTTTCATTGGTATCGGAAATCCTTCAAACTGGCGTTTGAATAATTTGACTCCATTAAGTTTCACGTTGCGACCGGGCATTGTGCTCCACTGTCTTTATTTTTATATCACGATGTCCCCGTACGGTGCTTAATTTTCAAGGGGGCGAGTCGGTCAGGGGGCGAGTCGGTCAGGGGGCAAGTCGGTAAGGGGGCGAGTCGGTCAGTTGATCTGCAGTTGAATGGAACGCATTCTAATTGCAATTGCTCAGTAAAAATTGGGTCACTTTAACGGGCTAATTAGACACTAAGTAGTGTTCGGCTGGAGCCAATACCAAAATCAAGTGTGCCCAGTAACATATTCTCGTAGATTATGAAATAGAATTGTGAGTTTTTGACAACATGTGCGGTACACTTTGTGTTGAAGAGGTCTATGCAGCCTAAATAGAACCAATTAATAATAGTGCATGGAAAATGTGGTCACTTTAACGGGCTAATTAGGCACTAATTAGAGTTCCTGAAGAGTTTATTCTTTAAAATTTCCTAAAAATCAAACGTTCTTGTGTTTTCTTATAAATATACAATGGAAAGAAAGTCACGTTTTAGTTAAACCGACGTCTTGTTAAAGACGTTAAATTTAAATAAAGTTTGTTACATTTCTTCAGTTTTTAAACAATAAATTAATCCTTTGTGAAATCTTTCCAAACTCTTATGACTTAAATTGGTTTTCTTAAAAATGCACTTTCAATATCAAATTAAAATTATAGAGCAAAATTCTCCATTGTCAACTGAACAAAAAGCAAATAGAAAGCCTTAGGCGAGACCTCGTTTATAATTTACCGAGAAGATCCAATTGAATGCATTAAAGGTAAGGAGTATGAAATCATTAACTTATTGATGCAATAATTTTGGATGACCCAGGACAGATCAAAGGAACATCCCTTCTCCCAGACATGTCACTGCTAAAAAGCCAGTGACAAATCATTACCCTTACAATAATTTTTCAGCAAGTTTCCATCAGGCCAAAAAAAAATAAGTCTCCGGTTCCTGGTATGGAGCTTGCCCAAAAAGTGGTGCGGCGACGCGGCTTTTTTTTTTTTTTACCCGATTTTTTGCCTCAAAATGTAGGCTGATGACTGCAAATGGTGCCCGACTAGACTTAGTGCAAATATATGGGAGTCCAGAGAGGCCACATAAAGCTTATTCTCGATCATAACCCCATCTAAAAACACGCTAAAATTGTGCAGCAGCAGGATTCCAGTCAAACCAGTGAGTTCATTTTTTGGCGGTTTTGCGACATCATCTTTCATTGAAAAAAAAACTTTTTTATTTTGCCGACACGCATGGCTATGGCGACGTGCGCGCATACCAGAAACCGGAGACTTTTTTGGCGTTATTGTCCATTGTTAACTGTCTGTTGCAGTATCCGGTTTAAGATTATTTTAGAGGCATAAATAATTTAATGAAATCAAAATTACTTTTCATGTTATTTTAGTGTTGTTGCCTTAGTGTATAACATTAATGACGTTGCATTATGCAGTCGATATATCATTTCATATTGTGCAAGCTAGTTTTTTTAACTCAAGTTTCCGATGAGGGCATCCTTGTCCAGTAGAGCAGCTTCGTCATTGTCCAGTCTCGTCCAAGCTTGGTGGCCCCCCAGTCGCCCCCCCCCCCCCACTGAGATTTTGAGCTCCTAAAAAAATGATCATTGATCAACATGACGACCCCCCCCCCCATGAAATGTTCCAGCCCCCCCCCCCAGCGCCCCCCCCCCCTCCAACTGAACAATTCCTGGCTACGCCACTGTCTGTCGGTCCTCCTTCCTGCTTCCGGTTCCTCGAGTTTCTGTGTGATGAGGCTGTTGGAGCCTTGGAGGGTTCATTTTTGTCATAATGTGCCGACGCTGATAATGGCAGGTTGTTTTGGAAACTGCATATAACTCGCACACTATAAACAACCATTAAAAGAAATTCACGTGAAATTAAGATGACAAAATGCCATCTTAATCCTTGCCGATCCCTTCCAAATCGGACTTACATTGAACATAGTATTATACGGAGGGAGGGTTACACGTAGGCTAAAATCAACAAGGAAATAGTAGTTTTCTATGTTACTCTAAACCTGTCGCATATCTTGAAATGCTTTCTTTTGAAATTTACGTCAAGTACGGTATACTCGTAGCCCACAAAGATTTGATCGTGAAAGACTATATTAGACCGATCTCTTTAACTACTGCAACGTTTTTTTTCCGTTATGGTTTTCGTGTTCTCCCCTTCAATAAAACAGCACTGTCGACCTTATACGTTATCACAGGTCAAAGTAAGACAACCAAATGAGTAACTCAAAGGAGAAATATATACTTGAAAACATGTATCCCTGCCGATCTTTCCAAATCGGACTCACATAAATGATGTAGATTAAGTTTAAACCTTTACAAAAACAGGAAGAAATGTCGCATGCGATAGTAAATATGTCGCATGTCTTTATACAGCCATTTTCCCTATCGCTTTGTTGATTACACTTAAGTTGTACCCTTTCACATGCATAAACCTGGCTATTTCTGGCCTTTTTGAAGGCAAACTTCTTGACAATGTCACAAATTGCAGTTTTTTTCGCTGACGAATAATACTTAAAAGATGTGGTGTAGGCCTAGAACTTGGGGAATGCCTTTAACATGCTGCTTTAATTTAAATTCAGTCATTTTCTTTACATCGATATAATGGGACTTTTCCTTAAATTCCGTCATTTTAAAAACTTTTTTACCCAAATTCGCTTTCCGACTTTTTTAAGCAGTGTAGTACCGTACCGGAAGTGGCTGCCGATTATAATTTGAAATGTTTTTGTTAACATTATTTCGGTCATTTTCATTTCGGGCATAGGGCCTACAAGTTTAGAAAATTACCGATTTTCAAATATTTATTTCTTTCGCTGCCGTTGTTAATCTTTTTACCGCAATTTTCGTCTCTTTAATTTGGTTCTTCCGCAATCGAATTGTTTTTACTTTGTAGGTAATAAAAATAACACTGATATCAAGTATTATTTCTCTCACTAACGCTGTGATTTTTTAGCCGTGTAAACTATGTTTCCTCACTTCACTTATATGCCGCGTTGATTTTCGGTGTAATTTTCGTAATTTTCCCCTAGCTACCTGTGGAAACACAGTGCCGTGCTTCGAGAAGAAACTCCACGTACTATGTGATTTTCGTTGTAATTTAATTTGGACCGATTTGATTTTTGTTTCCACGTTTCGTCACACGCGTTTAGTCAAATATTTCAAGTAGGTATCGCAGTAAAGGTAAAAACAACACTGATTTCAGTTATTTTCGACGTAAATTTCATAATTTCTCAGCCACTTGTTGGAAGCGGAGAAGCATTTCTGTGAGAAGAAAATCCGCTCATGATTTGATTTTCACTGCAATGTATTTTACACACATTTGACCTTTTTTCTTCAATTTTCGTCATATTCGTTGTCACATATATTTCAGGTATAGGTTTCTCAGTACAGTTAACAAGTAACAGTGATTTAAGCTATTAATTCTTCCAATTACAGCGGTAACTTTGGCGTAAGAATTCGTATTTTCGTCGTTTTTATGTTTTATAATATTGCAAAATAATATGCAGTCTGCTTTTTGATCCAATATTCCGCAAATTGGAAAGTGTCTGATGAGGGCATCCTTGTCCAGATAGAGCAGCTTCGTAATTTTCCAGTCTCATCCAAGCTTGGCGGTCCTCATCTTCTAAAACATGACAAAAAGAGTAAACTAGCAAAATTTAGAATTAATATTTAAAGTGGAAATCAAGCATCGTAAGAGGTGACATAGTATTAAAGGAATAACAAATTTAAGAGTAGGCCTACATATCCCTGGTCTCTTTTCAAGTAAACATACCTCAAGAATTGGTAATGGTCAACCAAGCAGGCAGTGTCAGTCAACCGTCGGTCCTCCCAGCTTATGGCAGCTTGAGGCAGGCTCATCCATCATAGGGCAATTCCCTCACCAGTCAGTGGTCCTCATGTCTGTAAAAAGATTAAAATGACAAAGGAAAATATCCGAATTATTATTAAGAAATATCTGAAAGGTAGAGCAAGAGGGGGGGGGGGAGAAATGTTCGAATTAACCCCACAAAGCAGTGCCCCACTACCAGCACTCTTTATTTGTGGGAGAACATAGAAGAGCGCCAAATCACCCATTTTGATTACTTGTTTCTGCTTATTCTTTAGGTATATATAACTAAAAACTAACCTCACGAATCAGTAATGGGAAGCCCAGCAAGCAGGTCATCAGTTCATCCGACGGTCCTCCTCCCTGCTTCCGGTTCCTCGGGTTTCTGTTTGATGAGGCTGTCGGAGCCCTGACGATGTCTTGAGGCAGGCTCATCCTCATCTCAGTAGGGTAATTCCCTCATCAGTCAGTGGTCCTAACTTTGCTGAAAGGATTCAAATAACGAAAGGAAACATTTGAATTATTTAGCTGTATTCGTGCCATGGCTCGAAAGGGGAAAGAAAACATTGAATTAACCCCACAAAGCAAAGCCCTGCTACCAGAACTCGTTTGTGGACGAACATAATAACAGAGTCAGATCGCCCATTTAAATTAGTTCTGTGACTTGATTGTTCCTGTTAAGAGGAGGCCTACATGTAAACTAACCTAATAATCAGGAATGGGAAGCCCAACAAGCAGGTCATCCGTTCATCTGTCGGTCCTCCTCCCTGCTTCCGGTTCCTCGAGTTTCTGTTTGATGAGGCTGTTGGAGCCCTGACGATGTCTTGAGGCAGGCTCATCAATCTCAGTAAAGCAATTCCCTCATCAGTCAGTGGTCCTCATTTTTCTGAAAGGATACGAAAGAAAACATTTGAATTATTGAGCTGTATTCGTGCCAGGGCTAGAAAGGGGAAAGACAACATTGAATAACCCCACAAAGCAAAGGCCCGCTACCAGAATTCGTTGTTTGTGGACGAACATAGAAGAGCGCCAGATCGCCCATTTTGATTAGTTCTTAATTGTTTCTGTTTAAGTAGGCTACATGTACACAAACCTGATAGTCAGTAATGGGAAGCCCAGCAAGCAGGTCATCCGTTCATCTGTCGGTCCTCCTCCCTGCTTCCGGTTCCTCGAGTTTCTGTGTGGTAAGGCTGATGGAGCCTTGACGATGTCTTGAAGCAGGCTCATCAATCTCAGTAAAGCAATTCCCTCATCAGTCAGTGGTCCTCATTTTTCTGAAAGGATACGAAAGAAAACATTTGAATTATTGAGCTGTATTCGTGCCGGGGCTAGGAAGGGGAAAGAAAACATTGAATTAATCCCACAAAGCAAAGCCCGCTACCAAGAACTCATTCTTTGTGGAAGAACATTATAACAGAGTCAGATCGCCCATTTTGATGAGTTCTGTGACTTGATTGATCCTGCAAAGAGGAGGCCAACGTGTAAACTAACCTAATAATCAGGAATGGGAAGCCCAACAAGCAGGTCATCCGTTCATCTGTCGGTCCTCCTCCCTGCTTCCGGTTTCTCGAGTTTCTGTTTGATGAGGCTGTTGGAGCCTCAGTAGAGCAACTCCCTCATCAGTCAGTGGTCCTCATTTTTCTGAAAGGATAGGAAAGAAAACATTTGATTTATTGAGCTGTAATCGTGCCAGGGCTAGAAAGGGGAAAGACAACATTGAATAACCCCACAAAGCAAAGGCCCGCTACCAGAATTCGTTGTTTGTGGACGAACATAGAAGAGCGCCAGATCGCCCATTTTGATTAGTTCTTAATTGTTTCTGTTTAAGTAGGCTACATGTACACAAACCTGATAGTCAGTAATGGGAAGTCCAGCAAGCAGGTCATCCGTTCATCTGTCGGTCCTCCTCCCTGCTTCCGGTTCCTCGAGTTTCTGTGTGGTAAGGCTGATGGAGCCTTGACGATGTCTTGAAGCAGGCTCATCAATCTCAGTAAAGCAATTCCCTCATCAGTCAGTGGTCCTCATTTTTCTGAAAGGATACGAAAGAAAACATTTGAATTATTGAGCTGTATTCGTGCCGGGGCTAGGAAGGGGAAAGAAAACATTGAATTAATCCCACAAAGCAAAGCCCGCTACCAAGAACTCATTCTTTGTGGAAGAACATTATAACAGAGTCAGATCGCCCATTTTGATGAGTTCTGTGACTTGATTGATCCTACAAAGAGGAGGCCAACATGTAAACTAACCTCAAGAATCAGTAATGGGTAGCCCAGCAAGCAGGTCATCCGTTCATCTGTCGGTCCTCCTCCCTGCTTCCGGTTCCTCGAGTTTCTGTTTGATGAGGCTGTTGGAGCCTTGGAGGGTTGATTTTCGTCCAGACAAAGCAGCCTAGCTCATCCATGCAGTCTCAACTTTTAGATCATCAGTTTCTTTGTTGAAAGCTGCAACTCTTTCCTAAGTGAACAGGGTTACGAAAACACTGGGCCTAGCCCATTTGTTACTGAAGTGAAACATTTCAAAGCATTATGTCTATAAGCCTACCTGTAATAAGGCCACTTGTTACCAAATAAAAACTAAACGATTCTACCCATGTTTCCACTATTTACTTTTAAAAACAGACATGATCTTTTTTGTCATAATGCACACGAACATGTGCCGACGCCGATATTGGCAGGTTGCCAATAAGTTGTAACCTTTCACAGTGTACTTTTTTGGTGTGTGTGTGTGTGGGGGGGGCAATTAGGTCTTTTTGAAGGCACTTCTCGACAATGCCAACAATTTTGATGTTTTTGAAATGCCGCTGTATATAACTGAAATTCAGTCATTTTCTAAACAAATATTTTGTTCATTATGGTGTGATTTTTTTTCTCGTAATTTCGTCAATTTCATTTTCTTTTGCTGCCGTCATTTTCCCACCGTTTGCCAAAATTTGCAAGTACATGTACATGTATTTACTTCTCTCGTTGCAGATGATTAATTTCTATGCCGTTATTTTCGTCATTTTGATTTGTTTTTTCCATAACCCATTTTGTTTACTTTGTGGCAAGAAAAATAATACCGATTTCGGGTATTTTTACTCTCACTAACGCTGCGATGTTTTCCTCGCGTTATTTTCATCATTTTCCTAGCGTGTAGGCCTACACGTAGAAAGCGGAGTGATTTTTTTTCGGAAAAAAATTTGCTTACGATGTGATTTTCACTACAATTTATTTTGGACCGATTTGAATTTTGTTTTCAGTTTTCGTCATACGCGTAGTCAAGTAAATATCCGGGTAGGTATTTTTTAATTTGATTTTTAAAGTTGATTTCGTATTTTCGTCAATTAGAGGCTTGCCGCTTCAAAACCGTAACATTTTTTGCCCGACGTATTGCAGTTGAGAAAAAAATAACACTGATTTCAAGTATTATTCCTTTCGACATCTGCTTCGATTTTGCTTAACGATTTGACACTTTCGTAGCCGCAACGATTAATTTGATTTAAAAACATTTAATTTTGTCTATTGTCAGAGACAACAGACGGATACCATTAAAAAAATCACACCACACAGAGAGCAATGCACACTAAGGCAAAAAATCAAACATGCAACATTTACAATGAAACAAAATACAATCTACTTTTGAGTTTTTTTCCCCAAAAGTCATTCTCTCTGTAAGCATTTTTTTTTACTCACAGATAAGTTTATCTTTAAATAGTTACTTAATAATGAACCGAGCTTAAAATATCTTCACAGAATAAAAATGTCTTTTATATAAATTTATGCAAAGTATAATTAACCAAAGTTATGACTTTTGATTTTACTACGATCATTAAAATATGGTCAACTGTCAACTGTGCCCTCACTGCTCACAGACTAGCGAAGTATAGACAATGCGGCGCTTTTACAGACGCTGTTAATCCCAGATTTTTTTTACCTTTTAGTGTTACTATAAGAGCGTATATGTCACCTTAACAGAGAGCTCATTTAGGAATTAGCGTTAATTATTAACCAATAGTTTTCTCTGTATGGCTATTTAAGTAGTAACGTCCTTCCGTGTTTTTGTTAAATGGTCTAAGTTTTAATGTTCAAGTTCTTCTGATGGAAGGGGCCTCTTGGAAATCGGCGCTATACTAATATGCACCGAAGAGGGTATCCCTTACAAGTGGCACTGCACCAGGCATGGTCACTGTCAATGGCCTAGATTTTATGAATCTTGTTTGCTCTTAAACATTTTATACAATCATAAAGAAATTATATCGTCGTTGGTGGACAACGCACCAGGCATTGCCACTTTCTGTAGTTGTTTCACTAACTTTGTTTAATTATTGTTTTGAGTTTGGCAAAGTACCAGCCAATGTCCGTATAGAGGGCAGCATTCCAGTTGATCGATAAAACATCACAAAATGACTCTCAATCAATTACCAAATCGACTTTAAATTTGGAAGTTTCTTAATAGCGAAAATAAAATAAAATACACCAGTACTTTGAAGTTTAGGGGACAGTGTTATTCATTAGACTGATTTTCGTTTGCATTAAGTTAGTGTTATTTTTTTTTTTTTTTTTTTTAGAAAACTTCTAAAACTCCCCATGGCACTGCCTGCAGGCTCAATGTGCGCATGCTCGCAGCGGGCTATGCTTGCTCCCTAATTTTCGTTTGCTTCATTTTTTCCTAACACTGTTCATTGCACTTTGCTAAACAGTTCCCTAGATTTTATCACTTCGAAGTATGGTACACGAAATCGCGCGATTACGCAGGTACGTGGATATGCGGATATGCGGATACGCGGGTACGTGGGTACGAAGACCAAGAGGAGATGAACATATTGTTCTTATTTAGGGCCTACTACTATACATATGACAATCACAACGTACGTACGTGATGCAATTAAATTATCACATACGTACGTGTGATAATATAATATTACGTACTTACGTAATATTAGTATTATTATTGCGCACATACCTGATAAATAAGTACATATTACGTACGTACATGTATTGCATATGTAAGTGATATTACGTGTATCCTTAAACGAGTATACGTACTTAATAATTATCACGTGGGCCCTACGTACGTAATAATTATCACGTGGGCCCTACGTGATAATATTACCTACGTACGTGATAATATTCAAGTACGTGCGTGAGTTACGTACGTACGTGACAATAACACATACGTAATATTATGAAAATTAAAAAAATAAATAACTCCCAAGTCCCTTCTCGGTCTTCGTACCAAACCGTCTCCGGTCTAGCCAAACAAAACCCCAAAAAAACAAAAACACGAGTTTGCCGAACATTACGTATTAATATGCCTTATTGTCGAACGGAAAAGCGATAGAACGCGGTGCGGAGGTTTCTAAACGCGTATGAGAATATTTCGCCGAATCTAAATGCCTATAACATTATCCTAACACTCCTACAGATCCAGCAGCTGCTTTGCTTTGCGGATGCTGCATAATGCACGCCTGCAGCGTCTGCACTCCTCCCAACTTGACCTACAAAAAAACCCTAATTAATTGTTTGCATCACTTGCACCAACGTTTTGCCCAGAATGTTGATTAGGTTTTATATTGTTTCAATTTATTTTTTAGTTTCTGAGACTGAGGTGGAGAACGTCTTTTAACCTTCTCCAGAAAGGGAGTTACACAAGACCTGCAAGTCAATGTGACAATGAAGGAGACACTTGTCACAGGTTTATCATTGAAAGTACTGGTGTAAATTAGCGAGTTGAATTATTCAGGGACAACAATTTGAAAAAAAAAACTTCCACTGGAATGCTACCCTTCAACTGTTCCACGTGCGAACGCAATGTCACTGCACGTATCAAATTCCTATGCAAATTAACTCACGTGCGAACACAATGTCACTGCACGTGTCTGACGAATTTCTATGCAAATTAAGTTATACTCAACGTGCGAACGCAATGTCACTGCACGTATTTTATAAATTCCTATATGCAAATTAACACACGTGGGAACACAATGCCAATGCACGTGACAAATTCCTATTGGCATTGCATTATTATTGAATAAAATAATCATTTTCGTTCAACCTTAATTCTGCTGTAATTTACCTTCCATGTAAACTTTTTTTAACATCCAATGAAATTTAAGGAGTTCTCTGTTTCAGGTGACAAAACTCTCTTCGGAGCTTCCCCAAAAAATTAAAGCATTTTACTGCCTTGAAATGAAGTTAATTATCCGCTCAGCCAGAAAATAATTCCTGGCCGGCCAGTGGCTTCTTGCAGTCTCAAACTTTATATCTAAACTGCTTCGGATTAACGGAGCCTATAGCCACGCCCCATTTTTATTTACAAACGTGCGAACGCAATGTCACTGCACGCGTCTTCCGAATTTCTATGCATAGATATAGGAAAAAAAAGACTACATCGGCAGCGCGTCCACACGCGCCCATTCATTGTGCGATAAATCGCCGCCTTTTTTTTTTATTGTGTTTCGTGGACGCGCAACAAATTAACGTAAAGTAATGGAGCTAAATGTATCTTTCCTCTAGCACCGTGACCAAGCTCAACGCAAGCGAAGCAAGAAATACGCACCGAGTATTTACGCGATTCGCCCACGCGTTAGTGATAATGGTGCACTGTGCGCGTAAACGGCGTTGCGTTCGTCACGTTTTCGCGCATCATTTGAATCTTTCCTCCAGCACGTGACCCTCCATGCAAGTCCGCGCGTGTGGACGCGCTGCCGATCTAGTCTTTTTATTCTATATCTATGTTTCTATGCAAATTAAACGTGCGAACGCAATGTCACTGCACGTGTGAGATGGATTCTTATGCATTTTTTTATTGTACGTGCGAACACAATGTCACCGCACGTGTCTGACGAAATTTTATGCAAATTGGTTTTTATTCTACGTGCGAACGCAATGTCACTGCACGCGTGAGACAAATACCTAATCACTTATAATTGCTTATCCCAAAGTTATACTTAATACACAAATAAAGGCCTTACACTTATTTAAAGATATAGTCCATCATTTGTAATTTGTGCATTTTGTTCGTTTGAAGCAACAAAAGTGTTCAAAATCTAATGAAGGATACTGAACAACTAACCTGATGAAGTTTCAGCTCAGCTTCAGCTGTATATTCTGAGAAAAACAGCATTCTAGGATCTCAATTTCAAATCAAAAGTTGCTGAATCATGTTTTGAATTGTTTTGAATTGCAGCGATGTTGCGCACTGATCCGACGAATTATAGCAACCGCGCGCGCCTGTGCGTCGTGCCAATGCTTGCGCGCGCTGCGCCGAATAACAAAACGCACAACTAATTTAAATTTTCCTACGAAAGGCCTTCTTTCGTTGATTACTTCAAAATGATAGCTTGCCAGAAAGATTAATTTCACAGGGAGTTTAGTCCACTTATTATCTTTCAACCAAGTATGTTTTTCAACAATAATACGCCAGTTAGTCTTCGGATGGCTGCAAATGATGGACTATAGCTTTAAAGTGGCCCTAGATTTTGTAGGAGAACCTTATACACATGTTCATTAATCAGAGACATGTAACGTACCTCTTTCTACTCTTGAAGACATTGCCCCTCTTGGTGTTGATCTTGCAGTAAATGGTAACGATGTCTTTGTTAATACAATATAAATTGGACACAATGTGCACGTTCAATTAGGATAAACAATTTTATATAGAGCCAAAATGATAATTTTGAACAGTGTAATGAGTTGCATGCAGTGAGCGTGAGGAGCACAACGACAGTAATGAAGGCCTAGCCCAGCACCGAAACAACAGCTAGGTCGCTGTACCATGGTGATCAGCGAGGCATGAATGTAACAATAGGGTTGGAGTCTGAGTGGAAATCTTCTAAACACGTTATTTGCATAATGTGCATTCAGCACAAGCCTGGGTTAGAAATGAGAATCGGATAGAATGCTAATGACGTAATTCCGATGGGCGATTACATTTTGGTCACGAGCCCCTTTAGAGGGGTGGCACAGTTTCATACTGATCAACTTGAGTTGAAAACAATTGCCTGTTTAAATACATTTGTGAAGGACGAAAACAAAAGGTACTGCACTCACTTTTGGGGGTTGAAATTTTGGACTGACCGGTTACAGTCGAATCAACGGGGCACTTGCTCAATAAAAGGCATCTTCCGTTGGTGTAGCAGCAGTGGCGTAGCCACCGGGGGGGGGGGGCCTTGGGGGGCGACCGCCCCCCCCCCATGAAACATTGTCGCCCCCCCCCCCCCCACTGAAATTTTGAGTTTCAAAAAAATGTATTATTGATCTACATGACGCCATGGGCGTCAATCCTGGGGGGGGGGGGGGGGGACAGGGGGACATGTCCCCCCCCCCACCTTTTGAAGGATGGGGGACACAATATCAAATGTCCCCCCCCCCCATTTTTGAACTCGCGTCTCATTTACAGGGCCTATTATGTACTACAATGTATCTTTTGCTTAGAAAATATTGGTTAAAGTGGTCAGAAATTGCCTCAGATAGCACCACAGAGCATTTAGAATCCAAAATTTTTCGGGGCCCTTAAGCGGGCCCCGAACCCTACGCCTATAGCTCAGAATTCTGGTAGCTGATTCAATGACTCCAACCTCGAAAACAATGTTCACAAAATTTTCTTATGCCTTTAACTGAGAAAACCTCCAAAATTATGTTTAAATTATTATCTTTTGTGCTAAGATAATCATTGATAATCATTGGTTAAAGTGGTAAGAAATTGCCTCAGATCACACCACAGAGCATCGGAAATCCTATTTTTTCGGGGCCCTTAAGCGGGCCCCGAACCCCACGCCAATAGCTCAGAATACCGATAGCTGATTCAATGTCTCCAACCTCGAAAACGATGTTCAAATAGTTATCTTTTGCCAAGAAAATATTAGTTAAAGCATGGAGGAAAGTGGTAAGAAATTGCTTCAGATCACACCACAGAACATCTAGAATCCAATTTTTTCCGGGGCCCTTAAGCGGGCCCCGAACCCCACGCCGTAAGGGCTTCGCGCTTCGCGCTTGCATCAGTTATGATCAAGGTATGTCCCCCCCCCCACTTTTGAGAAGCGATTGACGCCCCTGCTTGACGCCCCCACATGAAATGTTCCAGCCCCCCAGCGCCCCCCCACTGAAAAATTCCTGGCTACGCCACTGTGTAGCAGCGTATCCAGCTTTTTTTTTGGGGGGGGGGGGGCACATCCGTGCTGAACTTAATGTCAACATGTTTTTTTCACCGGACACTTGGCCTCCGTAAAATCAAACGGGGGGGGGGGGGGTACCAAGTTTACAGAAATTGGAGCGCTCTTCGAAACCGGCCATTTTATTCTGGTTCTGTATCTGGTAGAATATGCTGCATGCATAATCTCATCACAATAATGACAGTGCGGGAACACATTGCCCGATCGCAGCATGAAACCCAATGGAGCCAAATTATTCAAACGCCACTTTTGAAGGATTTCCGGTACAAATGCAAGAAACTGTTGATCTTTTATGAAGAATTTGTGTTGGAAACACATTAGCACAGCTGTACCGATATTCGCGGAGTGCCCGGGGCCTATCACGCTTAGCAGCCGGTCTATTCGCGGTCCGTTAATGGTGACTGCGGGCGCGCGGCATGTACCGCGTTCACCGATTGTAAATCTCAACTTTAGGTCCTCATCAGTTTCATTAAAAAGTATTTTAAGAATTAAGGATGTATATTGTGAAAATAAAAAAATAGTTATTTGTTTGGTGTTCTTTAAATGTTATAGGAGGATCTGAGGCTCAACTTTGGGAATCAAAACCGAAACTCAGATAACGAAGCTTAATTTGAACGTGATTTACCCTCTTCTCTTGCGGAAAGGGATTGTTTTATTTTCATGTGTGACCTTTTTATTATTGGTTATTATTACCATTTATGATAATAATTATTATATTGTACCAGAAATCATTTCAAATGGCGTTTGAATAATTGGCTCCATTGAGATTCCCGACACGACCGGGCATGCAATGTGTTCCAGGGGACAAGTCGGTCAGGGGGCGAGTAGGTCAGGGGGCGAGTAGGTCTGGGGGCGAGTCGGCTAGGAGGCGAGGGGGCGAGTCGGCTAGGAGGCGAGTTGACCTGACACCCTTCAGATTGCCGAACACTAATTAGTGCCTATAGCCCGCCAAAGTGACGCCATTTTCCCTGCACTGTTAAAATTGATTCGGCTGCGTATAATGACTGCCTCTTTAAAGCAAAATCAGTGAGTTTTGACATTATGTGTGGTACACTTTGTTTTAAATGATGCACTAGCTGTCATGATTCCCATTATGCAGCTAATAATTTAATCGTAATTTTTGCATCAAAATTTCAAAAATAGTGGATGAAACGGTTGCTTATGTCGGTTTTTTTTTATATGGCTTGACAAAAACATTGTTATTTGTCGGTTATTATGGAAAATTCGTTGAATAAATGAAGTTATCTTTCTTGAAAATAGATCACCTTTTCCCGCATGTATTATAGATTTTTTTGTCTTTAGGTGAATGCGCGGCTGAATCTGTAGCTGACTACGCAGCCAGAAATCCGGCCAAATCCGCGGCTAAGTTGAGCCAGGTATTGTCTGGTATCTGCCGCAAAATTTGTGCACTGTTTCACGATCGTTGTGAAGTTATCCAGACTTCAATCAACAACCCTATGGAAACTGAGTAAATACTGGGTTGCACCTGTACAATAAACTCAAGTAAAATCTGCTGAAAATTTGATTAATTGATTGACAGATCCCTGTAAGTTAGTGCATTTTGTTGTTTGAAGTTCGAACATATAAACTTCATCTTGTGTTTTGATGTTGGAATCATTCTGTTGTAGAATTTGGTTGGAAAAGAATGTTTCATTTTGACGCCTAATCATTTTTATTTTAATGACATTTGATTTATTATTACTTTAGCCTAGGGCCTAATTTATATTAATTCGAACATTTTATTTGTTCACTGAAGCTTGAAGTTGAACATGAAAAGAGTAGGCCTATAACTTTACATGAAGGCAAGGGTGAAAACATAAGCTGCACAAAATTTGAAATTATTTTAAGACATTTAATTATGATTTTTGGAAGATTGCATTAGTCATGTTACTTAGTCTTACTAGAAACAAAAAATGTTCACACATAACTTGCCTGTAATACAAATATGCAACTTTTTTCCCAGCATCGTTTGTCATACATTGCATAATTCCGTACACATTATAGGCCCCCTCATTGTTTTTGGCCAAATTAAGAGTTTGGCTGGATGCCTATAAGTGATTTCTGTACTGATTAGTCATTATTTGACCAAGAGGTGCTCAGTAGTTTTTGAGTCGTACTGAAAAGTATAGGGGGACTTTCATTTTTGGTTGAGTGTTTTATGGTGAGAAAACGTGGCATCAGGATGCAACAGTCTTTCAGAAAAAGTTTCTCCTAAAGTAAAAACTGGTAGAGAAACAAATCTTTCAAAACAATATCTGTTGTAGTTAAAAACTTTCCTGTAATTATTACAAAATTAAAAATCATTACCCTTGAATCACAATATCTTGACCTATTTATGCAGTTGCATGTATGTCAAGAGTATGTTTTTTTTTATATCGTTTCGGTTTGCGGTAACACCATGTGGTAATAACTACTGCTTAGCAGATATTTAGTTCTAAAAAGAACTTGTCCTGCTTATTATCAACTTTCGCTATGTAGTTTTTGACTTTTAGTATTTTTTTACTTTTCAAACTGAACACCTTTTTTTCCTGGTCTCTTTTGCAGAGGAAGCTGAAACATTGTTCAACATGCCAGACCCTTCCTTTTGAGCTCAAAATTTTGGGGTGTACTAATGCCCATTTCTACGCACAACGCGATGAGCAATGACGACCAGGTCCAGCTCATTCGGCCCGCAGAGAAGCCATCGCGTCGCCCCCGATCCGTCATCCAACGAAACCCTCAACATCATTGAAGTACGCAAGGGAAGATGGCTGCATGTCCAACACATTCTGCCCGAACAGAGAAAGCAAACCAAGCGACAATTTGTCGCAGCCCCAGAACTCGAAGAACTTGGCGAGACTGCGGAGGAATGCAGAGAGCATGATGGGATACGCGGACCTGAGAACGATGTAAACTGTCTGGCATCCAAGCCGTGCAATGTGGATTTCAACGCCTCAACCCGGCAACAGACTACAGCGACCACTAGGCAAATTTCTCTGCGCGACCGCAACCTTGAGAAGCTTGCTAGGGACAGCGATGGTAGCATCCTAAGCAATCAATCCTATCCGGACAGTGCAAGCCAGAGCTCACTCCATTCAATCATGGAGGACGGCAACACAGCGTTCTTCTTCATCCACGGTGTCGGAGGCTGCTCAGACCTGTGGCGTCACCAGATTATGTACTTTGTCAGTCAGGGTTACGAGGTCATCGCCCCTGACCTCCTAGGTCACGGTTTCAGCCGGGCACCCCATCAGTCCAAGGCCTATTCCTTTGGCGAGCACGCTGATGACATAATGACCGTATTTGACCGCTACTGCAAAAAGAGGAATGTCCTTGTTGGCCATTCTTACGGGTGAGTCTTGTTTCCATGAAGTTGTGATCCAGTATCTTGTAAAGTATCGACACGTACACAAAATGCAAAGCATGTAATTTTTAGATACTGCATACTTTGTCATGCAAAGTTACAGGTGTTGGGCAGAATTATGTGGACTGGCAATGCAGTCACTGTGTGGACCTGCGTACAAAAGATGTCCCCACAGTGCAGGTAGTTAGGACGTTGTGTGGACTTGCCCACGTCCACACAAGGTTTCCCTATCTCTGAAAAACAGTTTTCGAGGCATTTTGGGGTTAGGGTTGTCCATCGCAAAATGAAGAGGAACACACAAGGAAATCATGATCAAAAATATGGGTTAAAAGATTGTTCACAGTGGGAGTATAATGAGTTTTTTCTTTGTTTTTCTTAATTATGCGAAAACAAAGGAATGTCCACATGCCGTGACCTCGTGGTCTGGAGCATTGAATTCACGGTCTGCGGGTAATTCTGCAGGTTGTGGGTTCGAGTCCAGCCTGGGGTTGTGGTACGTGTGCCCTTGGGCAAGGCACTTTGTCACTCATTGCTTCTCCCCACCCAGGAGTAAATGGGCACCTGTGAGGGTAGAGATGGTTATTGTAATTGATTTTAGCTGCTTTGCGCCGAATTGGCAGCATGGAGCTGTATATTCCCCAGGGAGCTGAGATGGTTTTGAGATATTAGATTGGCCCAATGATCAGGGGTAATAATAATGTAAGCGCTTTGATCTTAGTTAAAAGTGCTGTGTAAGAACCTGGTATTATTGGGTATGTAAATGTGTGAGTTTGTCTTACAGTCACTATGTGGACATGTGAACAAAAGGTGTCCACATAATGCAGGTTGTGTTGACCTTATGTGGACTAAGCTGTGTTCACATAACGTTTCGCCCTCTCGGGAAAACAGGTTTAGAGGCATTTTCGGGTTAGGGTTATTTGTCGCAGAATGAAGAGAAACATTCAAGAAAATCCAAAAAAAAGGGGAAAAAAGGGGGGGGGGGGGTTGAAAGAGTTTTCACAGTTTGAGTACAGTTATTTTTTGTACCGAGTTTTCTTAACTACACGGAAACAAAGGAATGTCCACCTAGCGTATACATGTAAAACAAACGTGTGTACGGTCAAATTCACATTTCAGTTTTTTAGCTTTCATTGTCTAGTTTTCTGTTTTCATTACAACTTATTGATCTCCCTGATATCTTTTTCCCTGTTCTGATTTCACAAGCACAGAATTTTGTTTATTTGTCTTTGTTTTTTTAGGGCCTGTTTTTGTGCCAAGATTGCCCGTGAGCGTGCCAGGAAGGTCGCCAAGGTGGTCCTTATCAGCGGTGGTGGGCCCGTCCCACTCCAACCGGAACCCTGTCAGCTGTTCTGCCTGCCCAGCTGTGTGCTGGCTTGCATCAAGCCAATCATAACCAGTTGCTTTGTCAGGTAAAGACGGATGGAAGATTCTGTACTATATTTGAAACTCCATTAGACAAGTGCACTGTTTTATGATGCCAGACCCAACCTAGGTTTTAGACAACAAAAAAGAAAGTACCTAGTGGCTTTACTAACGGTAGTGTATATCATTTGCAGCTGTCCAAAAGGTAACTGACAAATTATTGTTGAAAAGTAAATTTTTAATACTTAAAGTTTCAGGGTTCATTCACAGAAATGTTGATTTCAATGAATAAAATGGGGGAAAAAGCACAAAATTTACCACAGAGCCTGCTATTTCCAAGCCGTTTTTTTTCGGTTGTGTAATTCGAATTCCAAGGAAGTAATTATTATGCAAATGTGTCATATCTCCAGAATGGGAGGGGCTATGGAGCTCTATTATGAATGAAAGCTTACGTTGTGGGCTTTCCACCCATGTATATGACCCAATTTTTTTGTTGCATAATACCCTTTTTGTGGAGAGTGGGTCACATAGTACAAAAAAATACTGGAGAATAAATTGATATAAGCAACTAATGTAAAGTAAAATACCAGCAAGGGGGGGGGGGGAGCAAAGACGAAAAAATAACTCAAAAATGAGTTACCTTTGGTGATGTAGATTAAGTTAAAGGAAACATTCACATGCAGTGAAAATTCAGCTCATGTTGCAACAATACATATACAAGATCTTAATACTTGTTTTCAGTGACAAGAAAGTGGTAGTTTTTCAGATATTAGCAAATCCTTTTATCAATACATTTAAGAGGACGCTATTTTGCTTTTGTCACACAAGGTACTCCTTTTCAAAAGAATATGTGAACAGTACAAAAAATAGTCCAAATTACCCTCCAAAAAGTTTGGAAGAAACAGTGGCCACTACTTTTGTCCAAACAAGCTGTTTAACATGATAAACAAGTAAAAAGGGAACTTTCTCCAAGAAAATGAAAACAGTGTGATATATTTGTACACAAAGCTATGGAGACACTACTGGTCTGCCTTGATAGACATCACGCTTTTGCTCATGAATATGGAAATTGACATTAGCATAAAACTAAAATGTTGAAATATCTCCCTTTTACTGCTACAAAGGAGGTGGAAAGTCATAGTAACATGGCAAGAAAGCTGTTTTAAATGTATTTAAAGGGAAAATACAACATTTCCAAACATCGAAAAATAAAACTACCAAGTTGTTACGAAATACCTACTAGGATGTTGGTAAATGACATGCTTAAGCATCCTGTAAAATTATGGCACCTGGTGTGAAGCCATTTTCAAGAAAATGGTATATTTGTATACATTTCCAACGCTGGTCGGCCGATCACCGTTGGAAAAACCTAACTATTTTTCAATTACTGCTCCAAATTTACAATTTATTTTAGTCTAAATTTAGTTTTGCTAGCTATTGGTTCCATGTTCATGAACGGGTGCGGGCCAGCTAGACTGGTTCCCTTACCTTACAATTTTCCGGTATTTTTGATCCATTTCATCTTTAGTGGAGTCAGGGAACCAGACTACTTGAATATTTTAGTTTTTCTTGGTTTTTCCAGCATTTTCGAACACAAAACGTCAAACATGTCAGTGCAACAATATTTGATCTATTATACTAACCCCCCAAATAGTTCATTTCTGAAAATTACAGCAAAAGCCAATGATGTACATTCCCTTTAAGTCATAAATTTTGTTTCTGTAGCCAAGCCTTCCACAAAGACAGCAAGCATTCGAAAGAGGAGAAGAACCACTCCTTTGACGTTCCGGCCTACGTGCTACGTGCGACCATGCAGGGTCAGAACTGGCATGAGGGTAACGAGGAGTACCACGCAAGCCTCCGTGCTAGCGTGCTGCTCATCTACGGGATGCAAGACGACTTGGTGCTCCTCGACGACGAGATATGGATGAACGAAGTGAGTGAAGTCAAGATGATTATCGATAGAATTCCTGTCAGGGCGATGTTCATTTCAGTAGTGGGTGTTGCTCTCTACCACTGCAGCTTTATGTCGCTTAACAATTAACCCTAAAGCCCGGTTCATACTTCACGCGAATGCAAATGCGAAGCGAATTTGATGTCATAAAAGCATTTGCTGCGAAATTCGCCGGAGTTGAAATATGTTCAACTTTTACGAATTCACAGTGCGAATACTTGCCACGACACCACAAATTTGCGTTCGCTTTCGCGCCGAGTATGAACCGGGCTTAACCTTCCCAAATCCTCTTTGCAAAATGGAGGATTTGGCAAGATTAAGGTAGCATGTCAAAAGTGTGTGCTTCCCAGCCAAGAGTAATGGAATGCTCCATGGACCACCGCAGGAGGCTAGTTTTACTACACTACATTTTAAAACAGTCCATAGTTATTTTGTAAAGCCTCAACCACAATTTCTGCTGTATTTTGAGAGATCACTGATTACTTTAAACAACATCCAATCAAACTGTTCTTCTATTTCAGTCTAAATTAGTTGAAATTTTACTTACTCTTTTCTAAACTACCCCTTCATGAAATGTTTGAAGCCACTCGGTAGCTCGTGGGAACAATCGTATGCATTTCCAATCAAGATACAGAATCTGTGGGTGAGGTTTTAAAATATTCAATGTTTGTAATTTTGTGGTTTTTTTCATCTCGTTATAGACTATTTATGCATCTCAGCTTGAGACCCTTGAAAACGCAAGCCACATGGTCATGATCGAACAGCCAGACAAAGTCAATCAACTCATCCACAGTTTCGTGCTGAAGGACACCATGGTGCACCGGCGGGGCGCCCCCAAGAGGTCAATGTCCTGCAGGTCAACCAAACTAGGCTCCCACGGGAAGACCATGCCGCATGTCACCATCACGTGACATCTGGTAAATCATGTGACTATCACATGGTTAACAAAATCATCTTGTTACACAGGGTGAGTAAAAAACCCCGAAACCCCAAATGCCGAGACCATTGTTTTAGTGAATTTCTGCATGTCGCACTTTCAAAATCTAGGATATGAAAACCCAATTCATAAGCTTTCTTTTAGTACAAGAATCATTCAAATCACTCATGTACTTTTCAAGTTACGGAATTATAAACATAACCACAGTTTTTAAGTTCTGTCCGGGGATCACAAGAAGGTAAGTGCTCTTTCAGCAAAACAAAAACAAATCACAAAAGGATGTGTGTGAATTGTTTTCATTTTGCTGAAAGAACGCACACCTTTTTTGTGATCCGTGGACAGAACTTTAAAACGGTGGTTGTGTTTAAAATTGTATGACTTGAAAAGTACATGAGTGATTTGAATGATTCTTGTACTAAAAGAAAAGCTTATGAATTGGGCTTTCATATCCTAGATTTTGAAAGTGCTACATGCAGAACTTCACTAAAACAATAGTCCCAACATTTGGGTTTCGCTTTTTTTGACTCACCCTGTATGTATGAAAACATGTTGCAAACTGGGTTTGAATCCGTCAGGTAGTTATCGGTCGTCACACTGGATATTCAAAGTGTTCTACTTTTCAGTGGTTGGAACTTGTCAGAGTTGGGCACTTAAATGGTTGTGGAAGTGTCCCCCATTGAAGGCTGGCTAGAGAGTTTCAGGCGGCCGAACCAATTCAGGTTCAATTTGTTATACAGTGCCTCAGTGCAATACTGTGCCTCACCCAATGTACGTACATAGCGATTGGACGGTGACCAAGTGTCACATAATCATGATTGTTGTGATGTTTCGGTTGTGGGTTATTATTGTAAAAACAAGGATTCCTCTAAAACAACAGTGGCCCTGTAGCTTGCAAACTTGGAGAAACATGGAAGGAGAAAGAGAGCTACAGTTTTTTAGTTTTTGTTGGTTTGCTGATCCAACTCTTTTGTACATGTATTTTAATATGCATTGTTCGTAAAAATTAACTCTCAGGGAGTCTGCGTCGAGGTTATATACATGTATGGCTCTGTGTATTACTATGACCTTGGTGGCAAATACAGTGCGAGGAAAAAAAAACGAAACCCAAATGACGGGACCATTGTTTTAGGGAAGTTCTGAATGTAGCACTTTCAAAATCTAGGATATGAAAGCCCAATTCATGAGCTTTCTTTTAGTACAAGAATCATTCAAATCACTCATGTATATTTGAAGTTACGGAGTTTTAAACACAACTACCGTTTTAAAGTTCTGTCCACGAATCAAAAAAAAAGGTGTGCGTTCTTTCAGCAAAGGGAAAACAATTCACACACTGAATGAACACTTGCTGAAAGAACACTGAACTTTTTGTGATCTGTGGACAGAACCTTAAAACGGCGGTTGTGTTTAAAACTCTGTGACTTAAAAAGTACATGAGTGATTTGAATGATTCCGGTACTAGAAGAAAGCTTTTGAATTGAGCTTTCATGTCCTAGATTTTGCTAGTGCTACATGCAGAACTTCACTTAAACAATGGTCCCGACATTTGGGTTTTGTTTTTTTGACTCACCCTGTTTATCAAATATGTCTTTTAATCAAGCGTACACAAGGCCTGTTTGCTCACACTTGTTTGTGCGACAAGTGCCTTATAATTCTTAGTTAGGGATTACGTGTAGGTGCAATACTATTAATGTACAGTGATGGAATTTGTACATCCTTAAGGTGCCCTCAGGTCGACCTTGCGATGACACAGAAGAGTCGGCGACTGACTTTTCAGTATCAAGCTGCGCCTGAGCTACGACCGTCGGGAACAAACTAGTCGCCGAGTTTGTGCGACCTGAGTGTAACTGTGATGATATTAAGACGATCATCATCAGTCCGCGCTAAAGAAAAAGCAACAGTCGGTAGAAAAATTTCAACTTCTGCGATGTGTTTCTGACGAGAGGAATCAATCGCAGTCATTTTGCCAATCAGCGTTCGACGAAAATGGCTGAATAAACAGCTGGTGTGGCTGTTGAATGTCGTTTGATTATAATAAATACGCTTTGGCTATTGTTAAAGAAGTCACATGGCTGTCTATGCCTTGGAATCGTTGTCACGTCATGGGTGACATGAGCATGGTTGCGATTATTTTGTTTCGAGAAGCCGCTTGTCGAAACGAAAATCATAGGATTTTTCTGTTCTGAGACCTGAGCATTACTTTGCTGCTTGATGCTCACGGTTCCATTGTGGCGCAAGCAAATCGCGGGTTGACCTGAGGCCGGCTTTAGGCATTTTCACACACTCGTCTCCCCTACCGTGGTGAAATCAACATGGGTTCACCGTAAGCAGGACTACCCGTGTTCGATAGGACCCCATTCTGAACCCGGTCCTCGTTCTGAACCGGGTCCAATCGAACACGGGTCGGCTGTAGATTTTAAATTTCCTACCCAGATAGAGCCTCTCAACCCTTGTCCCCTCCACCAGGGTTGGATTTTACCCATGTAAAGCACCGGACCCATGTAGAAGCCACGTTGGATTCTTGCTACCCGGAAAAATCCATGTTGGACCCGGGTCCAATGTGGACATTGTAGACAGTGTGACAGGCCCTATGGCGAAGTCTTTTTGTTTCACCAATGTAAATTTATAAAACTCTGTATACTCATTGCTCTCGGAGAGCTTTCAAATTTACTAGTCTGCTCGGCAGGTTCAGCTGTTGAATGGTTACGATGTCGCCGCTAGTACGCAGAATGTCTTGGGTTCGAGTCCCACCCCTGCAGACTTGTGAATTTGTTTTTGCAAGTGCTCAGACAGCATGGGAATATACAACATTTGCACACATGAAAAAAACAAAACTACCAAATTATTATGAAATACCTTACTGGACTGTTATGGATGACAGTGTAAAGCATCCTGTAAAATCTTGGCATCTGTGCTGACATTTTCAAGAAAAGTGGTAGTTTTATATCAATTTCCAACGCTGGTAAAAAAACTGGCCTTTTTTCAGATACTGCTCCCAATTTATCATATTTAGTTAGTCTGCATTTTCTTTGCAATCGATTACACACCTGTGAATGGGTACAACCCAGCTAGACTTGTTCCCCAACCTTACAATTCACCGACGTCTATAAATTGCTCCGTTTCATCTTAAGTGGGGTCAGGGAACCAGACTACAAGTACATTATTGTTTTTCCTGGTTTTGCCAGCATCTACGAACCCAAAACGTCAAACAAGTCAGTTTAACAATATTTGCTATAAAATACTACCCCCCCCCACATCCATCTATTTCTGAAAATTACAGCAAAAGTAAATCTTGTATATTCCCTTTAAGGATACAGTGAAAATTGAATTATGCCTGTGAAGGGCCAACAAAAAACCACCAATTGATGTAGATGCTTTCCTGTCATCAACAGGTTTTTTTTATTTGTGGGTTTTTGTGTGAATCATTGTTATTAAAGGGAAAATACATCATTTGCAAACATCAAAAAATAAAACTACCAAATCATTTTGAAATACCTTGCTGGACTGTTAGTGAATGACAGTGTAAAGCATCCTGTAAAATCATGGCACCTGGTATACTGCCATTTTCAAGAAAAGTGGTATTTTTGTATCAATTTCCAACGCTGATCGGCCGATCAGCGTTGGAAATAACTGGCTTTTTTTCAAATACTGGCCCCAATTGACCATCGCACTTGTTTGCAATCGATTACAAACCTATGAACGGGTACGAGCCAGCTAGACTGGTTCCCTGACCTTACAATTCCCCAATGTATGTAAACTGCTCTGTTTCTTCTTATATGGAGTCAGGGAACCAGACTACAGGAAAATGATCGTTTTTCTTGGTTTTTATAGCTTTTTCGAACCCAAAACCTCAAAAAAGTCAGTGTAACTATATTTGCTATATATTTCCAACCCCCCAATTCCATCCATTTCTGAAAATTACAGCAAAAGCAAATGATGTATATTCCCTTTAAAAAAAGAAAGAGTTATATATTTTAAAATTTACATTTGCACAAAACTATAAGTAGTGGGCAGCTGTGTTAGTCAGGCAGAAACACATGGGAAAAGTAAGGTAGCACTTAAAATGACTTCCAAGAATAGAAGTTTACATAAGCTTCGTAGCTACAACTACTTGATCAGATGCAATGAAGAGGGGCATCATGTATAAAGCTTGTATGATGATGCCCGTCTTCATTGCATCTGATGAAATAGTTGTAGCCACGAAAACTTATGCAAATGTTTTATTCTTATTAGTCATTTTAAGTGCTATCTTAATTGTCCATTTATTTGCACAAAAGTCTTTCAAAATTTTAACTTTTTGTAAACCTCTAAATAGTTTATTTTTCCAAATCCTACCTTTGTAACATGTTAGATAACTTTTGTCCTTTTATAGCATCACTTGTACTGCACCTTGTTTTCACACACTGCGAACTTTCAACCATTCTGATTTCAACCTTTAATTAAATAAAATCATGCGTCTCTCATCAAGGTTATGAACGATTAATTGAACCTGTAACATATTGTATGATTGTAGCACAAAAGTTAATCAAACGTTTGCAAAAGAAATATTCCAAAACTCAATATTAGAAATTAATTTGAATTTTTGTTTTCCGGATGTTAGTTTTTCTTTGTTCCTAATAAAAATGCATTGCGGTTTACTAGCTCAGGCTGCAAAACCCATAGTTGGGCAGATAGGGAATATCTGGGGGAATTGTGCCTTTGATGATACAAGTATAGCATTTGACACCTAACGTGGCAGTTCATGTGAATTACCTTTGCCTTATTTGTGTCGTACATTTTTCCCTCTTTTTGATGAACACTCAACATTTTGTAACATGTATTTTTGTAAATAAATCTTTTTTTCAGGGACGTGTGTGTGGAAAATATTTGAAACATTTCCAGCGAACAGTTTTGCAACTATTAATTGTATGAATGTGATAATTAATAGAGTGTTTTTTTTTTCAATCTGAAATCATGGTAAATTCATAGAGTTGTAGTAAATGTAAAAAGAAATTCAGTCCTGATGAGGAGCGTTTTTTAGTGGTAAGTATATGAAATAGAATTTGAATACAGTTTTAACACAGACTATTTGAAGAAAGTTATTTTGTGTGGATGTAAAATTTTCGATTCCAAATTTTAAAACTTATCAAACGATGTCTGTAACAGCACAGGAATATTTAGCAGAAGTAACTAGCACATTAATATACAGCCAGTGTAATTGTCACATTTTGTCTGCCCTACATTCACCGCACAATTTCACCTTTATACTAATTTTTTTTTCATCTCCTATATTTTACAGGTTATTTATCTTTCTGTGCATTTCAAATAAATGAGTCCATTATTCAGGCAGGTACTGAGAATTTCATTCATTTGGCACGATCAGTAACATTAAATCCCCCCAAATTTTGCAATTTCTGCCACTTAGGCCAAAAAAAAAGTCTCCGGTTTCTGGTATGCGCGCGCGTCGCCGTAGCCATGCGCATCGGCAAAATGAAAACGTTTTTTTTTCAATGAAAGATGATGTCTCAAAACCACCAAACTCACTGGTTTGACTGGAATCCTGCTGCTGCACAATTTTAACGTGTTTTTAGATTGGGTTATGGTCGAGAATAAGCTTTATGTGGCCTCTCTGGACTCCCATATATTTACACTTAGTTTAGTCGGGCACCATTTGCAGTCATCAGCCGACATTTGAAGCAAAAAAATCAGGTGAAAAAAAAAAAAAAAGCCGCGTCGCCGCACCACTTTTTGGGCAAGCTCCATACCAGAAACCGGAGACTTATTTTTTTTTGGCCTGAAGTACTGATCCTGTTTACAAAGTCAGTTTTGTAGTGCATGTTCTTGTAACAGGATTTTGTATTCATAATATTTTTTAATGTAAATCATAAAATAATTTTACCACAGGATACAAGTATTCTACTTTGACATGAATATTTTTCCATGTACATGTATATTTTACAAGAAGAGAGTATTTTGAGGTCTTTAATTGTGTTATATTCAACATTAAAGTTTTGGTATGAAAAAAAAAGGTCTTGAATTTGAAATAAAATATGCAACAAGGTTATTTGAAAGTAATCTCTGTATTTCATTGTTTGTTTTCTGGGATTGGTCAATGATATTAGGCCAAGTAAAAAAAAAAATGTTTAGCGTCCTGCCTTTTGAAAAAAGGAAGGCGGCCCTTTTTTTCTTCAAAAATGGCCACCCGACCTTTCAAAACGACCGGCCGTGCTATTTTTCAAGATGGCCGCCAGCTTTTTGGTAAATGGCTGCCACTTGGACTCAGGAAATGACATTCCAGCTTTATATGGGCTAGGTGCAACAGACAAAGAGATGTCACTGTTTAAAAGTTACCATTTTTGGTTGTTTTTTTTTATAAAAAAAAAAGGAGGTGGCCTCCAAAAAGGAAGCGGGTGGGGCTAAACATTTTTTTTTATGTTGCTGTGATGTCATTTCAGGAAGACTGCTAACTTTGGGGGGGGGGGGGTCAAAATTGTTCAAATTGTGAACCCAACATTTGCTCATTGTAAACATTTGTGAGAAAGGATTGCTCATTGGCTTACTGCCATGTACTTAAAAAAGAAAAGAAGATTTATGACAGCAATACATACACAATTCTAGCAACTTTGAAATAGCTGTAACGTTGATGTTTCTGCCCAGAATGACATCACAGTTTTGCTCATGAATATGTAAATTTGTACTAGCATAAAAATAAAAAAGGCACCACAATACCCTTGAAAATGGCAAACAAAATTTTAAAATAGATTTAAATGGGTCACAAACGTGCATTTCCAAGGATTGCTTTAAAACAAATTTGATTAATTGCATGGGCCCTAATTAACAATTCTGTAATGGTGGCGATTATGTTGACCCAGTATCACAACTTTACAGTGATGACAAACATGGTGATGCAAAATGAAATTGTCGTGAGTACAATTTCGTTAATTATGACTTAGACAGTGAATGAAGAATGAATAATCAGAGGATTTTTCATATTGAAAACTTTTAAAAACTGACTTCACGTACAACATTTGAAATCTTTATTTAGGTTTGAATATCTCTATTTTTTTTTTATTTTTGAAATGAAGCACATGACGCAATGACGTACACAGAACGTACCTACGGCCCAAAAGCATTTGTTCTGCCCCCCCCCTCCCTTTTTACCCCGCCCCCGCTCCGCTGCTTTCCTCACTGGAGTAATGTGGTGGGAGTACCACACCCACACACACGCACATCAACAACACGTACGGAGAGGCTTGGCGCGGTCAAAAAATGCAGCTAAAATGTTGAGATTTTCCACGGAATGTTACGAATTGTTGTGCATTAAGAACTAGTCTTCTGCAGGGAGAATCCTTGTCATCAATTTCTGTGTGATATGTAAATAAGAAAGCGTTGGAAATAGAGACATTTTAGTCCTCAACAAGTTATGTGTGTTCATTACGGACGAATCTAGTGTACGAGAATTCAGTGCAGTGCAGTTGAGTTGGCACGTCAAATTACCGTGCGTGTGTGACTGTGCAATCTCTATAAAACAATACGTGACTCAGTTATTTGGTGCAGTTGTTTCAACCTGTATAAATCATGGTAAGTTTGACTGTAAAGATGGGAAGTGGTTGTGGAAAGAATGTACAATATTCCTGACACGTATGACGCCACTTCAGCGGTTGTGTACAAACTATGGAGAGTCAAGAACGTGTATTTTTCTAACAGTAACAAAATTGGAAATGTTTCTCAGTCCCAAAAAGAATGACTGACCTTATTCAGTTTTTGAGATGATAATAATATGATTATGAAGAAACAAGACTTGTGTTTGTGGACAAACACAGGGCTGTTTCGGCAACTTTTTTGTGACATCATCCGGGAACAATGTGTAGTTCTGGACTGTCTGTAGTCTATAGTGTTTTAATTAAATTAAAATTATTGGGAAATGGTGGCGTATTGTTGATGTACCCTAACATGGCGCGGCCCCCGACATGGCGCACTTTGATTTTTCGCCTGTAGCACCTACCTAGAGCAACAGTTTTAACTGAAATTTCACAGAAAGTAACATTTCATCAACTCCTGTTCATAAATTGAGAGTTTATTTACCCGTAACAAAGTTACAAGAAAAATTTATTTTGGCGTGATTTTCCGTTTTTATTTTCAAGTGCAAAGTGAACCCATTGAAAATGCCCCAAAAATAAGAAAACAATTTTTTGACAAACATCTGGCGCTGGGTCTGTAAGTAGAAATAATAATTATTTATCAGAATTTATCAAGTTTTAATACAAAAATTGTTAATGTTAATTTGGAATTGTCCAAGATTTATTCAAGTGCGCCACGTTAGGAAACACTCCGCCAATTTGTGCCCAATTTCCGGACGCCACCGTTTTTGAATTTCAGATTTTACACATGTAAATTTTATGAAACCGAAATTGTTCACAGAGGTTAAATAGCAAGCAATAGATAAGGTCAAAGTACTAGTATTTTACTGCATGAATTTGAGGTTTGTCAACAAAGAGGTTTGGCAACACTACACGAGGAAAGTCCGGTAAGCTTCGAAGTGCCCCATGTTAGGGAACACGACTATATTGTCATAGGGCTTTGAATTCCAATGTGATGTTACGTGACACGCATGATAACGTTATCATGAATCACTTCAATTTTCATCTATAACACATCCCGGTCTAGGCAAATACCTACCAACTTTCAACCCAATCGAACCTATAGTTCTGTAGATAAATGCCTTCCAAGTTCCAAATATGCACTTGATGCCAGTCTTGTTACACCAACTAACAATCACCATACGTCTGTTATACATTGCCCGAGGGCACCTACGGTAGTCTCACTAACTGGGGCGCTAGAACTCCTATTTTGACATTTGGGATATTATTGGTCTGTCGTACTAGCGTCCCTCTAAGGAAGTATTCTCAATGTTACAGTTTCAAAGTTCACCACAAAAATCAGGCAAAATACTTGACAAAAATACCTTTGAAAGCACCTACTGGCTTTTCCACATGTCAAAGACAAAGTAATGGGGCTTATTCACGATTATTTTTTGGGTTGCAAATCCGTGAAATGTAACCACTATAGCACAGACATCATACAGCAATCATTCAATAATGTTGTGGCTGTTTTTTAGCAACGCATTGTCTATGCACATAGCGCAGGGGACACAGTGTACTGAGTAAAAAAACTAACTCCGCGTGTAGATCGGGGGATGCACCAACGACTGTTTCATGACAAGGCAATTGCAACATTCAGAATCCTTCTGTAGTGGGACGATGGACAGACCAACTTCCCAAATGTCAAAAAAGGAGTTCTAGCGCCCCAGTTAGTGGGACTAGAGGGACCAGACTAGTAAATACGTTGGAATGCTAGGCTTTCATCACGCCCAATGTGTCTTACACTAGCAAAGGGTAAACCCAGTGTTCAATCCAGTGCCCAGTTATTTTCTTCTAATCTAAATTTTCAGTGGTTCCTCAGTACATGTGTACATACAATTGGTCACACAAAAAATGAGTGCATGTATGCATATACATTTATATTTGTACAAGTACATGTAGTTAAAACCAGTGACTTGTAGTAACCTATTATGCAAAATGATGTATACAATGTTTTATGTTAGTGAAACAGCAGTCGCTTTTTATTTCTTTGTAGAGTGTGAGTGAGATGCTGCGAGGCTTACCGAGCCACAATGAAAACAACTTCAGTCGCTTCCACAGTGAAGGCGGTCGTAGTACGGTAAGTTTCAACTTCACTAGTTGCTGTGGATGTCCGGTGTATTATTCAAGTAATTAACCTACTTGCTACCCTCAAAGATCTTAAAAATTATCTAGGGATTTTGGAGGTGTTCGCTGGTTAGAGAAAGTAAGAGCCCATTCACTATTCCTTTGCATGGGGCTTTAAAGTTAAAGATATAGTCCATCATTTGTAATTTGTGCATTTTGTTCGTTTGAAGCAACAAAAGTGCTCAAAATCTAATGAAGGATACTGAACAACTAACTTGATGAAGTTTCAGCTCAGCTTCAGCTGTATATTGCGAGAAAAACGGCATTCTAGGATCTCAATTTCAAATCAAAAGTTGCTGAGTCATGTTTTGAATTGCAGTCATACGCGATGTCGCGCACTGATCCGACGAATTATAGCAACCGCGCGCGCCTGTGTGTCGTGCCAATGCTTGTGCGCGCTGCACCGAATAACAAAACGAACTTCTAATTTAAATTTCCTACGGTTGTCTTAAGACGCACCGTTGGAAAGGCCTTCTTTCGTTGATTACTTCAACGTGATAGCTTGCCAGAAAGATTAATTTCACAGGGAGTTTAGTCCACTTACTATCTTTCAACCAAGTATGTTTTTCAACAATAATACGCCAGTTACTTTTTCGGATGGCTGCAAATGATGGACTAGATAAAGATTTACAGTAGCACCACGTGACTTGTGAGTCGTAAGGTTTTAAAAACAACCAGAGGAAACTCAACATTTTAGACACATGTCATGTACTGTGCCCGTCATCAGGAGACTGAGGGATTCCAACGGAGTAGGGGTGTTTTGCAGGGTGACTGGAAGCAGTAAAACACGTGAAGGATGCAACTGGAGTCCTATCTGGAGTTGGGGGATGATTGATGATCAGTAAGGCGTGTCAGTGTGGAGTAGTCTATGCAGGAGCTTGTGATGCTGGACGATCAGTGAGGTTTGTCAGCGTGGAGGAAGGGAGCGAAGGAGAAGGTTGCCTCTGAGGGTATAGGGGACCCATAGGCTGACTAGGGTGGGGAACTTAGCTGTCCTTGGGTAGACCCATTGGACTTTGTGGTTAGGATTAGGCCCCAGATGCGATGATGGAGGAACTGATGTCTTGGGGTACGGTGTTGTGCTTGAAGATTTGATTGCCTCTCTGATGCGGCAGGGGAACCAGTGCTCAATGCTGGTGATGAGCTCGGCCTTTTGATCTTTAGTGATCTTCAGTGTTGGAGTGTTTAACTATAGAGGACTTGTCAAAATCTCCTCGTCAGCCATGGGCTTTGTGTACATGTACATGTATATATTGAGTCTGGTACGGAGGTCCCTGCCAGTCTCACCGATGTACACTTTGCCACATGGGCAGGGGATTCTGTGTACTCCTGGCCTCTGCGATTGGGATCTTGTTGGTCCTTTGCAGTAGGTTCTGGATCTTCAGGGGCGCTGTGTGGAAAACATGGATGCCGTGCTGTTGTGGAGAATACGCTGAATGTGGTGGGAAACTGCCTAAGGGTGGGAGGGTGATGGAACTATTGACCCCAACTAGTTGACCTTGGGTATAGGAGACCATCTGGTGGGGGGGGGGGTGTTCCTTGTCGTAGATGTAGATTCTCTCGCGGATTAGGGCCCGTTGACAGAAGCCTTGATTTTGGGTTGATGAAAGGAATTGCTGTGAAGGTATCTGTTGGTGTGCATTGGTCTCTGGTATCGGTAGATGTTGCCGGTGAGAGTGTCGTCCCGCTTTCTGGAAACCTCGACATCAAGAAATGAAATGTTGCCTTCTCTTTGCTCCATGGTGAATTGGATGCTGCTGTGAATCCTGTTGAGGTGTTCCAAGAAGAGCAGTCCTCAGGGTGCCAGATGATGAAGGTGTCATCGATGTACCGGAGCCAAGCCCATGATCTGTGGTCCGCTGTGGCAATGGCAGTCAGCTCAAACTCTTCCAGGCATGTCCGCCAGAACTGGGGATACAGGAGATCCCATGGAGGTTCCAGCTGACTGTTCAAATTCTTTGAAAGGTCGGCTCCCTCAGTTGGAATGTTGAATGGAATCCCACAGTCTCCTGACAACAGGCAGAGTATATTCTCCGAAATGTTGAGTTCCCCCAGTTCTTTTCAGAACCTCACAAACTCACAAAAGAGATTTGTCACATGGTGCTACCGTAAATCCTTATCTTATTGATATCTTCACCATGCAAACCTTCAAATCTTACAATGTATCTAAATGAGACTTACTCAGAAACCAGCTCACAATAAGCCTGAGACGTAATGACGTCACACTTTGTTTGCATGTCTGCATGTGCGCTTTCCTATGTAGTAGATGGTCCCCACTTTATCTGGCGTCCCAACTTCGCTCCCATAGGAAAGCGCATGTAAACAAAGCCATTACGTCATTACGTCTCAGGTCTATTAAAATTTTGGGGTTAGTTTTTGGAGTTTGCCTTTAAAAGGTGTCTGAGTGTAAATTGCCTCTTGTTACATGTACATGACCCTTAAAATCATGTGCATATCTGGCCTAGCAGAGCTGCATACTCATTAACCCTCCTATGGAAACATGCATTGTCAGCCTGGTTATTACTTGGGTCAATATTGGTCAAGACCCCATTGTTTTGTACACAGTATGCCAGGAGGTGAGATACAAACATTTTGACCATTGGTGACCTCTTAAATAGTAGGAGGGTTAAGTGCTAGTGCAGCTATCCACAAGACACTTGGATGAGCACATTGGGCACTGTATTATAAAGAGTCAGTTTTACAACTAGTGGTGGGTGAAATCAGAGATTTCAAAATCAAGTTATCCTAATTTTTTTCAAACCGAATAACGGTTATCTGATTTTACTGGAATTTCACATCCAGCTCACTTCCATGCCAACAAAAAAAGTGACGAGTGAGGTGCCACATGAAATGCCCTTCTAATGACTGGGCATAGTTTGCAGGATTCAATGACCACTGGCATGACTGGGCCTTTACAAAAACACTTCAGAGCTGTGTAAAAACAAATGGATGGGAACTCTCTGATAAGTCAAACTGGCAGGCTATTCAGAAGACCACTAGCAAGTGAATGCAGTTACAATCAGAGACCATAGAGCAAATTGTGGGATGTTACAGTTGTTTTCTTCAGCCTTTGTCACAAAAAATAAAAGTCTTAATTTTTTTAAGGTTGGTTTCGAATACATACATGTACATGTATGTATCTGGTTTCCAAACTCAAAACCGAATAGTGGAACAAGCCGAATTAAAAAACAAACCGGTGTACAAAAGGTAGCATGAATTTAGGTTTTACATATGTATGAAATACGGACTCCTTGGTGGTATTACGCATGCTCATGCATAGATAATTAGGAGAGGGACCGGTCTCGTGAGAGGGTTTAACCAATAAAAGAGTCTGATTTTCATACAAGTCCGATTTTCATATGACACCGGATTTAAATCCCATCACTAGTTTCAGCTTTAAGTGCCATATTGCGTGAACATTTCTTGAACTCGCCAAAACCCAACACTATGTAGTAACTCAGTGGGCCCTTAACGCTATCCAAAAGCTCCATGATAGAGCTGAGTTTTTCAGAAGTCCTTCCACACTAACAAGAATTTAATATGGCTTCTATGTGTGTTGGGCGCTCTGCATTGATAAAATGCAACCCTAGTTCCGGGTAGAAAATCTCAAATCAACAGCCATTCCGTGTGTAAGTGTGAATGGTATGCCTTGCCTACTGATGTTTGATGGGACCCTTTTCCACTTACGATAGTCTTACCGGTATGTTGAATTTGACATGGGAAGGCAAAATGCTAGTGTGAAAAGCTGTACATTCTATGTACAAAAATACTGGGACAAAGTAAAAGCCTACATGTACATGTACTGTAAATTGTAAACAAATGGATGGGCTCTACTGTATCAAATTTATCAAAATTATGAAGGAAAAAAGTGCTTGATCTGTTGAGAGACTTATAATTAGGCTGGAGTATACATGTAGCATACCGGGTACATGTACGAGCACTCCAGTAGACAGACTTGTATTGAGGTTTTGCATCCCCATGACCTTATCATGTGATGCTGAAAGATCCGCCATTTTTGACGTCTAGCGTGGCACTTGATCGATTGATCGCACAGTACTGTACATGTACATGTACGTTGCATTATGATTAATAGCATTGATCATCTTTGGATTGAATTTTCTTCACAAAGTCATCAGTTAACCCCAAAACAATTGAACAGAAAATGAAAGATGATGAAATAAGCTTTAATTTGATGGGTGTCTCAAACACCTTGGAGAGTTGTGAGTATTTTTCCTGATTTTCGGAAGGGGGCGTATTCATCACTGGGGTCTATGGCAGTTTATATTAGTCTGCAACCGTAGACGTCCAATATGGTGGTGTGTAGGTGACCACTGGTCTGTGACGTCACTGAAATTCCTCAATTCAAGTCCTCTAACCTTGAGTCCCAGTTCCTCGGTGTCAAGTCGGAGTCTGAGCTCCATCATTTGGGCCAAGTCCGAGTATGAGTCATGAGTCACAAATGTCAAGTCCGAGTCACGAGTCACTCAAAAGAATCAAGAAAATACATGACACCAAAAAACTCATCAGTGGATGGAGCATAAAAAGGAAATGCAAACGTAGAGAGCGGTGTAAGGATGTTTTTGCGATGGTTGCGTAAAGTCGCACTGTAAATTTAATATTTTAAAGTGTTTGTTTCAATTCAATAACTATTATTTTGCAAATAAAAAAATAAGTGTTGAATATAAACGAGCATATTTGTCATTTTGCCGTCAAGTCCAAGTCACCAACATCGAGTTCAAGTCTTAAGTCCGAGCGTGAAGTGCCGAGTCCTAGTCCAAGTTATTGTTAACCCCTTGCCGCCGGGTTTTCATGCCTCACTGCACCGTTTTATACGCATCACTGCACAGTCAATGACAGTAGCAGCTTCCCACAGATGGCATACCAAGGCATACCACAGCATACCGAAGCGTGGCTATAGCCGTCAGCCGGTGACAAGGGTTCTATTAGTGATTTGAGTCTGACTCTGAGTCATCAAACTGTGACTCATGCAAGGGCGGATCCAGAACACAATTTTTGGGGGGGCCAAAAAAAAAAAATTGTGTCTCCCAAAAAGTGGGTCAAAAAATTACGGCGTGGGGTTCTCGATGCTCTGTGGTGCGATCTGAGGCAATTTCTGACCACTTTAGCCAATGTTTATTGAGGAAAAGAGTGGTGTACTCATTGCCTGCCTTTATTGTGACGTCACATAAAAAAAAAACAATTGGTTTCGTTTTTTTGGGGGGGGGGGGGCATGGCCCCCTTTGGCCCCCCCCCCCCTGGATCTGCCCTTGGACTCACGTTGGACTTGAGTCATACATCTTTGCCAAAGATCATTGATGCATGGCCTGCTTTCCTGATGGGTCTCCACTGGTAAGAGTGCATGATGTTCTTCCTTAAGAGAAAACTAGAGATTGGTTCAAATTCCTCTTCTTTTTAATTTCTTTCAGAGTAAAAAGCCAGCTGTGTATCTTCCAACGAAAGATTTCCCCTCGGAACAAGGTAGGCATGCATGTTGTGGAGAGTTTTTTCCATTTTTTACGAACAAAGTCGGTTTAACCCTAACCCTCCTCAATCCTCCAAAATCAACAGGGTGGTTTTGGAGGATTTTGGAGGATTGAAGCTGAATGCAAGCTGACGTTTTGGAGGATTTTGGAGGATTAAGGGCAAATAGTAATTTAGTCCCAGCTGATTTTGGAGGATTGAGGCTGAATGTCTGTATAAACAAGAGGAGGATTGAGGATAAATGCATTTGAGAGGCAGGGCTGTTGGAGCATTTTAAAGGATGGAGGCAGTGGGCATAAGCACCATCGATATATCGTTATTACTCGATTATTTTGATGTCGATATCACCGATAGCAATTTTTTGATCATATCGAGATATCGAAATTTTCGATATGGAGGAATGATATAGAAAATGCGTCAGATAATCGTCAAAATAAATCTCCCGTTTGTGCTTTTACTTTGTGTTTGCTGTATAATAAAATAAAACTTGGGGGCAACTTGTGCTCAAAATAAATCATCGCAAAATGCCAAGCAGCCTTGCTTTGTGCTCTGCGTTCGCTGGAATTTGCAGTCTTGATGTAAAACCTCAAAAGAAACCGCCTGTTCTGGACAAACTGTCAGTGCTGAGATTTGTTTTAAAAAGTTAGAGCAATATGCTCCAGAGAAAGCCGTTAAAAAGTGGGACTTAAATTTTTTTTTAGGATTAATGCATCATTTGTGTATCAAATTTAATTGCTTTTTAAGGGGGAAATCATTAACCCTAACCTTCCCAAATCCTCCAAAATGCTCTTCGCAAAATGGAGGATTTTGCAGGATTGAGGCTGTTGTGGCAAAAATGTGTGGCTGATTTTGGAGGATGCACTGTGTCAAGGTCTCAAGCTCAGCCGTGCATATCTTTAGGCCTAGATTATTCTTGAAATCCTCCGCACTGCTCAGGATGTCACTGGCTCTGCCTCAACATATATTGACAGTGAATGCTGGAGGATTTTGCAGGATTGAGGCAGTGGTCACCCCTCCAAGGTCAAAGGACCGCATTTAAGAAATAACGAGGATTTTGTAAGACCAAGGCTACATGCAATTTTTACACGGAGGCAGTTGCAGGATTTTGCAGGATTGTGGTTGCATCCTGGCAAAAATGCCCAGGGAGTTAGGGTTAATTCAGGTCATTTTCCTTTTGACTCACCCAATATAACACCCTTGGTGTAACCTGTTGATAAACTACTCTCTCCTCATAAGATACTCACAAATAGGAGGGCACTCCTTACATTTAAAATGAATTGAATACGGAAGAAATTGTGGACACGGTGATCTCAGTCGATATGCACAATGTACAATACACTGTACAGGAAGGAGACACATCAGAAACAAGAAATGCTTTGAACATTTGTTATCTAACATTCATGTCATGTCATGTCATGTCATGCACGTGTATCATAAATGCTCATCATTGATTTGCACTTTGACTCCCAATCCCCTTCTGTCTCCCCCCCCCCCCCCCAATCCATCCATCCATTCCTTCTTCACTGACATCTGAATTGCATTGCCAGGGATCATCTTGGAAGACATGGATTTATGATATTACAAACTAGACAATTTTTCGAGTACTTTAGGAGCTCAGTGAATAAACCTGAGAAGTGTTTTTTTTTTTTCAAATCTTATTCCTCCATCATCTAGTAATGGTCAAGGAGATTACAGACTAGGAGTTGGGGATCATTTCTCTGAATTGTTAATTAGATCATAGTTAATTGGCACTGACACGGACATTACTGTTTAATGTCATGTCTGTGACATATCGGTACGTCTGATGTGTAAAATACATGTATCCTTAGATGTACATGTACTTACATGAAACATGTGTCCTTACAAATGGTATTCCAGTTGCGTGTTGTGGTAAAATTATCCAGTTGTTACATTTATATGCATAAATTTCAGACTTCAGTATTCATACGAAGACCCACATGCCAGCACATTCAACTACATGTACATACCTGTATTTGTAATGTGCTTGTTGATGTGGTCATCATGCGTGTGCATGGACATGTGTATGCAGTCAGCATGTACATCCATGTACATGTATACATGTATATGTACATTGATTCGGTCGACATTTTATGTTACATCAATGATTTATGGCCCATCTCATTTCAGTGGGTGAAATATTTGAACAGACTACGTGTAAATGTGGCATGGACAGCTTGTGTATATTCCCCAATGTGTATGACATTTAAAGGGAATATACATCATTTGCTTTTGCTGTAATTTTAAGAAATGGATGGAATTGGGGGGTTGGAAATATATAGCAAATATACCAGTAGTTTCACTGACTTTTTTGAGGTTTTGGGTTCGAAAATGCTATAAAAACCAAGAAAAACAATCATTTCCTGTAGTCTGGTTCCCTGACTCCATATAAGAAGAAACAGCAGTTTACATACATTGGGGAATTGTAAGGTCAGGGAACCAGTCTAGCTGGCTTGTACCCGTTCATACAATGTAGGTGTGTAATCAATTGCAAACAAGTGCGGTGGTCAATTGGGGCCAGTATTTGAAAAAAAGCCAGTTTTTTCCAACGCTGATCGGCCGACCAGCGTTGGAAATTGATACAAAAATATTACTTTCCTTTAAAATGACAGTATACCAGGTGCCATGATTTTACAGGATGCTTTACACTGTCATTCACTAACAGTCCAGCAAGGTATTTCAAAATGATTTGGTAGTTTTATTTTTTGATGTTTGCAAATGTTGTATTTTCCCTTTAATGGCTTTTAAGTTTATGCATAACTTGACACATTGACCGGAATGGGCATTTTTATTGTTACAGAAGAAGTGCATTCACAGTTTACCGTGGACGGTAACCTTATAACTCTGTTTATCATTTCAGTCATTACAACAGAGAAGACGAATATCCTGCTGAGATACCTCCATCAACAATGGGACAAAAAGGTAACTCAATCTCCTGCACGGTGGGCTCATGTTAGCCGTCTGGCCACTTTCTATTGACACGCTTCATCATTGTTGACTCATGTCGTGCATTTTTTTTTTTGGAACACTTCACAATTTTCCTTATTTCACAAGATGGATACCGGAACATCCCCCCCCCAAAAAAAAACCCACCTTGTTTAATAGACACTATTTGCATACATTCAAAAATGAAACTGTCAAAATATTATACAAATAATGAATGTTTGTGAGTGCAATGGTAAGAATAATTTCATGAGGTGACAGATGAAATGTTCCATTCCACGAGGCGAAGCCGAGTGGAATGGAACATTTCATCTGTCACCGAATGAAATTATTCTTTCTATTGCACGAACGTGAAACATTCATTATTTGTATAATATTTTGACAGTTTATATAACACCTGAATAAATCCTCGTCATCTGATTGGTTGACTTTTAATAGCCAATTTATTCAAGTTAAAAATTGTTTACAAGTTTGACAAGTTCAGAGTTATCATATTTAATTTATGCAAACTGTTCAACAGGTTGAGAACTATCATATTCAATTTATCTCAATTTAAAACTTTTCCATAAGTTTAGAACTTAAACAGTTCAATAAGTCCAGAACTTTCATTGCCAATTTAACCACCACAGCGCCACCTTCGGTAACATGTGCAGTGACAGTGCAATGGTACTTCTAATCACAGTGCAATAGTACTTCCATTGCACTGTGCACTGCGCGCCATGCACGCGCCGTGCATTGGTACGAATAATTCAATGGCATGTGATCAAAGATCCACCAATCAGATGACGGGGATTTATTCAGGTGTTGTATAAAATGAAATATCCAACTTGAATGTAACTCAATAATAGGATCAAGCATCCTGCGACATCAGTGTGCCAAGTACGCTGTCTTTTTCAAGAAAAAAAGGGATGCCATCATTTCCTCGCAGTGGTTAGGACCAAACTGTCATGCAATCGTCGCGTTGTGGCTGAGCATGGTTGAGATTATTATGTGTTGAGATGCCGCTTGTTCCAGGATCATCACTCCATTTCTCAGTTTTGTGAGCCGAAGCTGATCATGCTGTTTTCATGCACATATTTATTTATGTTTATTTATTTATTTCTTATTTTGACCGGGTAGCCCATTCAGTGGAATCCACTGATCTCCCATGGGTCCCAGTAAAGAGAAGACAATGTGAAGAAATTGCAGTTTTAGAGGTGGGAGGAAAAGCCCAGAAGAATGTTCTGAGGAAAACCCACGGAATCAGGTAGGGACTGAAAACCCAATCCACATATTGGCCCAGGCAGGAATCGAACCCGGGTCACAGCAGTGGAAGGCGAGGAAAGAACCGCTACGCCAGCCCGATTCCCCTTAACCCTAAAGGGGCCGGGTTATTTTGACCATCTCTCAGCCGGGACGGGGGGGGGGGGGGGGGGGGGGGGGGGGGGGGCAGATTCCGCCCCCCCCCTAAGATCTCGGCCATCGAGTGACGAAAAATTATGAAACTCTGCTCATGCATAGAGCAACTCTTCCTTAACATACCCAAGAAATTTCATGACTATAGGTCAAAGGATTTTGGAATTATGGCTAATTAATTATTCATATGTACGAATGGCAATTCTGCTCTGTGTACACGACGTATATGCGCAAATTCAGTTTTCACGGCTCGTAGCGCCGAAAATTTTTTTGCTACGCAGCAACCCGTGGTCCGATTTTTATGGTTTTGATATCAAAAGATGCGCAAAGCTCGAGGCTAAAAAGTCATAACAGCTCGGGTCGGGAAAATTTTTTTTTTAGAAGCTATCACGGAAAATGTTGGGGGGGGGGGCGGATTCCGCCCCCCCCCCGGCCCCTTTAGGGTTAATGTACTGCAGAGTGCTACATGATCTTCAATATTTTCCCCAGAATCTATTTAAACCGATCCATGTATGTAGTCATGCACATGTGTGAATGACTGCTAATTAGTGTGGCTGCATGTTGTTGTTGTTGTTGCAGAATAATCAAAAGAAGAGAGATACCTCCAGTGCCAACATGGAGTCCGACACCTCACCCGCACGCAAGATACCCCGACTAGACTCCACTTCAGGCAACTGCGGTTGAGGCTTCACCAACAACATTACATTTAAAAGCTGTACACAACATTAACCTAAATGTATATTTAATAGCGCCTTGGACCGAGTCTATCCAAACCGTAATTGTACAAACCGAAAACCCATATTTTTGCTGCCCTCAAAGTCTCTATAATGAGAATGCATGTATTTGCCATGTATGTTTATCACATATTTATCGTTGGAATGATTGAATCGGCGTTTGGAAAGGCAGATCTGATGGTCATGTATGGAAACAACAGACAGACGTATTTGGCAATATTGCGGTTTGCACGACACAGTTCTGTTGTAACATAAGGTATTTGGAACCCTTTGAAGACTTCCAACAAAACTGGTCTGGAGTTTTACCACTGCTTAATGTGGTACAAAAGGCATTGACGAAATTTCCAAATTTGAGGGTTAAAGGACGTGATTCAGAGCCATTTTTGTCTCTCTAGTGTGCGTTCCCCTTGTGTCAAGACAAGAATGACGTCTAGTGCTCCCTTATCAGCTGTATACAGTTGTACACTGTAGGGTTTCTATGCTTATTATTTTGGCACTGCCTTTCAAATGTACATGTGTCATCAAGGCTCCACTTGCTGTGTCCTGTCAAGTAGGCAACACAGTGTCAAAATGAGTTATTGCACAAAGACCAGCTCATTCTTCATGCAATTACAAATTTCAAGTCATGAGACATTCATAATGATTCATAATTCGCAGTGCAAAAACTTCATATGATGTCACAAATTTTTCCAGTTTGCGCCAGTTATTAACAAGTCCGAATGCTGATTTGTTTTTTCTTTTTAACTACCATGTAATTTTTAAAGGTATACTGTACATGCTTTAAAGATTGGTTAACAATCTTTAGATGTAAACCTTAACCTTCCAAGAATGTTTTAAATGAACTAGGGAGTTTGGGAGAATTTGGCAAGATTTAGGAATGTTAAAACCAGCTTGTCTTTACACAGAACGTTTCACAGATATTGCCGTCTTTGCGATTACGTGGTAATCTGTAAGGGCATTTCATTGACAATTTGTTCCATCATGCCATTGTATCCTGAGCATGATGGGAGGCATTTCTAAGTATAATGATTCATTATTTCTGGTAATGAAACCAGGGATTCCCCAAAAGTGCCCTAGGCACTGTAGCTCGCAAGCCTGCAGAAACCTCTGAAGAGGAGACAATGAGATGAAATTACAGTTTTAGAGGTGGGGAAAAATCTCCAAAAATTATATTCTGGGGAAACCCACGGAATCAGGTAGGGACTGAAAACCCAATCCATATGTGGGATCAGGGCAGGAATCGAACCCGGGTCACAGCGGTGGAAGGTGAGGCAAGAACCGCCACGCCAATCTGACTCCCCCACGCCAACCTGACTCGCCTGATAATGAAATGTCTCCAAAGATTACCACATGATCACAAAGATGGCATTATCCGTGAAATGTCCATGGGGTGTGATGCCCCTGCAAAGGTAGTGCTATTGGGTTTCCTACACAGTGGAGGATTTCAAAAGATTTGAGAAGGCTCACGCCACCATAATGTCCAAGGCACTCATACTTTGCATGCAAGTTAGGATTGACTCATTTACATGCATGTTGTGCACAGCCATGTGATTGATCAAGAGGGAGCCTGGGCCCAATTGCATACAGCTGCTGCATGCAAAACGTTGGCTGATTAATGCTACGCAAAAAAGGCAAACAGGACTATAGACAAGCCCATAGGCAAGACAAAACTAATTCAGAACCAGCCCAGGCGCCAGCTCAGGGCATTAGGGGGCTACAGTATCCGATGGGGAGGGGAGGGGGCAGTTGCTACCCCCCCCCCCTTTACTCAGCGATGGGCCCGATCAGGGCACACCAAATTCTATTCAAATGATTCGGAATGGCTATTCACTGGAAGTCTTTTCATGCATCTTGTTACACATTGTGGGCCAGATTTTGGGGTAGTCCTATACAATAGCACTGCCTGACTCTTTTTACCAGCCTACATTGTACAAGGCCTCTATTTAGGTCACAAGTGACAGGGAGTCAGTCAGTCAGTCAGTCAGTGAGATTAGGTATAGAGCTAGGCTGGCCTTCGGGAGACCAGTAAGACATCGTGCAGTAGACGCACGTGTATGGTTGTCTGTGGTTCTCTATTGATTGGTGCTGAGGACCAAAAGTTTCCGAGCATCACTCGGCCCTGGCCTCTGTCCATGAGCAGGAAACCGTAAAAGTCGGTAAAGGCCCATTTATCTGTGACTTCTTACTTGTACATGCGCAGTGTATCTTGTATTTTGATATGCACGTGTTTGTCTGGTATACCATTACATTTCAGTTACTCATTGATTATTAAAGGGCCCATATAATGTATTTTTATTTGAAATCCTTGCAAATTCACCTTTTTGTCCCCTTTAACATTATTGTCAATTTTCATTATGCCATTTTTAAGGGCATTTTGGTGCCTTTTTTGTTTTTTTTATGCGAGTGCACATTTCTGTATTCATGAGCAACAGTGTGATATCATTTCAGGCAGCCCTCACTGCTACAGCTGTTTCAGCACCAAAATTTGACAGGATTTGGGATATTTTGGTGTCGTAAATTTTCTTTTCTTTGGTTTATTTGTTGTGGTTGTTGGTGTTTCAGCACATGACAGTAAGCCAACAAACATGGTTTTCTCAAATGTTTTTAGTGTGGAAACCGGGGGTTCACAATTTGAACAGAAAACCTCTATGAAGTATACAGTGTCTTCCTGAAATGACATCACAGCAACAGTGCCCTCATTTGTCAAAAAAAGTTTGAAATTCTTAATGTGAAAAAAATTCACTTTTCAATCAAATTAACCAAAAAAGGGTGTCAAACAGATTTCATATATATAAATTTAAGAGGAGTAGAAAGTTGCACAAAATATGTTCCCAAGTAAGATTCATGTCATGGGCCAGTATTTTATGTGCAAAATGGCCTTTGTGGTGATCTCCATGGCTTTTGGTAATATATACATTTCCATATTCATGAGCATGGTGGTGATGTCATAACTGTTAATCATATAACCTCAAATTTCATATTGCTGTGACTTCTGTGCTGCATACATGCAATAAAATGTACATATACTGTAAATGTGCATGTATATAGAACTTAGTGTGCAAAATACATGTTGTCTGGTGTTCCACAATGGTACATTGCTATCAACACTGGCATTACAATGAAAAATGTAATAGAAGTTAAAGATGCGCATGCTATGAATTGGGGAGTTTGATTGAAATTTAAATTGAAATTCACCAATTGATGTTAAGATGATGATGCATACATGTATTTCTGCATCTTGAGTATTATGTGTATGACAAAAAGAACAAGTGATGGAACAGTTGTAAAAATGGTTAATTTAAACTTTTAATGATATTCAATTTGACATGTGTTTACATGTACGTGTACTTGTAACAGAAAGGAGTCAAATAACATCTGAAACATCAAGAAATGCATGCATAATTGTGTATTTTGCCATTCCATGAACCATCTGGTGCAGAAAACATAAAAGAAATACATTTTCTTTTCTTTTTTGGCAAAACAAAAACAAATAAAGACCGAACATTTCTTTCCGAATACTTACTAATGAACTGACCTATCGCCGTTTGCGAGTTAGCCACGCCCCTTAGACAACCCTATGGAGTTTTTGAACACTAAGTTTTGTTTGTCTCAGATTTTGCGCGTTTTCGCGTCTATTTGTATATCACGTAATTGCAGAATATTTCACAAGCTGTGTTGATGCGATTCTAATAACGCGATTCTACCGCAATAGTTGTTAATGGGGCACTCGCTTTTTTCGCTGGAACAATGTGGTGTTTATTTTAAACAAAAAGTTGCGGTCATTTTCTGTGAATAATGATGATCGGTTTGCGAATGCTTGACTATGGATAACTTGTCAAAATCTCCGCGTCTCCCATGGGCTATGAGACATGTGCACTATAGGGAACAAACGAGTCTCCACTGGGCAATTTCTTTAGATGAATAGTCTCCACAAGGTTATCACGAAATAGATATGTGGATTTTACTCAAAAAATAGGAATTTCCAAGGTTGGTTGATCCGTCGCAAATTGAAGTATTTTATGTAAGGGATATTAATTCCGAATTTAAGCCAAGGAAATTAATTCCGGTTAAAAATAGGAGCATTTTGAAACTATACTTTCAAACTCGAAAACCTTAGTACACAAAAAAATGTCTCCACAAGGATACAAAATTCCAGTATGGGTGTACTATGTATGTGGTGGTATGTGGTGGACTTCCTGTGGCCGTGTGGACAAGGGTCCGGTTGACAGAAGCCTGGCTCATGGGGTGATGAAATGAAAATGTTGTGGAGGTGTATTGGTTGCCGGTAGATGTTGCGGGTGAGAGTGCTGTCCTGCTTTCTGGAAACCTCAACATTAGGAAATGGAAAAAATTGGATCTGCCCTAGACCCACGCATCCTAATTTTTCGCCAAAATTAGGAAGTTCCCGTGAAATCGTCTCTTAATTCATTAAGCAAACCGAAGTGGGAATTGAAGTCTCATAAAGTCATATTCCTTCTTGTACATCGCAACCTTTGGCCAACGTTTTGGTGGTATTTTCCCGGTGTTGCTGTCAGTGGACAATGATGTAGGGAGTTTTTTTTGGGTTTTCACAAAATTGGTTTGAATGGACAAATACAAATACAAATTTAATGGCATTAAAATAAGCTCCGTAGGTGCTTGTGTTTTGTTCATGTGCCACTAGTTTGAAGGGGTACATTTTGGGTGTCGGCGTCTGAGTGTTGTGTACGATTGGCGACCGCGTGCGTCAAACGTGCTGGATATAAAGTGATATGAATGTGCTAATCTGTACCATTTTTTGTTCAGATTTTATTCCGAGAAATATATAATTAATATTTTCAAAATAATAACCAAAATCTCAAAATCATCATGGGCACATGGCAACATTGACTGTAAGTTATGAATGAAATAGAAAGATGATAAAGATAGACTTCTGTTTCTTTTAGTACGATACATACATGTACTTTGGAACATTCAAAATAATAATACGGTATCATCGTTTGAAGATTGCTGCTTTTGCGTGGTTATTATAGGACTTATTTTATAATTATGTTAGGTGTTTCCATTGATTGGACTGTAGCCTACATTTCATTACACAAGATGATGGCGAAAGGTTGTTTTTTTTGGTACCGATTTTTATTTCCCACACCAAAGTGCAATGGGTTTTTTTCTAAATGTGGTATAATGTTGGCGATCAAATTAGAGTCAAGGGTGCTTTTTATTACTAAAATAATGACCTTTTCAACCTAAGCGGAGTTCTCTTAATATAATGACACCCTTTTTGTAATTTTTGAACAATTTCTTTGGCGGTAGAAATTGCGATTTTTCTACACGGTTTACGGTTGGTGCCGTGCGGTTCAGCGTGGCTTGCGCTTTTATGGTACGTCATGTACATCGCACATCACAGTGCAATGGTGAGCGCCATATTTATTTTCGTGTTGCGTTTTGTCGTTGTCATCGTCATTTAACCCCCAAATTTCCCTCAAAAATATACCTGCATGTTCTTTATAGTTTGGTTGGCCAAATAATGTAAAAGTGGATCCTTATAGGAACCGTGCCCGTAGCGATCGCCATAATGTAGATGTAGGCCTACCTTAACGTGATCGTGTAGTGTAGGACCTCTGTTTAGTTTCGATCAAATTAAAGTCAAGGGTGTTTAAAATGACCTTTTCAACCTCAGCAGACTTCTCTCAACATGCATAATGACACCTTTTTTGGTAATTTTTGAACAATTTCGGGTGGAAATTACGATTTTCCTACGCGGTTTACCGTTGGTGCCGTGCGATTCAGCGCGCCTTGCGCCTTCATCGCACAGTGATCGCCATCTTTGTTTTCGTGTTGAGTTTTGTCGTCATCGTCATTTAACCCCAAAATTTCCCTCAAACATATACCTGCATGTTCTTAATGTCGCCAACTAGTTTGGTAGGTCAAAT